AGGTATCAATATCAATGTCAAGAAGGTATCCCTGAAGTTTGTGATATCTGACCTGGTAAACATACTGAAAGGGTATCAGACAGAGCAAAAAATGAATACAGGCATATTTACACACCGCTGGTCCAAGTCCTCTTTGCAAGCCCCGGATGCCCTCGTTTCTCCAAGTTTTTGCCAAAACATCCAAAACATCCTTATAAACTCTTTTCCCCCCACCTTTGACAAGCTCACCTGCCCGCGTGTCAATATATCATATTTTATCGCTCACACAATCGCATTGAACGTACCTTGGAGTTGCAAACGCGTCTTGGCTACTTCCGCAGGATTGCTGACAGTGACAGCTATGCATCCTGCCAGTCCACCGCAAAGAAAACTTTCAAGCATGGAGAGAGGCGGTGGTATAGTAGAAGATGCCATACCACAATGCCAATAGCCAGAACGGCACGTTGCGCAAGTGCACTGTGCAGCTTGATTACGGACTTGTCACTGTAGACGTCAAAAATGTGTATGCGTACGGTAGCACCTAGTAGGCTGAGCCAATCACAGTCCGAACCCCGGCATGCCGCAGTGCGCACACTTCAAATTCTTCCTCACACAACACTCATTGAGTACTGAAGGGTTTTAATTATTGGCACGCTTCTGAAGTTGAGGGATATCGAGCTCTATAGCCTTTGAACCATCGTGGAGTTCAAGCTGAAAGAGTGATGCTGGATATGGCAAGTGTTGCTCAAGTCCTCTGAGCGAAGTTCGAACGGTCGGTGACCTCACTGCGTATCTCAACATGACTCTGACGAATAATGTGCTCTAGTAAACAGTGATGTACCAAATTCGCCGTGACATGCACTCATTCATTAGTGCCAGGTTTGCTTTAGCTGTCGCCTTTCTCGCCATTGTATTTCCTGTCGTCGCACGCGCGTTCTCGTCTCCGATAGCCCTCATCCTCCTTTCTCCTGTCATCATACTTTTCGTGGCATTCTCGTGTTTCATCGCGAACATTCTTGTTGGAGTTGCCTTGGACAAGAAACCAGTTCATAGGAATGCGCTCACATATGCAGCTAGACCTCTTGCCTTCTCAACTCCCGCAGCATGGCAGGCAGTCCTCACTCGTTCGAACTGGTCTCAGAAAACTCCACAATCATTATCACCTTTGTACCCTGACCTACCTGTTGTGTCATCTACCCTTAACGATATCATGATTTTTGTCGTACGCGACTTCGTGCTCACCTGGTACAAGGACATATCTTCATCCCCTTCCTTTCCTACGGCAGTTTCTTCGGTGCTTCATGACTCCCTTGAGAGGCTTCTGCAAACAACCGCAACAGTCGACCTTTCTGTTCTCCTAGTGAAGCGAATTTTGCCCAAAGTCACTACACATATCGAGCAATTCCGCCAATCGGAGGTCGCACTTCGCGGTGCAGCCCTAGAACGCCGTCTCACGCAATCCGAAGAGTTGGATACGCTGTTGGCAAGTAGATACGCAGGGAAGGGCGGAAAACTACATCCTGCAGTGGAGAATCTGTCTTCTACGTTTACGAAACAGAATGAAGAAATACATCTCAGAACCATTGCGGAGCGGATGCTCTCGCATATTCTTCCGGAACAGGAGGCTCAGAGTAAAGCTCTGAGAATAGTTGTCCGAGAAATCTTGGTTTGCGCAGTGCTGTATCCAATTATGGATATGGTGAGCGACCCTGATTTTTGGAATCGAATGATTGAGCAAGTGGTATGTCATATCCTCAACTCAAGTGTGAGCGCATTTATTGACTCCGAGATAGGCAGGCGCCGCAATACAGCAGCAGTATGTGGCAAACGTGCTCGAGTGTTTTTTTGAACCTTAAACAATGCATACACAGGAAACTCATATCTCAAGTGAGAAATGTTTTAGAAGCACAATCACCCCGCCGGCACAACCGCCTTCCTTCAACAATTTCAACTGGAGACACTATCACGGTTAGAACTGATATGCGACAGTTTGAGTCGTTTCTCAGAAGTATCAATCGTTGTTCGTCGCTTCTGGATGCTCGTCGCCTGAAGAATGATATCATGGGAGAAATTCGGAGGACGAGATTACTTCTCGGTTAGTTTATTCAAGTCGCTTACTACATTTTATGTTGACGCTCCCACAGCTAATCACGAGAAGGAGGATTGGATAAGTGGCGAGAAGACAGAAGACGTAGTAGCTTTCCTTGACAGGCTTTATACTGCGAAGCGGACTGTCGAACAACGAATAGTAGTACTGGGTGGCGAAGATTCGGTAAGCGCTGCCCTACGAAATTCATAACTTCTACTTATACAGACAACCGTAGAAGTCTGCTGCCTCGCCAGAGTCTGGTTCGCGGACCCAAGTCACTCTACGCGACATTTTAAGCAACCCGACATCACTCTCCTACTTCATGGAGTTTATGGATCGTCGGCACCGCTCGCTGCTGGTTCAGTTTTGGCTAACAGTAGAAAGCTTCAAAAACCCATTGGAGTCAATAGACTCGAGTTCATCTGGGGATGAAGACGAACCCTTACAAGGTCCTTCAACCTCCTCGACGCTCAAAGAGGACATTTCAATGATTAACGACCTTTACTTCTCTGTCACACCATCCCATCCTGCCTTATCATCCATCTCTAAGAAGCACATCGATAGCATACGCTCTTATGCACAAAGTGAGATCCTTCCGGGGCCTTTGGAGGACAAGAAAGTCCGTCGTAGCGTCATGTTGGCGCAGAGACAGGTTCAACAGGTGATGGAACAAGACTTCGAGGACCTTCAAAGATCTGAACTGTGGTTCCGAATAATCGAGGATTTCAATCGGGCTAGTGCTAAATTGCTGGAGCCCCCCGTAGGTCGGATCTCGGGACGTTCGATGTCACCCCCGCCACTGCCGGCGTCACGTCCTATCGGCATTGGATCTGTCCATATCTTCCGCTCTGAATCTTCCCCTTCATTGAGCTCTGTGGTTCAGCGCGTAGATGACCCACGGGCCAGTCCAACCACTGCCTCACGGACCAACATTGATGTGCTCATGTCCCCGGTTTCAGATACATCATCGAATACATCCAGAGCTCCTCTCTTCGATGATCCAGAAGATGCCCAGGGTGCAGATGAAGCAGAAAGAATGAGAGCCATCCAGGCCGCGCTGACGGACATCATTGCCACACAGAAACTTCCCCACAGTTTCCTCCCTCGAGGCCAGGATAGAGGCGGAAATCGTCACCTCAGCGCGACTTCACTCGACAACAAGAAGGGCATTTTCGGTGATGAAGAAGATATGATCGACGAAGAAGATGACGACAGAGCTGAAGGTTCTGTAGATACGGAGCAGGGAACATTTCAGCTAGCCGGACCTGGAGACCTTCAGCTCTCATACGAGATTGCACGCCTTGGCGACAAGGTCACCAAACTAGAGGCCCACGACGCCATGCTCGACATGCTTATCAAGAAGGCAGAGCTGACAGGCGATGCTCAAGAACTGCGTCTACTTCAAAAATCGAAGTCGTCCATGACCCGCGAACTTCGAGAGTTGCGTTTCCAGAAGACACAATATGAACAGCAAGAATCCGAAAACCGTCTCATTTCCCATCGAACGAAGGTTTCTATCGTTAGTTCGACAGTGGGAGAAGAAGAGGGGAAATCCGTAGTGCGATACCTCGTTGAGGTCCAGCAGCTCGCACCCGATGGAACATTTGCCTCTGGGTGGGTTGTTGCAAGGAGATACAACGAGTTCCTTAGGATGCACAACAAATTGCGCGATCGGTACGCGCTTGTCAAGGGTCTCGATTTCCCAGGCAAGAGACTTGTTACTTCGCTGACCGGCAGTTTCGTGGACACAAGGAGACAAGCCCTTGAGAAATATTTGCAGGTGAGGAACTCGCCGGAGTCTGCTTTCTTCGCGCATACTGACGGTTGTAGAATTTGATTACCATACCTGTCGTCTGCGAAAGCAATGACCTTCGCGCATTTCTGTCCCGTGATTCACCATTCATTGCATCTGAAGTTCAAGAGGATGTCCCCAAAGGAACCGCTAGTTTTTCAGGGAAAAACCTAGTCCGATCTGTTTATCGCTCAGTGGCAGAGAGTATTGATGATATGTTCTTTGGCCCGTCGATGTTGGATGTTATGATTCAAAGGCTTACCCGACAGGCCGCAGAATTTGCTGGTATAGTCGGATCTGCGGTCCACGATGAGGACCTCGTCGCTCAGGCACTGAAGGCGTTCGGGAAGTTCACGTCGGAGGACACGTTCATGCACATGTCTAGTGACCTGCGTCCTTTGGAAGGAGAAACTAGCACATCGACATTCTCTGCTCCTATATGTGACCTTGTCCTCGCTATCTTTGAGCTCAACAAGAAGGACAACTGGCTCCGACGACAAGCGATCGTGATCATTCTCCAGCAAGTACTGGGTGGTACCATTGAGCGGTGAGACCAAACTTTGCATAGTCTTTTCGCCCCCCTGACGTGATTAAAGGCAAATCCGTCAAAGTATCAAGTCGATGTTTGAAGAAAGTCGCATTATGCCTATCTTGGCCTTTTTCAAAGACTCTCTATGGCCGGGTGGTAAGCTGAAACCGCCTGGTCAACCACGGTCAACTGAGGAGATAACACGTAGTCGCGATGAGGCAAACCGTAAGCTCTCCGCTTTAGTGCCAGGTTTGCTGGGATTTTCTCCCCTATAAATATGGAGTTAACACCACGATCTACAGATCTTGCTGCGAACATGATAGGACGGTCAAATGCTCGGCGAGGAGCAAGACGAATATTTGCTGTCCTGCAGAACAAGCGCTTGAACCAGCATATTGCCTATACCATTGTCGACGAGGTGCGTTTTCATTGAACTGCAAAGGACGTTGCTCACTAACATGTTCAGGTGGTCGCCACAATGTTTCCTGAGCCCTGATATCTGAGGTTAAATCAATGAGTAGTTTTGTTTGATGTTAGTTATTGTAGAAGGCACACTACTTTGTTACCTGTTGTACCACTGTTGTACTATCAGTTAACCCAACACCAAAAGGCTAGCCTATTGGTTCCATCTCGTTGGTTAGGCTAGCTTGGTCAGCGACTGTCGCGTTTTTTCCCTCGAGCTCTGTAGTTTGATATGATTCTAGGGTTTGAGGCACTGTTGGATTTCCTTCGTCAGCTTCCTTCTTCTGTCGTTTTGATTGTCGATGAGATGACACTTTGGAAGCATTCGGGTCATCATATCTGGCAAGCAATCGGTAAGCGTTCGTTCGCGAGTTGACCTGCTATTTATTACACTTACACTTTGATTGCGTGTAATAAGAAACCTCCCGATCCTGAAGTGCTCATCGTCGGATGTGTGCGACCTGGCAGAACTTGATAGCGTCGCAGCCATGACTCCGTAATTGATGGTGCAAGATAGCCTGGATCAAGGCGCAATTTCGATTGTAGTTCCGTGAGAGGCTAATGTCCAGTTATCCAGCTGAATTGGTTCATTAAATGGAAAGCGCAACATACCTGGCTAAATGGGCTCTGAACGACTATGGATCCTGATCCCGCTACATATAGAATCAAGTTTTGTAGAATCTCCAGCGAGTCGTAATCGCTAGCGATTAAAAGCCTGCCAGACGTCGGAGGAGATATGACATTATTTAATGGCACTCACGCATCAAATTCACCAGCAAATAACTCCTCCCTTGCGTTTAAAAGAGTATCTGCCGCATTCTTCCGTTTATCGAGGCGAATCCTATGTCGCTCTGATTTTCCTACTTCCGACGATGACTCTTGTGCTACAGCTGCCACTTAATGGGAAGTATGGCGCGTCTGCAAGAGAATCTCACTAACCTGGTGTATAGTCTTCCTGGGCAGTTGCCCAATTTAATGATGAGTGTATGTTTGTAACGACGTCTTTGCGAAAATTCATCAGAGTCATGACAGGATATGCAGGTGGCGAATCAACATCGCAGATAGAAATTAGTCGTCCCTCCCCTGCAAGAATGAGATCTTTTTCTCACACAGAACCAACAACTCACACACCTCCCAATCTCTCGAGGATTGCTGATACAAGAAGGCCAGACGCTTCGTCAACAACAATGTACCTGCCGCCCGGGCGAACATTCGCCAGATTCAGTATTTGAGACAGGGTGTCTGGTCTGATATCACGAATCCTGTTCTGGTCTTTTTTGAACCAGTGGTCGCAAACATTGTAAATTGTTGGCTCAACCGTACTGAAGGTCTTTGAGTATCTGCTCGGCACATCAATTTAATTGTCAAAAAATCTGGGATAACATAGAGATAACATACTTGGCTTCCTTGCGTTGCTTATATTTCTCCTTGCTATATTCAGTTTTCAGGGAATAATTGGCATGTTGTTCAATCTGAGCCTTTATGATGTCCTGTGGAAAATAGATTATACTACGATTCTGCATGAAATGAAGCCCAAGACGCACAGAAGCATGTACGCCAGACTTTTTCAACCCTTCGATCTCGCCGAGGGTAAGTGGCTGCACGAATTCACCATCGTTGATGAGCTCATTTGTAGCATCCGTTTCCTCTTCATTACCACTAGTCATGAATAGAAAATTTGAGAGTGTTTATCAAATCCCTTACCTACTTCTTGTAGAGTATGAGGCGGCTGGACGGTGAGTTCTTTGCCACGAATCTCATATGTCAATCCGTATGGATGGCCGATCAGCTCGTTTGCGCGAAAGGAGCCGACTCTTCCTATAGAGATAGTGCTTCTCGACTCAGTTCAGAGATGGTAGGAATCAAGACAAAAAACCACTCACGCATCCTTTTCTACCTTGAAGCCTTTGGTCTCGCCACTAGGTAGTCTGAGCAGAACCGTATGTCCTGACTGGATGGTGGTCGCCTTGAATGAATTCAGGGCGCTTGTTGCATCTTCACGGTCAGCGATATCCATAAGACTTCGCCGTCCCAATGGTCCACCGACGAATTTGGATGGTGGTGTTGCGAAAGAAATGATCCGTTGTGGCACTGTGTTCGGAAACTGACTGCCGTGACCGTCCTCCGACAAGTTCCAACACCTCATTTTGCTCAAAGTCTACACTACTTCATCACTTACCGCAATGAACGCTCAGAATGGAGATCTCAGCTTAGATTTCTTAATGAGAAAATCTCAGGATGTTGCTGCCTTCCTTCCGGATGAACTCTCTTACCTCGTAGAAGCTTTCGCGCCTTCTCAGACAGAATCATCGCGCTCGAAAGCGTATCTCGTGCTCTCTGCGTTCTGTCAAGGAACGCGGTCGCAAAACCCTCAGGAGTCTGGATCCACAAACACTGCCACGGAAACACTAGAGAAAGTTTTCCAGCATCTCATCATCTCCCGTATATCCGATCATCAGGAACAGGATGCTATAGTTATTGGACTCTCTTTCTTCTCTGCATTATTCCACGTCGACTGGCAGTCCGCTTCCTGTATTTTCGCGCAAGATGGCGTGGTCGAATACGTGACAGATGCCCTTGATTTATTTCCATCATCAGCTTCCGTTGCCCTAGAGGTCGCTCGTATGATCGGCCAGGCTAGTGGACACAAGGCATGCCGGGCTCTGATACCCGAGGAAATCGTCACCTGGCTTGGGAACAAGTCACGTCAGGCTACCGATAAAAACTTGCGCGCAGCAGCAGCTATCGCCCTCGTAAAATTATCTCGAGGGGCGGCAACGGATGCCTCAGAAGGCGCAGATGCGTCGCAGGCCACGCAATCTACCTCCAAGGATATGGAGCTAGCCAATTTGCTGAAAGGAATGGTCATCGGTGACAAAGATTCTCTATCCTCCCTCAACGACGTCGTTGAAGGCCTGGCATACCTCAGTGTTGACCCAGACGTCAAACATGCCCTGGCGAATGATCCTAAGTTCTTGCAGCAGCTCTTTACACTTGTCCCTAGACGTAAGCCACTGCCAACATCTACCAGTAATTCTAGCCTGCTCTTTGGCATCCTTCTTATCATATCCAACCTCTGTGCCTACCGTCCTCGCCTCAGTCAGGAAGACGCGCAGGTAGCTAAGCTGAAACGCATGGCTAAAGCTGGAAATGAATCCAACAGGACGATGTCCGAGGAACCGCTAAATGCATTGGAAGATGATGTTACAGTTAGGTCCAGATGCCGTCAAGCTCTTGCAAGTGGCGCCCTTGATGTCTTGTCTGTGGCTTCTGGTGTAGAGAGCCAAGGCATCAGACTTGCATTGGGTAAAATCTACCTGAGCATCGTGGAGGACAGAGATAACAGAGGCAGGGTCCTCCAGAGCGGAGGTGCACGGAGTCTTTCTCGTGTTATACAGTCCTCCACATCGTCATCTACACCGATTGATACCTCTGTTCTCCCTGCGATCCAAGCTTTAGCGAAATTGACCATCACGTCTTCCCCCCTTCAAGTCTTCGGGCCCGGTGATGGCGCTATGCTTGATGCAATACGGCCCCTGTCACAACTGCTGCTCCATCCATCTTCAAACCTCCTACAACAATTTGAAGCCTTAATGGCCTTAACAAATCTTGCTTCACAGAGCACAGGGTGTGCCGATCGCATCTATAGCACCCCACACCTTCTCAACAAAGTTGAGCTCCTCATGCTAGAGGACCATACACTCATCCGTCGGGCAGCCACCGAGCTGATATGTAATCTTATTGGAGGTTCGGAGAAGGCCTTTTCGAGGTATGGTGGTTCTCCCGATGTCCATGCAACAAAGTCCAAATTACAAGTACTTCTTGCGATGTCGGACATGGATGATCTTCCAACGAGACTCGCTGCGTCTGGTGCTTTGGCAACCGTGACCAGCGTGTCTACTGCTTGTCAGGCAGTATTTGAACTCCAGTTGGATCGTCACCGAGCATTCTCAATTATTGCACGTCTTATTGACTCATCTGTAACTCTGGAGGACGACGACCCTGATGACGACGAAGTAGCCGGAAATCCAGGGCTTGTACATCGTGGAGTCGTATGCCTTCATCACATTCTCGATCCCCAGTGTGCTCTCCCTCGTATATCGTTCGCAGAGGAAGTAGAGAAGGCTGGTTTGGTGAATGTCATGACTAGATTGCTGAAAGGTGAACTTGGATCATTTGACACTGCTGTAACTACCCCTGCTGCTGAGGTTTTGAGGCACCTGATCGAGCTTAGAAGACCAGCGAACAGCTAGTACGCTGTCTAATAAACTTTTGTACTGTACTTTGTAATAAATGTGAAATGATAAGCAGTGAGGGTAGAATGTATTCTATTGAGGCAGTGCTGGCAGTTGTCCAAACGCGTGGTAAGAATAGCTTGAGACTTATCCTTTTCAATTCGGGAGTTCACGCTGACCACCGGGTTAATAGTACTGCCACGGGCATTGCCGTTCTCCGCCGTGCCTGCGGACTTCTCCCAGCAAGTTAACTACGTTCTCTCATTCAAGCTAAGGCGGGTTGGCCATGGTGAGATTCAAGTTGCCTTGAAACGTTGAATGATTGATTAGTATATGCATGTAGGCTATATCTAAGAAGGCGGGCAAGAAGACTGCCCCGAAGTCAGCTGGAGTGACTAAAGTTGCCAAGGTGCGCTCTCAGACATCGTTACACCTATGAATGGCCGTGATATTTGTACAAACAGGCAGATTGGAAAGAGGGATTTAAAAAGAAACAAGCCGGAGTGTCCGATATGACGCTTCTGACAACTATCGACGAGAATAACATCAACACCAACCTTCAGAAGCGCTGGACTGTCGGAGAGATCTACACTTACATCGGCGGCGTATTAATATCCGTGAACCCTTTTAAAGGTGAGGCCATATATGTTCAAAATGTGCTATCTAACGTTGGGGTAAAATACCTTTCAGATCTAGGAATCTATACAGATGAAACCCTTCAGAAGTACAAGGGCAAGAATCGACTCGAAGTTCCCCCACATGTATTCAGCATCGCAGAATCCGCATACTATAACATGAATGCATACCACGAAAACCAATGTGTTATTATATCCGGCGAGTCTGGTGCTGGAAAGACCGAGGCTGCCAAACGCATCATGCAATACATCGCGGCTGTATCAGGAGGGGAGGATAGCAGTATACAGGAGATAAAAGAAATGGTATTGGCCACCAATCCTCTATTGGAGAGCTTTGGTTGTGCAAAGACTCTTCGCAATAATAATTCAAGTCGTCATGTAAGTGAATGATTATTGCACATGTGTACCTTGATCTTGATTTCATGGCCTCACAGGGTAAATATCTGGAGATCATGTTCAATACCCACGGCGAGCCGATCGGGGCACAGATAACGAATTATCTCCTTGAGAAAGGCCGAGTGGTAGGGCAGTTAGAGAACGAGCGCAATTTCCACATCTTCTATCAGTTCACAAAGGCTGCTTCAGATGAGCAGCGAGGTGCGTCTCGCCTGTCTGTCCATATTGATATCTCATGGCTGTTTGTAGAGCAATTCGGGTTACAGGGTCCAGATGCATACGAATATATCAGCAGGAGCAATTGCTTAGAGGTTCAGGGCATCGACGATTCAAACGACTATGCGGATACCCTAGTGAGTATTGGTCTGTTGTTCTACACCATTACTTAAACATGGTCAGAATGCCATGGGGGTCATTGGCCTCAGTAATCAGGAGCAGAACGAAATTTTTCGGATGCTCGCAGCCATTTTATGGTTGGGGAACGTCAGATTTGAGGAGATGGATGATGGAAATTCGGCCATCTCTGACACTGGAATAACAGATTTTATTGCGTATCTCATAGAAGTAGATTCGGCGATGGTTCAGAAGGTTCTGACGTCAAGAGTCGTTGAAACTCAGCGAGGGGGACGACGAGGTTCTGTTTACGACGTTCCCCTGAATCCTGCGCAAGCAACCGCTGGAAGGGACGCACTTGCAAAAGCGATTTACAATAATCTCTTCGAGTGGATTGTTTCGAGAATCAACGTGTCGATGAAGGCTCGAAGTGCCTCGGCGCAAGTCATTGGTATCCTGGTAGGTGACGCTTTTGCTATTGATTTGACCAACAATTGAGGTATTGACATATTGACAGGATATCTTTGGTTTTGAAATTTTCGAGGTATAATCATATTGTACGCACCGAACCGGCTCATTTACAGAACTCTGCAGGATAATTCTTTCGAGCAATTATGCATCAACTATGTCAACGAGAAACTTCAGCAGATTTTTATCGAATTAACACTCAAGACCGAACAGGAGGAGTATGTCAGGGAGCAGATTAAGTGGAATCCCATCAAATACTTCAACAACAAGATTGTCTGCGACCTCATTGAAGAGCGCAAACCCCCTGGAATATTCGCTGCTTTAAACGACGCTTGCGCAACAGCGCACGCCGATCCAGCTGCGGCAGATAACAGTTTCGTCCAGCGGACGGCCATGCTATCTTCCAATGCCCACTTCGAAGCCCGGGGATCTCAGTTTCTGGTTCGTCACTACGCCGGAGATGTCATGTACAACATCGCGGGCATGACGGACAAGAACAAGGACGCACTAGTGAAGGATCTTTTCGATTTGGTTGGTAGCAGCGGCAACCAGTTCCTTCAGACATTGTTCTCCGACAGACCCGATCCCTCAAGCAAGAAGAGACCACCGACTGCTGGTGATAGGATCAAGGTATTTCACATTACTATTTTATCTGTCGGAATAGATCATTCATATATTGGAAAGGCGTCGGCAGGTGCTCTGGTGGATAATTTGATGAAAGCTCAGCCTTCTTACATCCGAACAATCAAACCAAACCAGAACCGTAGCCCAGTTGAATATGACACAAAGGCCATCTTGCATCAAATCAAATACCTTGGATTACAGGAAAATATTCGTGTACGTCGCGCAGGATTTGCGTATAGGAATACCTTCGAAAAAATGGTGGAACGCTTCTACCTTTTGTCGCCTTCAACGTCGTACGCTGGTGAATATACATGGCAGGGAGACGCGAAATCTGGGTGTGAACAAATTCTCAAAGATACGGGGATAGCCAAGGATGAATGGCAGATGGGGGTTACAAAGGCTTTTATCAAGAATCCCGAAACAGTGAGTACGCCATGCGACAGCATAAAAAATTCAATTGACATCGTCAATACAGCTATTTGCCCTAGAGACTATGCGTGATCGTTACTGGCATAACATGGCAGCACGTATCCAGCGAGGCTGGAGAAACTACTGGCGCTATAAGAATGAGTGCGCTAGACGCATTCAGAGGTTCTGGAAGAACAACAAAGAAGCCCTTGAATATGCCAAAGTCCGCGACTACGGTCATCGGGTATTGGCAGGAAGAAAAGAACGCAGACGTTACAGTCTCCTCAGCTATCGCCGTTTTCTGGGCGACTATCTTGATGTCAATGGCCAGAACATCGTTGGATCTGACCTGCGCTCCGCCTGTGGTCTTGGTGGTGAGCCCTCTAGTTCTTTTATGTAGTCTTGTCGTCTCACATGTCGCACAGCGGAGCAGGCCACATTCAGCTCGAAAGTGCAAATATTGGTGTCCAAATTTGGTCGGTCCAGCAAACTTGGCCCGCGTTTCCTTGTAGTGGTATGCATCAATGTACCTCATTTTCATTGCTTTATCTGACATGCGTCGTGGTAGACTGCGAAAGCTGTGTACATCGCGGCAACTTCTCAGAAGGATGGTCAGATACAAACCTCGCTTGAACGCAAAATTCCCTTGGTAACTATCAAAAGTATATCGATGTCTAATCTAAGGGATGATTGGCTGGTTGGTCCTCCTGTCGGTCCTTGGCGTATCACTAACTCCATATCAGGCATTGAATTGTAATGCATCTGAAGAGGGTGATCCAATTCTTCATTGCTATTTCAAGACGGAGTTGACTGCGAATCTTCTTACGCTCACGCAAGCTAGCATCAGCGTCTTGATTGGCCCGTCGTGCGTGTTTGGTTGATTTTGCTTTACCTTTTGTCTCACTTGCTAGGAAGGATCGAATATGCGAAAAAGAAGGACAAGAAGGCACAAATCCAATTTGTCAGAGACGAGACGATCGCAAAAGATGATGCATACAAGAGCCACGCTGTGCACGTCCCGTCTGGCGAACCTTCATCGAGCACCTCTCGACCTGCTGCAAGAAGAAAACCTGGTATTGTTAGACCCATCACTCAAGGAAAGCTCCTTCGCGCTGGCGGCCCCTCAGATGTGAGTTTTGTGATTGTGATTTCTGTATTCTCACGATCGATTCCAGAAGGGAAAGGCTTCCAGGCCGAAGCCAGCCGCCCAACCACTGCCAGGGAAATCTGCACAATTTTCTGCCGTCAGGCCAACACCGGTGGCACCTAAGTCAGCCCCCGCGCCTTCTACTCATATTTCAGTTCCGCCGCCGCCACCGCCACCGCACAAAGAGCCCGAGGCAGAGTTATATAAGGCAAAGTTCGCTTTCGAGGGTCAAGAAGGCGAGATATCTTTGAAGAAGGATGATACCGTGGAACTGGTTGAGAAGGACGAGAATGGGTGGTGGCTTGTAAGGAAGGACGGGCAAGAGGGCTGGGCCCCAAACAATTACCTAGAACTTATACCGCCAAAACCTAAAGCAGCGCCTGCCGCACGTTCCCCTCCACCTCGACCACCACCACCACCTTCCGCTCCGCTAGCAGTCGCTGCCGCTCCTATCCCTGCTTCTTCAGCTTCAAAACCAACTGTCTCGATCGTGTCTGTGAAGTCATTGACAGCGGATGCGTCGGCTAAGCCCGTAGCTGTTTTCCCTGGCCTTGCGCCATCAAATGGCTCTGCAGTGCCTTGGAAGAAGTCTGCAGTTGTGTCAGCTAATGGGTCATCAAGCAGTACACCTGCAAGCTCCCGCCCTTCGAGTTCATTAGGAGTAAAACCCCCTCCAGTTGCCCCCAAACCTAAACCTGTACCACCGCCTGTCGCATCGAAGCCAAGCGGCAGCAGGCCATCTCCTAAACCACCTATACCCACAGCCCCGCGACCAGGTGCCGGCGTTGCGCCACCGAAGGTCTCTAAACCTAGTGCACCTGCTGGTCAGATGGACTTGGCTGCTGCGGTAAGTGCTATTAGCTGCCCTGAGGATAATACGTCTAATGTATATAACCATCCAGCTCGCGAAGCGTGCACAGAAGATAGCCGATGAGTGATCTAATGAATTATTTGACTTCGTACAATAGTACCATTTCAAGGACTTTTTACTAGAAACGTGGAATTAGAAACGTGGAATTCAGGATTTGATGAAATATATTGGATAATGCGATGGGGACGCGAGATGTTAGTGAAATGCTTGTGGGGTATCAAGAAATGATTTCCGAGGTCTACATAATGAAGCATAGCAGGACATAGAGCGTTATAAACGTGACACCATAAACTTATAAATGATCAATCCTGATTGGAGGCAAATGGGAGGGTGGTGGCGTATCTGGTTCCAAGGTTAGCCGTTCGACCTCGTCTTCCGAGAGGTCATCAGCATCACTGTCAGGCACAGCAACGTGTGAGGGAGAGAGGTGGACTGTGACCTGGATCTCCGCATTGTCTCCTCTGCCGTGGTCATCAAGGACAGTGTCAAATTCCTGCCCTGAATCTCTCCATGAGCGGACTTCATCGGCATTCAGGACTTTGGCAGAGAGGTGCTGCCGGAAATCGTCGGGAGTCTTTTCCAAGGCTTTCCTGCCTGATTCTAAGAGACCCTCTAGCATATCCTTCACCCTTGCGTAAGCCTCGTCAGGCCCGTCCTCGCCCTCCTCACTATCATCATCATCATCCCCTTCTTCGTCTTCTTCGTGGGCAAGGGACTCGACGGCCCTGAATGCTCTAGGGGGAAGAATAAGTCGAGATTCACGAAGTTTCCGCTTGAGGTCTCGAATTTCTTTGGCTTGACGGTTCTTCGTAGTTTCAAGTGATGCGTTGATAAGAAGCAGAGATTTATTCGTTATTTCCAAGTCGGCAATCTGAAGTACAAGTTAGCTCAGTACTAGTGACATGGTGAGTGGGTATGACCTTTCGATTAGACTTGGCTGCAGCCCTCGCCTTGTGCTCTGAGTTTTCAGAGTTAATGTCGCTGTCCCGACCTTTGCTAGATTGTCGAGCACTGGTTGTAGGCGAAATTGTGTCATCATGGTCGCTCTGAATGAAACGGCCATCATTGGCTCGAACAGATTCAGTATCCGAACGCTTGTTCATGTGAGAGTTGAGCGTTGACGCGCTTGCATGAGAGGGACCCGCAGACAATGAACTTCTAGATACAGACGACTTTGAAGATAAAGATAATGCGGATATTGGTGGTGAATGCGGAGGAAGAGGAATGGAAGCAGGGTCGACCTTAGCTTTCAGGACCTGCCTGGCTGCTTTCGAAGGTCTTTCAGGTGGAGTGAATGTTTGATATGGATAGAGTGTAGGTGAGGGGCCGCGTCGCGGCGAGGGATATCTATGGGGATTAGCAGCAGGAGCTGCGGTCGTTATGGGATAGAAATTTGGCACCGTAGTCGAATTAGGAGGACTTGGAGGCGCGTTTAATGAGAGGCTTGAAGAAAGTGAAGGTATGGGTGGTCTTGTATGAGTGGGCCTGGTGGTAACCCATGGTGGGGATAACGAGCGAGCGGGATCTGTTTCGGTACTATGGTAAGATTTGGCTAACCCAGAAACCTTGGATTTAATCTTGATGGGAGCCGATGGCGATACACGGTCTGGGTCAACGCGTACGAGTGGAGGTTCGGAAGAGAGCAGAGTTCGGGGCGATGGTGAATTTCCCCGTAATGCTGAGGTAGACTGTGCATGATGTAGGGCAACGCTATCGCTACGTGGTCGGTCTTGCCGGGGCGGAAGTCGTAGCTTTGACGCAACGGTAGTGGATGATCGCTGACGCGACTCTAGAGGAGATGTACTGGACACGGGAGATGTGGTAGTGGACTTGGATGCAGGCCGCGCCGTAACGCGAGCTTTAACGGGATTCGTGACTATGGAAGGACCAGGACTTCGGACTGGTTTCGAAGGCGACCCAGGTCGAGAGTGTGTTACTTTGTTGATGTTGTTCAATGAAACCGAACTTGACAGTCTCCGGGCACTGGTCGCATTTGAGCTGACCTTGGCTGTCGGACGGAAGCCTGGTGGTGAGAGAGATGACTGCACCGGTTGCTTTGTTGGTGATGCTGGTCTAGATGGTGAATTAAACCGAAGAGGTGCATGACCGCCATTATAGTCGAGTTTCGCAGTGATCTGTTCACTGTGTAAGTTTCATGGACTGTCGCGGCATATGAGTGCAACGCTCACTTTTCTATTAAACGGTGGTTCCTTCATGAAACGCGCGATGAAAATAAACTGGTAGGTTGTCAGGCCTTTTAGGGATTACCGCGCGTGCTGAAAGTTTGCAGACGATGGTTACTGTGCTTGAAAGAATGAACCACTAAGTAGCACTTGGACCGGTATCCACAAAATAGTTAGTCACTAGTAGTCTATCGGACATTGACTGTCGGATGTATTTGCTATAGCCGAGCATCAAAAGGTAATTGGCTTCCACACTGGCGGTCATTAAAAGTCAAAAGATAACGCACATACTGGCCTCGTCTAAGTACTACATACTACCACTGTCATTGGAGACTGGAGCAAAAGGTAGAATTCCCTTGTTGACGAGCGTTTCCTCCACAATTCTCTGGACGAAGGTCCGCATGGCTTCTCCACCACCACCCTCCAGAGCAGCCAATACGCTCTTTTCAACATACTTGCCCACCATGTCAACCTCGATGTTTACTCTCTCGCCATTGGCCTTTTTTGCCAAGGTGATCTTCTGCTGCGTATGTTGGATAAGCATAACACCGAACACCCTTTCGGCATCATCGACGGAAGTAACGGTTAGGGAAGCACCGTCTATGGTGACATAACCCTTGGGGATAATATAAGGAAGAAGAGAAGGTATTTCTGCGGTTGGTTCGGGAAATTGGAACCAAAGACGCAACGAATCACCATCAAGAGTTCTCTTGAGAATAGTCGCAGTTATATCAACATGAGCCTGATATGAGAAATGATTCATTAATGACGATCTGTACATCGTCAGAAAGAACGCACCTGCACGAAGTGACCACCGAATCGAACATGGGCACCCATAGCGCGCTCAAGGTTCACCTGATCACCGACCTTGCGATCGCCTTGATTACCTATGAGCGACTGCATTAGTTTGCTTCTGGTCACTCACCCAGATCAGTCCTGCTGAGGGTCTCGTTGGCTAGCCATATTTTGAAATAACCTCCATCACGCTCGACATCGAATTCGACAACTGTCAAACAGGCACCATTGACGGCTATGGAGTCACCGATATGACAGTCCACTAAGATAGGTGCTGACTGCGATATGGTTAAAGCACAACCGCCATCATCCCGGTGGATAGCAGACACTGTTCCAAGGTGTTCAATCTGAAGTCAAGTTACAGGGAACGAGTAGCTGCATAGAATTGAAGTAGTACTTACCAGACCAGTAAACATGCCTGAGTGATAACGTTTAGTCAGTTCTGACCAAGTTCTGACCTAAGAAGGCTGACGATTACCAAACTCGTCTAATTCCTCGTATTCAGAAGTTTGTAGGGCCAACTTTTTTTTCGCTTTTGTCTAGAATCACTGTCTCTCCAGACGATCGTATTGTGATGACTTCCAAGAAATCACCGGCATCTACTGAGCCAGTGGTTGCTAATAGATCACTGTGGCAATCATACAAAGGTGTGTAAACTAATTTCCTTAGTTCTACGTAGGTCTGCTCAGACAACTCTCTCAAGCTCTTCCGGCCCGAACACGACTATACATCTCCATGGCTGTATGCTCGGTGGGCGCAGTAGGAATTTATGTATCCGACTGTTTGGAAAAGAAGTACCCAGTGGCGTCTCCAAGGACCCCGCCTACCCATGTCGCGTCCCCACCGTCCCGGAACGCGGCAGGTACAGCATGAACAGTTATACAAAACGATTGGGTGGATATTGAATGTGATAGTCGCTGATTGTGGCGCGAGTTGGAAATACTTGCTTGTTGGGAAAGAAACTGGAAAATGGGGTAGTATTAGGGCAGGGTGTGGTATGAGGGAGCTACAGGCAAATTCCACGCTCTATGTGTCTCCGAGTCCGTGGCGACCGCTGCGTGCGGAAAGCTGGCGGTGAAGAGCGCACTTATGGAGATTATCGGCATCCCAAGGAAGCTCTCGAGTGTCTGATGGAGAGACGACTCTGAGTAACGGAGGTGGCACCGCGACTGGCAGGGTAGGAATAGTGTGGTCCGCGGAGTTTCTCATCGTATGGATATCTCTCTCCTTCACATGATGTGGGTCCGTATCAGACCGAAAAGACACAAACGATGCTCGCTGTCTATAATCACGGTCTTCTGATCCTAGTTTGACTTCCCAGGTCTGCTTCTCCCAGTCAGGGACGAACTGTTCGATGCCACTGTCCCTTCGACCCTTGCAGCACAAGATCTCTTGTGCAATCTTCCACCATCGATCGAAGAATATGCTGGATGTAATCGCTATTGCTATTATCAAGATTGCGATGAAGACGATCCCAATGATTTTCCAGGTCTTGTTGTCGGCGGACGCGTTTTCGGACATGGCGGCTGATGAGGGATTTGGATAACTCGCCGGCCTTGTGGTGGATGTAGATGTTATCTGTTCCGGAGATGGGTTTAGAGAGCCTGCGGACGACGTAACACCGAGGGTTGTGGGAGTCACTAGATCAAGCTTTCCCAATGAGGATGCCGTGGGGAGTACCGAATCTGTGAACAAGCCTCCTAGATCTTTCAAACCAGGATGTATAGGAGATGAAGGTGAGCTAAGATGGAACGTGTCTGATGTTGCAGGCGAGTCTGTGCCACTGCCAGCAGTGCCTGCGAGCATACCGAGTAAGTCTCTTCCTGAATGCACGCTTGAGCCATAATGCGCAGTTGTTATCTCTGGCAGTGCAATCGCGATTGCTCCTGAGATCTGGATTAGAAGTAAAAGAGGGTGCTGGTACCTCATGGAGATTATAGACTGCTAGACAGAGACAGCTGGCAGTACAAAGTTTATGTAAACTAGGCTATGTTCGCGTCCTCGGTCACGTGGCTAAGAAATCAGTTTTTCAATAACAAATTATAATATTCTAAATTGCATCTAGGAGTCTGTTTCAGCTTCCGTGAGAAATAACGTAATTGTTCATCTTCTAAAGCTTGAATTCCTTACACGATCGGCGGCAACTTCTTCTGAATCCGCGACTTTTAAGGCGTTTCACCTTGGCTTCGTGGTTAAGAATTATGCACTCTGCTCAGGTAGGTATTTATCATCCTCCCTCCACTGTACAGTGCTGATCCCTCTACAGGAACCCTGGTTCAGCGAGCAACTTCATAACGTTCCGTTTGGAACTTGGTGTCCCGCTGTTATCACTATCCTAGCAATCGTTATCGACTTCCTAGCGCGCAGGCAGCTTCCAAAAATCATTCAAGTTACTTGGAGTGCGCTGAGCGCACCTTTTCGCAACTTTATCACTTTAGACGATGTCGAGGGTCCCTTCGACGATGACTTTCCTCAACAGATTTGGATAATTCGAGCGCTTGTTTCTGTCGCACTCCTTTCCTCCTTTAGCTGGCTTGCATATTTTGGGTATACCATCGTCTTGCACGAACCCTGGACCAACGCCTTAGTGGCATCAATTGCATGGGTAGGATTGTTCAATATTTTATTACACGTCAAATTCACCTTGTGATTTGTCGTGCCAGTTTTATGCAACCCTAAGACTCCTGTTGAGAGCACCGTCTACCCCTCCGTATATGCTTATTCTACTTGCAGTTTCGCAAATAGCTGCTGCCTGCATTTACTACTTTTCATTGCCCGATTATGCTGCCGGTCCCATGATCGCTATTCTAATTTGGACAATATCTTCAGCAACCTTCGTCTACGTGGCTGGCCTTTTGCCACTGCAGGCTGTGCGACCCGCGCTCAACGTTGCCAGCTCAACCAACGTCTGTTCGTTCAACTATGTCCCCCACCCATATACTGACCCTGGGGATTAGATTCCGTCATCCAATCTTTCCTCTCCCGAAGATGACGCAAACCTTTGGTCATGGTGTACCGTATCATTTGTAGAACCCATATTGGACCTGGCGTGGAAGCGAACATTGAATGATGCCGATGTCTGGTCCTTGTCGCCGTTTTTCCGACACAAGAACTTGTTCAACAAATGCCTCCGTTACCGTTCACGGTAGGCAAACACTGTTTTCTATTTAGGTCAGTCTCTTATACGCAGCTAGCTATCCGACGCATTCTCTACTGCGCTTTTTGCTGGTATCTAACTCCCTCGATCTAATCTTGGACCTTGCATTGGAAATGTGGGGCGCCGTTGTCGGTGCGTGTATTATGCTCAGATATGGATTGATTTGGGTAGAGTAATGTCATATTTATCCGCAGGGTTCGTGCCGGCTTACGCACTCCGGATGATTCTATCATCGTTAGATAATCCTACTCCCGAGTCGGTAGCGAATGCCAAATACTGGGCTTTCCTTACATTTGTAGCACATTTGTCTTTTGCACAAGTCGATCTCTTCAAAAATTGGCATACTCGCAGATGTTACGAACGAACTCGCGGCCAACTCTTCTGTGCTTTGCACTATAAAGCGCTGCGCCGCAGGGATATCAGTGGAAAAACTTCTAGCGACGAAGAAGGAAGTGCTGACCTTGGAAAAATTGTGAATCTCATGCAGTGCGTTTTCCTCAGGGTTATAGTCTCCTGTGAATAACTCAATCCACCCTAAAGAGGCGATGCGTATGCTGTCGCTCAACGATTTTGGGATTTTGCCGCAATCTTCTCGTCTCCTCTACGGCTCGTGATAGCGCTAGTCTTCCTCTACAAGTACGTCACAGCTCCTCTGAGATATCAAGCTAAGTAATACCTTAGGATATTGGGATGGAGCGCGATGTCAGGCGTCGTTGTGATTCTTTTTGCCTATATTCTGAACTACCCATTGGCGACATACAACATCAAGGTTTGGAGTCTCGATTGTTTTATTTTCCTGGCTAATGTGACACAGATTACCCGAGCATCATGGAAGGCCAAAGACAAAAGGATGAATGTCGTAAACGAACTACTTCAGAATATCAGATTTTTGAAGTTTTATGGTTGGGGTGGGTGAGCAGAAGCTGACACATAATTCTACTTGACCAGCGTTTCAATAGAAAATCAGTGGTCTCGCACTGCTCATCAGGCACGAGAAGAGGAACTCGACTGGCGGGTTAAAGAGAATGTTGTCGACACTATCATCTCTTTCATATGGTAAGCTGTTTGTTGTCCAGACTTCGCGCGTACTCACGACAAATTTATAGGACGTGGATACCTTCAGCGACAGCCCTTGCGACATTCTCGTGGTACACTTTGGGCGAACAGGAGCAGCTGACGGTATCCAAGGCATTTACCGCAGTCGCTCTGTTCTCACAGCTACAGGAACCGATGACCGCTCTTCCTGGACAATTCTTTGCAATGCTTCACGGTTTGTCATGCGACACTACAACTGGATATGCAATTCTTATCTTTCATAGCTTACGTATCGATGCAGCGTATTGAGGGGCTCCTTGCGGAGCAAGAGGTTCCTGAATGGGCTTTATCTCTGTCGACAGTGGATACCGGCTCTGAAGCGGATTTCTCGGACATCGGCTTTAATAATGCGACCTTTGAATGGCACGGAGTTCACAAAGAATCGATGACTGAAACTCACTTCCAACTTGGACCTCTGAACATCAAGTTTCCGAAGGGCCAGCTGAGCCTTATCAGTGGTGCGACTGGTGCTGGGAAAAGTGCCATGCTTACAGCGTTGCTTGGCGGTCAGTGCATCCTTTGCGGTCAGAAGTCGGCCCTTAGATGTATTCATTCTAGAAATGCATTGTTTGTCCGGTGATGTATCCATAAACAAGAGGAGGCATCAAGTGGCTTACTGCGCCCAAACTCCTTGCAAGTGATGTCATCATAGTGCAACTTAGTCGCTCACTCAAATTGATATGCAGGGCTTGAACACGCAACCATAAGGGAGAACATCATTTTCGGCTCCAAGCTCGGCTTCGATGAGACGCGATACCACGCAGTCGTCGAGGCATGTGCCCTTGAACGTGATCTTGCTGTATTCGAAGCTGGCGACATGACTGGTAAGGGTTTTCTTATCCATCCATCATTGCTAAGACCTTACTTTGAATCCCAGAAATCGGCGAGAAAGGTATCACGCTATCTGGTGGACAGAGAGCTCGTATTGCCTTGGCACGCGCTATGTACTCGGAAGCTAACGTGAGTCTCCTGCCAGTCTATTGTTCCATTATCTTAACCGACCTCGTTACTGGATAGTGCATCCTTCTTGATGATCCGTAGGCATTTTCTGTCAAGGTCACTATTTTTTCTGAATGTTCTTCAGACTTGCCGCGGTCGATATGCATACTGCACAACACATTGTGCAGCACTGTTTGTATGGGGAACTGGCTCGCGATCGGACAATTATCCTGGTAACCCACCATATCAGTTTATGTTTACCGATTGCATCTTACGTGGTTGAGCTGTCTCGCGGCACCATTGCCCGTGCTGGCGATAAAGAGGAGTTCCAGGATATCGGAGAGTTTGATGCTCTTAACGAGGTTGACGATGAAGAAACAGAAGTCGCTACTTCGGGAATTCAAACCCCAGATGACAACATGACCAAAGACGTTCTTCCAATGCAGCGGCCGTCTCAAACTACCAGAAAATTAGTGGAAGCGGAAGTTCGAGCGGAAGGCCGGGTGCCTTTCAGAACGTATTGGGTTTACATCAAGGCAGCAGGTTTAATGTCCTGGGCATTGACTCTCGTCTTGATGCTCATGATCCGCATGATTAACATCGGGAATCAGGTACGGTTGCAGGTCTTGACCCCATACATGTTGCCAATTTTTTTTCAAGGTGTTCTTGGCCAAATGGGGTGAATCTTACGACGTCTCCGCTGCGGTTTTCCTTCCAAACGTCAAATATCCTTGGGATGACTTACCCCCTCCTGATGTCGATGTCAAACCATGGCTTTTGATTTACCTCTATATCTCTATCGCAGGGGCATTCTCAGTACTGGCTTACATCTCGTTGGGCTATTACGCAAGTCTCCAGGCCTCCCGCTCCCTGTTCCTCAGACTACTCCAAAGGCTTACAAGAGCACCGGCCCGGTTCTTTGATACCACACCCATCGGGAGGATTCTTAACCGTTTTACGACAGACATCAACACTATTGACGGAGCTCTGCAAACTTCCGCCCGCGCCGCATTATCCGGCGTTCTTAATTTCTTGGCTTCTTTCACTGTCATAATCGTGGTTATACCCGCGTTCGCGCCTTTAGCGTTGGTGATAGCATGGTTGTATATCCGCATTGCTCCTCGATTCGTACAAGCTCAACGAGACCTGCGTCGCCTTGAGAGCGTCGCCTTGTCGCCTGCATTCGCTGGTTTCGATGAGCTTCTACGTGGCTTGTCACACGTTCGTGCATTTGCAATGGAGTCAAGATACCAAGATAAATTCTATGAAAAAGTAGATAAATTTCAATCGTACGACCACGTATACGTAAGATGCACTCCTCACCCTGCAATGTCTCGCACTGACCCCTTCGCCAGTGGCTTGTCAACGGCTGGCTCCGCTGGAGATATGACTGTATGTGGCTTGTGTCTTTCATCATGTTTAACTCAAACGCCTTGCAGGTCTCGGCTCAGTTGTGGTGTATCTCACGACTCTCTTCGCTCTTTCGCAAGGAGTTTCCAATGGGTCTTCTGCAATCGTTATCGTCCAAGCTGGAATATTTGCTGAGGCATCTCGCCAACTAGTGCGAGTTCTTGCCCAGCTGGAGCTTGACTTTAATGCGGTCGAACGTGTGGTTGAGTATCTTGGTGTACCACAAGAGGCACCTGCTATTATCGAGAAGAGCAGACCTCCAGCATACTGGCCATCAAGCGATGGTCAGTTGGTTGTCGAGAACCTTGTTGTCAGGTACAGCCCTGACCTACCGGACGTGCTCAAAAATATATCATTTGTTGTTCAACCGTCTGAAAAAATTGGAGTGGTTTGTCGCATATCCTTGGAACATCTAGCATTCACAATTGATCATTATTATCGACAGGTCGGACGGACGGGCTCCGGGAAATCAAGCTTGGCTTTGTCATTGCTGCGTATGATAGAGGCTAGCTCTGGAAGAATAATGTATGTTATTGTCGGTGTCTTGATCCTTGTTCCAGCGTCTGAACACTTTTGTAGCATTGACGGAATAGATATTTCAACAATTGGTTTAGAAGATCTTCGGTCACGGATAGTGGGTCGATTATTTAGTCCCTTAGGAAATTGCTCATTTGTCCCCAGACCATTGTTAGTCAGGACGTTTCGTTGTTTTCTGGTACACTCAGAAGCAACTTGGACCCATTCGAGGAGCATACTGACCAGGAGTGCTGGGATGTGCTCGAGCGATGTCATTTAACAAGGCTGCTCAGTCGGGCAATTGAAAAAGGTGGCTTCACACTTGAGATGCCGATAAGCCAAGGTGGCTCGCTCAGCGCAGGAGAAAGGCAACTGGTTGCACTCTCTCGGGCAGTTCTACGAAAAACCAATATCATCATTATGGATGAAGCAACGTCTCAGATAGATTCGCGTTTGGATGACCAGGTTAGTTGACATGTTACTCCAGTCCTGTGTCTCACTAATATGTGCCTATAGATCCAAACGACAATTCGTGAAGAACTTTCCGGTGCGCTTATTATTACTATCGCGCATCGCCTCAAGACGATCATCGATTATGATCGCATTTTAGTGTTAGATGCTGGGGAGATCATTGAGTTTGATGAGCCAAAAGTACTTTTGGCAAAGGTTGGAGGGGCTTTCCGAGAGATGTGTAGAAAGAGTGCAGATTGGCCACAATTATTTGCTTCGATGGAACGTTAGGGCCGTACACTATCACTAGTATATTCATCGATTGCATATGAATTTCTTCCGGGTTACGGGACTCTTGTTTGGGAAGACAGCGTGGTTAACCTGAGCAAAAGATAGGATTTGAGTTGATTCGAAGTTAATCCAAACCACAGCTGGAACGCTCAGGAAAACCCGGTATTGATCTCATGTTTCTCCGAAACCGAGCATTCGTATAATAGGGAACCAGAATGTTCATCGTAATCCAAGAGAATGGTGCCAGGCTTACCTTGTGGTCGTTGTTCTCGTGAGGGTCGGCGTGAGAGAAGTTGAAACTAGAAACTCCGCCGGACTTTGTAATATTGCTGAACCACATTGGGCGGATTCCCCGGGTCGCTGGCGGCGGGCTGTGGCACGCTGTGGCGTCATTACAACACTGCTCCGAAACCTGTATTACATTTCCACCACCCATCCACTTGCTCAGCGCTCAAGCTCAGGCTTTTGCTACCATGTCTTCCAGAGAACCCATGTGGTATTGTCACGAAGTTTGTCCCCTGATAATAACTTGCACGTCAAGTTATACTAATATAACATTGCAATAGTGTCATGCTGAGATGAGACCACTCATGGTTAGCAGATCCTCAGCTGACTTCCGATGTTAACGTATGACGATGTGATCTATTAGCAACCGGATCCAATTTGTGCATCATGTCAGGGCACGTTCGTCGAGAAGGTGCGCACCCCGATCTTCGTACTTGATGATAACGATGTATCATAAACTTCTACAGATAGAGGATCCGAGCGATGATCCTCGGGCATATCAGCAACACGCTCCGAGAGGAGGCTTCGATGACGAAATTCCTCCGAATTTAGGTGGCTTGCTAGGTGCGCGTTCATGCATGCATACATGCAGTAAGACCTTACATGGAAGGAAACACCCACAGCTGCATTGACGGGAAATCCTCGACCTCGCTCACCTACCTTTGCTCGTAGCCCAGAGGTAGTACCACCGGTCTGTCATCTTCTATACACGCTGCAAGAAAAGCTCACAACACGATCAGGCTGGTATTCGTCTTGAGTTTCATAGTACTGGACCTAGTCAGGGTGCCACAAGGACCGTGTTTCTTGGTCCCAACGCCCTTAATCGTCCGCGCTCTCCGGAGCAGCGCGATGGTGAAATTCCCAACATGTCCGAGTACGCCCATTGTGATCGTCTCGAAATCTTATATGCACATTTTGGTCTAGGTTCCTGCGTCGTGATAATCAAAATGGTCAACGACCCGGAGACATTACTGGCCCAATGATGGCACAATATTTATTGGCTTTACTGGGGCAGGGACCCACCGGTAGTAGAGGCGCAGACCCTTTTGCTGAAATGTTCTCCCTTGGTCCTGAAGGAGGACCGGGTGGACGCTGGGGCGACTATGTTTTCAATCAAGAGGGTGTGTATCTCTTTGAAACGTTTTACAAAGCCTTACGATAATTGAGTAGCATTGGACCAAGTAATAACGCAGATAATGGAAAACTCCGCATCACGGCCTATTCCAGCAACAGACGACATCATTAACAATCTCCCACGAGAAGTTCTTTTGGAACGATGTTTGTCATTGTCCATCGTATCTTCCACCCGCTGCTCACTTTCATGTATTGCTAGCTCCACTACTGGATAAAGATTGCGCCGTATGTAAAGAACAGTTCCAACTAGGAACCGAAGACCCGGAAGAGCAAGTTATTGTAACTCTTCCATGCAAGCACCCATTTCACCAGCCTTGTATATTGCCATGGTTAAAATCTAGCGGAACGTGTCCTGTTTGCCGGTGGGTCATTTTTTCATGTCCATTTCCACATCATCTTACGCTGAGTAAAAGGTATGCTCTTATAGAACAAGCACAACGGCCACGCTCACCAGGTAGCCCCCCGGGACCAGGAAACGGACCCAGTAGCCGCCCAACAAGCCCACCATCAGCTCCACCACGTCCACGATCACCTGGGAACTCAGGTCGCAGTGGTGGAGGATTGTTCCATTCATTTTTTGGAAGCATGGGTGGCTCGAGAGCGGGTGGCAGTTCGGGTAGGAATTCAGGTTCAAGAGGAAACTCAGGTTCAAGAGGAAATTCAGGTTCAAGAGGAGCACGTCGCGCGGGCATGTCCAACGAGTCTCAGGGCAGTACGCCGCCTTTCCCCGGGCGCTGGGACGAAGAGACAGACTAATCGAGCGTTGACTTCGTTTCTTAGACCACCTGCGGAGCGACTTGCGGGCGGTCTGTTGTAGATATGCATATCTTTCTGATGCGTTCTGAGTCTTCTGACCTCACTTTCCTTCTTGCAAGTTGTAAAGATACATAATGTTATATGAACTTTCCGAGGTGCGGAGTCTTTGAATGTTCCCCTCGCGCCGCGGCCAGTAACGTCGGCAACCCAAATGATTTTGTGGGGAAACCCTTGACACTCCACTATGGACAGAAATAAGATACAAGCTCCCCAGCGTCACCATCAAAGAGCCAGTGGTAACCTTCCGCAAGGTTTTACCAATGGATTTCTGTAGAATCCTCATGCCTTGGCCGAATAGCTGGGATGCATCAGGATTCCTGTGCCTTGTCAGTGGGCTGTTCGGATTCTGAAAGTGCCGGGGAGTCTGTCACTTCAGGGCGCCTCATATGATATCATCCCACCCAATCCATCCCACCTGCCTGTCATCAAGATCTTCACCTCCATCTCTTCTGATCCCTGCGAGTCTCTCACGCTTTGTCACGGTCTACTACTTCCTATGTGTTTGCCTATTTCCTGTTTGTCTGCCAACACCATGTCGTTGTCTGCAGCTCCCAGTCTATGACTGCCATGTCCTCCCTCCAGGTGACTTGAACTGTAACGGCAAGTTGACAAAGATGACGATATCAGCATGACGGTTGACATAGATGGCGGGATGCGTGCCAATCGTGTCTGACTAGTAGATGGCACGGTGGTTGCAATGATGCAGACACCACCCGGAACTTTCCGATCACAGGCATGTCTCCAGACGTCCTGAACTTTGGCGCCGAGTTTGGACCCTGCGCAGACTTCATGCAGACTGTCCATTTCCTACATGTCCTCCTCTTAAGACTTCTTGCTCTTGCAACTCGTCCGAATCATTTATATTTTTTTCCGGCATCGATGATGCATCACGACTAACCAGACCACCTTTGACTCCGCAAAGATAGCCTTCTTTCAAACTCAAAAGTGCGTCCGTCTTTACCGGTGTGTTACTTCTCGACCCTGCCAGGTTCCACGGCGTCAAAAAGTATGTTTTCCACCCCTTTGTTTCAAGCTCTTACTAAAATACTTCACCCTCAAACTCGCCCCTTTCCTTCTTTTGTCATCTCGTCTCTTCCGGCAACACCTTGCATCCGCATATATGCACCTGTTTTGCGCCAGTTTGCTGGCGTGATTTCAGCATGCTGATTTTGTCTATCTCGCACTTGGTTTAATGCTGGCGCGGTGACAATGTAAAATCGCTCTTGACACAGCACTGCACACCTGTCCGTCACTGGCAGGAGAATATCGTGGGAGGGTGATAGTTCTAAGAGCTGTAAAGAGCATGGTAGCATGCTCTGGGATGTACATCAGGTGTATAGTAGTACCAGAAGTATATCCTAAACAGAGGGTGATTTCACTATTTCAGATGTGATACTATTGCTAATCATACGCAAACCGGACCGAGGAATAAGACCTCCATAGCCTACTCCATACAGCCATCAAATCCGTATGCTGCTTTGCGTCTGAAAATCGATCTTTTGTGTACTTTGGTGATTCTATTTTAGTTGGTGGCAGCATCAGTGTACGAGGTTTCAGCAAAACCAACGCGGGAGTTGGCGGTATCGAACACAGAGTAGAAGCGCTCGAGGAATGTGTAGCCGTTGACAAAGTCAAACCCTGCGCCACTGGGCGTGCCAATGTCACAAACGACGAGATACATGGCGTTGCTACTACCACCGATATAGGTGTTGAGAGAACGAGGCCAAAGTTGGGCGTTAGGCGTCAGAGCGTAGGTTTCCTGTGCAAATGGTAAACAAGGGGCACGAGGGCTGATAGAAATGGCGTACGCTGCCAATATGGAAGTTCAGGTTCTTCAGGGCTTTGTACTGGGAAGAGGAAATGAGGAGAAGACCAGTCGCCGCATCCAGAGTACCACCGGTTGCAGACTTGTACTTGGCGTAGGCATCTATGAACACTGATTAGACTATGACTACTCGCTGCATTCTAGATACACACCGCTGGCAATGTAAATATAGGTGGTTCCAGTATCGACGATACCAGCCGTGGAGGACAAGATCGTCGTGGAGCCGTAAGAGATGCTCTGGTTGATACCCCAATAGTTCGATGAAGGGTAGGTGGTAGTGATGGGACTGAAACAAAATTGTTATCAGCCTGAATTGATCTAGGAGCTGAGGCAGCTTACGTGTATGCGATGGAGCCAGCGTACTTGGTAGCATCAGTTCCACCGAATGTGAGCTCTCCATTGGTGACTGTCTTTGAAATGGTGGGCTCGAAAGAGATACCAACCACCTTTTGAGAAATAGTGCCTTGGCTATACAGATTGTCAGTGACAGTCGGGATCGTCGTTGTCGGTTTATTTGTAAGGGAACCCTCTGTCAATGCCACAGGCCCGATGCCAAGGATACCGTCAATACTAGTACCAGTTAAGCCCGTCGAAGTAGAAGCGACACCGATCGACTGTGCGGTGATGGTCAGCCCACTACCGAGAGTGATGGTGTCGGTGTACTCCGTTCCTGTAGATATTCGTAGGTATTTCCAACTTATGATATATCTGTATGACATACCAGAGAAGGAGCCAGAACCGTAGTGGACCGCTACACGCTCGCCGGTGTCGACGCTGGTCTGGGTCTTCACGTATTTGGTGTTGGCACCAACCCATGTGTTCGAGCTGCCAGTGTCGACAATCAAGTTGTCTGTAATAACACATTAGCAGCCGCATGTTTTTTTCACTGTTGAACTTACAGGTTGTGGCGGGGCTGCCGATGCCAACTGCTATGAGGTATGTTGCAACAGTATTGGTCACAGGAGTGCTACCAGTATGGCCGCCCTGCGTGCTGAAAGAGTTGTCCTTGAGGGCAGTCACGCGAGCTTTATCATGTTGCAAGAGGTTAATGGGACCATTGGAGACGTTTAGCCTCCTGGCAATGGGGAGGGTGATGGGGGAATTGTCGATTTCAACAGGCGATCCCGCGATTGACAAAGCCAGGAAGATGATTGTCAACAAGGATGCAGCGGGGAACATGACTGACTAGAAAGTCATATCATACTCAGTGGTTCATTATATATACACTGGCGAATGCGAATATTGGGCGCCTTGGCTACCTATGAAAGGTCCCCTCTCGGAAAGCGACGGCGAAATAGTGGCGGTCCGAGTTATCGCGAGTGCAAAAATTCGAGTTCCTGATAAAATAATGATGACAAGAAGTTTGTTTTTGATCCAAGAGGCAGGATACAATTCCCCGTGGTCCATTGGTTTATTGACTTACCTCACGTTCATTTCCGTAGAGACGCGCCCATTAATAATACACCTCAGCAGAACGTCAGTATCAGAGTCTAGCAAGCGTTGCTGAGGAGAGCGGTTGTCTCTGACTGTCCCGGGCCTGCTAGTGATCGGCAAGTTGTTGAACCGACGCCATTTGAGGCCATTTGCCAACTCGGCCCGAAGCCATGATGGTATCAACAAAGACGAAGCAGTGACGAAGCTCGCCACTTTCTGAAGCACATCGACTGTTTACACACGGTCTGATGGTTCATTTGTGCAAGTGGGGACAAATTGCTGGAGGTTGCATGACTACAGAGTCGACCGGCATGAAGGCACACTGCGAATGTTATCCCGTAGCGACGCACACCAGTCTCAGACTCGTATGGGGAATCCACAGGCCTATATGTGATGCATGGCCACCTACAGGTAAGTTATCGTCTAAGGGTCAAGAAGTCTCAATGAATGACGCGATCATGGTTCTAACATGTGTTGTACATACGCCATGTGCGAACACTTCATCGAAGAGTCTTGTCCTGGGAACTGGAAGTCCATTGGCAGATTGATCGTCAATATTCGTTTGACCCAGGTGGTAAACAAGAAGGTATAACCATCAAGAATTCAGTTTACACGTGCCGTTGATTATGTAAATAAGTAATCGAACTTCTGAGTCGGTTTTCAAAGTAAGTAGCATTCAATCTGTGAATAATGTTACTGTCCTCAATAACATTTTATTTCATATGTGAGTTATTGGCAAGGCATCGGAGTAAACTGAGTCTGAGATCTGATTGTGTACCGAGCTGCTGCCAGTGAAGTGAAAAGATCAAGATCACAAGTAAATATGATACTAGATACTATTGCTAATCATGCGCCGGAATAAGACCTCCATAGCCTACTTGAGAAAGCTCCGTACAGCCATCAAATACGTATGCTGCTTTGCGTCTGAAAATTGATCTTTTGTGTACTTTGGTGGTCATATTAGTTGGTGGTGGCATCAGTGTACGAGGTTTCAGCAAAACCAACGCGGGAGTTGGCGGTATCGAACACAGAGTAGAAGCGCTCGAGGAATGTGTAGCCGTTGACAAAGTCAAACCCTGCGCCACTGGGCGTACCAATGTCACTAACCATGAGATATATGGCGTTGCTACTACCACCAACGTAAGAGTTGAGAGAACGAGGCCAAATTTGGGCGTTAGGCGTCAGAGCGTAGGTTTTCTGTGCAAATGGTAAACAAGGGGCACGAGGGCTGATAGAAATGGCGTACGCTGCCAATATGGAAGTTCAGGTTCTTCAGGGCTTTGTACTGGGAAGAGGAAATGAGGAGAAGACCAGTCGCCGCATCCAGAGTACCACCGGTTGCAGACTTGTACTTGGCGTAGGCATCTACGAACGCTGATTAGACCATGAGTACTCACTGCATTCTAGATACATACCGCTGGCAATGTAAACAAAGGTGGTTCCAGTATCGACGATTCCAGCCGTGGAGGACAAGATCGTCGTGGAGCCGTAAGAGATGCTCTGGTTGATACCCCAATAGTTCGATGAAGGGTAGGTGGTAGTGATAGGACTGAAACAAAACAATTGCTACCAGCCTGGATTGATCTAGGAGCTGAGGCAGCTTACGTGTATTCGATGGAGCCGGTGTACTTGGTAGCATCAGTTCCACCGAAGGTGAGCTCTCCATTGGTGACTGTCTTTGAAATGGTGGGCTCGAAAGAGATACCAATCACCTTTTGAGAAATGGTGCCTTGGCTATACAGATTGTCAGTGACAGTCGGGATCGTCTTGGTCGGTTCATTTGTCAGAGTATCGCTTGTCAAGCCTACAGGCCCGATGCCAAGGATACCGTCAACACTGGTGAAGCCCGCCGAAGTAGAAGCAACACCGATCGACTGCGCGGTGATGGTCAGCCCACTACCGAGAGTGACGGTGTCGATGTACTCCGTTCCTGTAGATATTCGTAGGTATTTCCAACTTATGATATATCTGTATGACATACCAGAGAAGGAGCCAGAACCGTAGCCGACGGATACAGGCTCGCGGGTGTCGACGCTGGTCTTGGTCTTCACGTATTTGGTGTTGGCACCAACCCATGTGTTCGAGCTGCCAGTGTCGACAATCAAGTTGTCTGTAATAACACATTAGCAGCCGCGCGTTTTTTCAGTGCTGAACTTACAGGTTGTGGCGGGGCTGCCGATGCCAACTGCTATGAGGTATGTTAGAACAACGTCGGTCACAGGAGTGCTACCAGTATGGCCGCCCTGCGTGCTGAAAGAGTTGTCCTTGAGGGCAGTCACACGAGCTTTATCCTGTTGCAAGAGGTTAATGGGACCATTGGAGACGTTTAACCTCCTGGCAATGGGGAGGGTGACGGGGGAATTGTCGATTTCAACGGGCGATCCCGCGATTGACAAAGCCAGGAAGATGATTGTCAACAAGGATGCAGCGGGGAACATGAATGATGACTGACTCGAAAGTTATATCATACTCTGAGCGAGTGATCCATTATATATGCACTGGCGAACGCGAATATTGGGCACCTTAGCTACGTATGAAACGTCCCCTCTCAAAAAGCGATGACGAAGTAGTGGCGGTCCGAGTTATCACGAGTGCATAGATTCGACTTCGTGATCAAATAACAATAACAAGAAGGTTGTTTTTGATCCAAGGCGGCAGAAATTTACAATTCGCCTGTTTACCCATGGTCCATTGGTTCATGACTTACCTCACGTTCATTTCCGTAGAAACGCTCACCCATCAATAATACACCTCAGCAGAACGTCAGTATCAGGTTGGTGTAGCAAGCGTTGCTGAGGAGAGAGGTTGTCCCTGGTTGTCCCGGCCCTGCCAGTGATCGAATTGTTGAACTGAGGCCGTTTGAAGTCAATTATTTGCCAACTCGGCCCGAAATCATGGAATAGAATGATGGTATCGACAAAGATGAAGCAGTGACGAAGCTCGCCATTTTCTGGAGCACGACGGCTGTTTACACACGATCCGATGGTTCATTTATGCAAGCAAGAATTTTTTGCCGGAGATTGCATGACTACAGGGTCGATTCCTCGACCACGAGGGCACATTGCGAATATTATCCCGTAGCGACGCACACCAGTCTCAGACTCGTATGGGGAATCCACAGACCTATATGTAATGCATGGCCACCTACAGGTCAAAATGAATCACGCGATCATGGTTCCAACTTGTGTTGTACATACGTCATGTGCGAGCACTTGATTGAAAAGCCTTGTCCTGAGAACTGGAAGTACTGGTAGATCATATTCGGTTGACCTAGGTGGTGGACGAAGTAAGACGTGCTAATGATTAAGTAATTCAAGTTGATTAAGCCCGGAACTTCCCAGTCGCACAAGTAGCGTTCTGATAATAATGTTACTGTAGTATATGTGAGTTATCGGCAAGACATCGTAGTAAAGTGAGTCTGATTGTAAGTGCAAGCCAAGACATACCGATATCACCGAGCAATATGTATGTGACTACTGAAAATGCATCACCTGTAGATCGAGCCAAAACAAGTAATTGCACACTGCGATGTCGACGAACTATAGACCCAAACGCTAACGGTGACGCGAATGATTTATGAATCATACCCAATGACGTGGCCTTACAGTAGACCCAAGAGCAACGCTGGAGTGCAGGTTCGCACTTATAACACCGATAACACCGTCATATACCTGAGCTTTCGCCGATCAGAGAACAGTTCCGGTGAAAAGATGATTTTGCGATCAATGCATCATATATCATCATATATACGATATATGACCATGTAAATGGACGGTAACCAGTATAATTACCAGCAAAAATTAGTACCTACTCACTGGTTCAATGAACGCCACAGCAATAGTACATGCAGCTTGTCGACAGATTCTGGCATCCGTTCGAGAGAACTGAAAGATCGCACGACCTAGGCTGCTGCGTGGTCGTGACTCGCCAGATTGTCAAACGCAGTTAAACTTGCTTTGAAGTTGAAACGTCACCTCGAGATTGAATGTAAGCTTTCCATTGAACCCCTTCACAGGGGCAGACTTGCCCGTGTGGGCAAGCCAAGCACAAGTCTAACGACCAGACGGGGTAATAGCGTGTGGTGGGGGAATAAGTCGTGGCTGCAGCCTAGTAGGAGCAGGAGAATCGCTCAGCCAACCAATGTTTACCACATCATCATCCGCGTGCACAGATGTTACATATGATATGGATATGTGCGTCTGTGACTACAACGGTAACTACAGCACACATATCATTCTCACGGAAGAGCCAGGTCGATTATTAGAAGATCCGATCTTTCTGAATCTAGATTAGTCCACGCTGTGGGTGGTCTCATGATTTAGGTTGAATGATGGAACGACAACAGTTCACTCTAGTCAAATGCTTCCCCAGGACAACTTTGTCCATACGTTTGATCACGCGGAAGCAATTCGCGTGACTCTCCACCCGGACTAATACTCACGATGAAACATGTTTATCCCATGGAAGCAAGTCCGTCCACCACCTGAGCTCCACTAAGTCAGCGGGAACACTAGCTATATTTCATTCATAACAATAACAATGCAAAGCTCTAAGCTCCATAACGAGATACGATAGTGACTAGCTACTTCCAACTTCCCTCCCATACAACAACCATATGGACTCAACACTAGAGCACAGAAATAGGGAGTAACGTTGGTAGCAGCGATAGATGCGGGGTAAGGGGGACATACATATCCAGACGCTGCCCTATGCCGCATCCTTGGCAGGAACGATATACCCAGAAACCGACTTAATCATTGCTTGGGGATAGAATACGTACTTTTCATGTTCAGCATGAGCCCTGCTAGCAAGCAATGGTTTGCACCCCTTCTGATGCCGAGCCAAAGAATCGGTCCTCGACGACAGCTTCTTGCAATAGGGGCATCGATAGGACGTAGCGAAGTGGACCCCTTCGATGTGACGACTCAAATACATCATCGTCCCTGCGTCCGGGCAACCCTCGAATCGGCAGGGAGTGGCTTTCTTCGCTTCAATCCCATGCCAAAACCACAGGTGGTCTTCAATACGAATCTTGTCCACCTCTATGAACAGTCCACACGGCTGGTCGGTCCAATCACATGAGCGTACGCACGTCAACTGTGGCGAGTGATGGGCAGGGACGTTTCCAGATGCATCGGGGTAGGTATCGTCCAGTTCCATAACCTCAAATCTCCTCGTTCGAAGGGGATTTCCGTTGGGATCGTGGGTCCTGCGGCTACTGATTTCAACAGGCTTTGGGTCGTGAACAGGCATGGCCATGATCGTGGCATTAGTATCCGCTAGCGTGTACGAACCAAACTTGCCCGGTCTGTAGTCGTCGGCGACGTTCGGGCGTCTGCGCTTGCGCATTGCTGATGCAACGAACGAACTCGAACCATCCTCAATTTCAGAGGTCTGGCGGGTTTTACGCTTACGAGGCCTGGTAGATGCTGTCCCGTCGAGAGCAAGAGAAGTTGGCTCCACGCTTGAGCCCCCACTGGATTCCGTCTGCAATGGAACATATTGACCTTGGGGAAATGGGCCGATGGGGTAATACGCGTTGGACGGACCCGCAATGGTGGGAGGTTGCTGGTAAGGGCAGGAGGGAGCGGGATGATATCCATACTGGGTCAATGCGTCGCCTTGCGGTGGTGCTGGAACGATAACAGAGGGTTGCGAATAATAACACGCACCAGGGGGTCCATTGGCATCATATCCAGGATTATATTCAGGCTGGGACCATAGTACAGGGTCTTGCGGTGCGGCAGAGGGCTGCATATATGTGCTGGGAGGCCCGTTCATGAAGTATCCAGGGTTGTATTCATGTTGGGACCAAGGATGGCCTTGCGGGGGTGCTTGAGGGATGGCAGAGGTCTGCGGAGGGTAGAGCCCCTGATCGATGTGACCACCACCATAAACTTTGCCAGCGGTACCTGCTTAAGACAATAGCAAGGGAGCTTGAGCATAAGGGGAGATTTTATATATTATAGCCCAAAGTTGCGCAGTAGAGAAACGGCAGACACGGAAGTGTGTCACGGTAGAATCACAAAGATCTGAAAGTTTTGATGCGTAGGGTCAGTCCCATCTTTGTTGTAAACGTGCAAAGACGCTTACCTTGTGTGTCCACTGCGTCGCGAACTAGCGTAATCCTTACTTTGGATGCGGTAATTCGAAAGGGTGATACAATGGAACCATTCAAACTTTCAAAGCATCATATCGCAATACTTTTGAGATGGACACCATGGTTTCGACCTAGCGCTTCAATGAATATTCCACGAGCTAACTGGTGATGAGACAGACGAAACATAGGCCGTAATCGGTAATAGTTCCATGTGGTGCAAGATGAAGGAAGCATTCTCTCAGGCTGTGCTAGATGGTCCGTCAACAGTTGTACTGTAAGCAAAATCATGATACATTACATACTAGTATGGGTTTGAGATAGCCACGTCAACGATACACGCTTACGATAACGTTTCGGGGCTGCACGCATCACGCGTGGGCTGTGTTGATATTAGAATTCGCCGTAGCCCTCAGTTGTGCCAGACCGCATGAGAGCAGAGTTCAGAAGACGAGGGTAAGCGTTGTTTTGGTCTGTTGTGCAAAGGCTTTGAGGACTTTCCTTTTTCAAAAGCAACCCACTTTGCAAAACATAGCCGCTGAGGTTCCCTCAGACATGGGCAGTAGCTGTTAATTAATTGTGAATATCTAAGAGCTCGAGTCAACGAGGCGTGTAGTGCACTATACCCCTCGGCAAAATCTTACATTTCCTTTCAGCCTTGTTTTTATTACTCGTATAAATTATATAGCAAATTTTATATAAACTAATAAGAGTAAGAAAAATGTTATGTTATGACTCACAAATACCCAATAGCCGACAAAAAAAGTTTCGTCAGTTGACGGTGGCATCCGTGTATGCGGTCGTGGCAAAACCGACTTGAGAGTTCGTGGTATCGAATACAGTGTAGAAGCGCTCAAGGAGATAGAACCTAAGGATGTCGTACTACATTAGCACTGGTGGTTCTCCTAATTCTCACACCCCACCATGTACCACCGCGAATAAAGGCTTACATGTGCTTGAATATTTTAAATCCTCCCTACTCTGTAGAGCGGTTACAATTTGCAAACATGACATATATTATTCTCACGGAAGAGCTTGGACATTCAATATTCAGTGTTCGAAGGTCGATTATTAGAAGACCATCCCTTTCTCAATCTAAATGCTTAGAGACTTGGATCAGTCTACGCTATGGGTGGTCTCACGATCTAGCCTGAGGGGAAGTGGAGCTGCGGTGTCTTCGTGAAACAGTAACAACTGACATTCGAACGTTCAACGACGACTCTAGTTACAGTTATTTAAAATGCTTCCAGAATATAAAGGTTGTGAGAAATGCTACATTGTAACGTACAAATACCCAATACTCAACCAAAAAAATTGGATCAGTTGGTGGTGGCATCCGTGTATGCGGTTGTGGCAAAACCGACTTGGGAGTGCGTGGTATCGAACACGGCGTAGAAGCGCTCGAGGAAAGTGTAGCCGTTGATGAAGTCGAGACCCTCGCCACTGGGCGTGCCGAGGTCGCTGACAACGAGGTAGATGTAGCTGGTGGTACCACCGATGTAGGTGTTGAGCGAACGAGGCCAGATCTGGGCGTTCGGGGTGAGAGTGTAGGTGTTCTGTGCAAATGGTGAACAAATGGAATTAACACTTGAGACAGAATCACGTACGCTGCCAACAACGAAGTTCAGGTCCTTGAGGGCGCTGTACTGGGTGGTGGTAATGCGGAGAAGACCAGTCGTCCGGTCCAGAGTAGCACCCGTTGCAGACTGGTACTCGCTGTAGGCGTCTATCAAACACTGATTAGACCATGATTACTCGCTGCACTCGAGATACGTACTGCTGGCGAGGAGGATGAGGGTGGTGCCAGTGTCAACGATACCGGCCGTCTCGGCCAAGATGGTCGTCGTGCCGTAAGTGATGCTCTCGTTGATACCCCAGTAGTAGGATGCGGGTTCAGTGGTGGTGAGAGGACTGAAATAATAAATTACTGTCAGTTAGAATTCATCTCCGAGCTGCAGAGACTTACGTGTATGCGAGGGTGCCAGTGTACTTGGTAGCGTCGACTCCACCGAAGGTGAGCTCTCCGTTGGCGTCTGACTCTGTAGTGGTGGGCTCAAAAGAGATACCGACGACTATCTCAGAAATGATGCCTTGGCTGTACAGGTTGTCAGTGACAGTCGGGATCGTCGTGTCCGGCTCATCCGTCAGGGTGCCCTCAGTCAAGATTAGGGGTCCGATGCCGAGGATACCGTCGACACCGGTGAAGCCCGTCGAAGTAGCAGCAACACCGATCGACTGCGCGGTGATGGTGAGCCCACTACCGAGAGTGACGGTGTCGGTGTACTCAGTTCCTGTAGATAATCGTGGGTATTTTCAATTTATGATATTTTTGAATGTCATACCAGAGAAGGAGCCAGAACCGTAGTCGACCGCTACAGGCTCGTTGGTGTCGACGCTGGTGCTGGTCTTCACATACGCAGTGTCGGCACCAACCCACGTGTTGGAGCTACCGGTGTCGACAATCAAGTAGTCTGCAATAATACATTAGCAGCTGCATGTTTTTTTCAGTATTGAACTTACAGGTTGTGGCGGGGCTGCCAACGCCAACGTCTGCGATGTAGCTCACAGCATCGTTTGTCACAGTAATGCTACCAGTACGGCGGCTGAGGGTGCTATCTCCCTTGAAATTTTTGAGGGCGGCTGCGCGGGATTGGTCGTGCTGCACGAGGTTGATGGCACCACCAGAGGTGTTCAGCCTCCTGGCGATAGGGAGGGTGACGGGGGAGTTGCGAACTTCAACGGGCGATGCCGCGATGGACAAGGCCAGGAGGAGAGTCGTTAACAGAGATGCAGCTGGGAACATGATTGAACGGTACTGGAAGATAATCATCATACTACATTCCAAGGTCCATTATATACATGCAGGCGAATCTGAAAACACGTTGCTGAAAGGTGAGCACATGGTTAATCTCATCCTAAGGCTGAACCGTATGGAACGCGCCCCCTCACCGAAAATAGAAATAACTAAACAACCGACTCGTTACGCGCGCATCTTGGATAAAAACCGACATAGCGGGACAGGTAGCCTGTTTTGGCCGTGAGTAAGAGAAACTGTCCATGAGGATGCGCTATTCCACCAGTTTATTAATGGACCGATAGTTAGGCAATGCTTATATTACACGGTGAAGCTCACGCACCTTCGGTCCTTCGCAGTACATCAGGTGCATCACTTTCGAGACGCATTATGCAGATTACTGGAGAGGCTGAGCATTTCTGGGAAGAATGGTGTCCGGACTTGATGAAGTCACATTGAAAAATTTGTTACACTGATGTGAATACAAGAATATCCGCCGGCTCGACATAAAAATTGAGTCGTGGAGCCGCAACTGATTCCTGGGGCATCGATCTTGCGACCAACTGGGGCCATTTTTTCTGAGGAAGAAAGAAATTTGATGCAGGTGAAAAACAGTGAACAAGACAGTGATATAACTTTTCATGGCGAATGGTGAGTATGATGATACCGATAGCTTGCCTTGATCACAGTACTGCCTTTTGGAGATGGGAAGATCAGGACCGCATGAATGATAACCTAGTAAGTAGTAGTGGCCAGGGCCCAGCAGCGTCCTGACAGTACTTGTTCCCCGTTAAACTCTTTCCAGTATTAAGCCCGGCAGGTGCGTATGCCATAGTCTGAGTCACATGGAGCCGCCAGATATTATTCAGAGATACTAGCATCCGTGTGCTTGTGAAGTAGTGAGTCGCAGCGGCCATACTTGAACATGATGGTCACCTGATTCTTCCGCCATGGATGATGGTGATTACAAGATCATATTCGTAATTTTGCTGATACATGATGTAAGCGCTAATTAATATCTCATCATGGGTTCCGGCCGACAACTACTGATTCCCTTTCATGGGAATCTGGTTCAATCGCTGCCTATGTTCAATGTAGCTCTAATGCTGCTTCATATCCGTTTGTACCTTACTGCATGCGATACGGCGAGCAAGCCTGAGGGCAGGATTTCGGAGCTTTGGACCGCAAGTACTGGTTCTTCAATATGACGCCGTAATATTGACTCAGACACGAACATTCACTGCGGAAATGAAAATAACTCTACTCTAACTTAATCGACTTTCCAGATATAACCTAACCCGACGCGGAAACTAAGTCGCATTCATCAGGTAACCGACGTGAAAATGATAAACTCATACAAGACTTTACCTGATCTACAATTTGCACAATATTAATCATAATTGCACTTCACATGACAAAGCTTTGAATACCTGGACTACGTGGGATGAAAATGGCCAGATGCACATTCTTGATAGTCTCATTGTAACTACGCATCAAGACGGTAAAATTTGTAATACCTGCCAACTGCTGCAAAATTGACGAGAGTTTCCACATTCTCCAATTTGAGTACCAGTGCCAGTATATTTGTAGTCCACTGCAATTCCGCCATGTCCTGGTCATGACAGGTACCTTTGCCGAGGTTTTCTTCCTTCGCAGTAGCTACATAAATTCTGGTGTCAGATAAACATTTATAATCCTGGACTATTTAGGATCACAACCGCCAACTGGAAACAAGATGTGAAGCAACTGTAGTAGGGTATCGTGATGTGTCGGCATGGTTGTCACATTACAAGTTGTGCTTCCTACTGCAACCTCGACAAGAACTCTCTTGTTGCTGATATTAGATATGTGATTGTGATACTAGATTATGTTGCCCGGATTTGTTAAGTACACAATGTAAGTAATGAATGACAGTGTACTATCATCTTAGCCAACTCTGATGAGATATGATCACGTCATACAAGTTGAGGTTGTCATTTTATTCTGCAAAAACTCTCTCTGAATGCTGTTATCATATACGGTCCTCCAAGGTTAGACTGTTTAGGACTGAAACTGACTTTGGTTCAAGGTTGCGCAACAATGGTAGCGCATTGACTTCCGCCGGCTGGATGTTGAGCTATGATCATTACAAAACGGAACGTTAGTTGCAGGCATTGTGAGACAATGCCTGCTCGCATGAATCAATTTGGTGTAGGAGAACATTGTGCTACAGAGTGACGATGAGTTATCATTTAATAAATGAATTTCAGTTATGTTGTCTTGAGTTGTCTTCAAAACGAACCATTCGCATCTGAGGCAATATGTGGACTTGCATTGTGATCAATTCATTCGTTACGAGAGAACACACAGTCTGGTATGAAATTGCGATTATATTTACTACATTAAAAACGGCTCCAATGTAGACTACGAAGAATTAAGATCTGCAGCCTGTTTGACTGCAAGGCGTCTGAGTCGGATCTTCGCCAAAGCACTGTTGGCGCTGATAGGCCGCTTGGCAGCAGATGACGTAGGAAATACTTGACTGGGTAAAAGACAATACATGAGCCTCGGAAAAATGGCGAAGAGTGAAAACAATACCGATTCCACCACGTGAGCAACTCATCGACTTCCTTAGATTCTTCAGGGTCCTCGAGGAGGTCGAGGAGACTGTGGTAGAAAGTCTCTGAGTCTGTGGACGTGTCGGTCCGTGAAAACACTGAAGAAGAACTTAGAGCGAATCGGACCTTCAGTGGTGCGTCAGGACAGTTTAGCTTCGGAAGTGCTGTAAGGCATACCTGCGTTGCAATATAAGCTATGGAAGCGATGGTGACAGCATTCATGCCATGGAGGCGAGCATTACCGGATCGCGTGGCTTTTGGTTCCTTGTCAACTGAACTCGGGGATGTGAAAACGTGCTTGTAAGCCTAGTGAGAAAACATGTAGTGAAGAAAACACAGAACAGGTGTTCATACTCACAGATACGAGTAAGCGATTCCTAAGAAGACCACACCAAGGATCATCAGCGTCGTAAGTATAGTTGGTGTACAAAAATATGGGCCATTGATCTCCGCATACCGACATTTCTCCGCTTCGGAGGCTCTCTCTCGTCCTAATGAAGTGAAAATGAGTGGCGACCGAGGATGCCAGTAAACCGAAACATACTCTGGGTCTTTCCAGTCCAACCCAGCGGGACAAAGAAGCGATCCAGTTAGCTCATGGTTGAATCCACGGTCGATCTTCGAGTTTCTGTGTAAGGGAGGCTGGATTGCTGCCCCTTTCGGGGAAATCCAATCAAGCACCGCAGACTTTAATGTTTTCGTGTCGTCGCCCCTCGCACCTGCGGCTCCTTTACCAATCTACATATGGTAAGCATAAACTCTTGACACACAAACAAAAACGCACTAGCTCACCGACATGAATGAGTTCTTCCTCAGACCCGTTTTGTAGTCGCTCTAAAAGGCCAGGGTAAGAGTCTAAGAGGTGCTCAAAAACGCGATGCTCTCGTCGCTCACTGCCAAAGATGTCAATAAGCCAGCGAGCATAGATGGATGTCGTTGTCACTCAGTAGAGAAGTCCTCCAGTGGAGCATCTTCCATCTGCTCTAATCTGAGGATACCATTGGTGAGCAGAGAAGGAAAATTGCACAGAGCGAATACTGTTCGGCCGAAGTGGCGCCCATGGGAGATAAGGGGATCAGATGTTGAGCTGTGCGACTAGATGAGTCTGCAAAACTCAGCGTACTAAACATCAGGGACAGCTTACGCTTTTTTACGGGGTCCCATCTGGAGGGCTGGGGTAGCCCGTTTACTCGGAATACTGGAAGCATTTTCGGTGGTCATGAGAGCTGGCAAGGTAGGAAGGTTCGGGTTTTGCTTAACTGGAGGCCAGCTTTTATCACAGATGCACCACGTGGGATTCTATGCAAACGACGTACCTGATGGCGGCCAAGCAAAAGCTAAATTGGCTGGCTGGCTGGCCACGGTGATTGAGGGCTTGGGTGCTGGCTGTGGTGACAGGGGGCCACAATGGCCTTCCTTTCGCAGGCTATCAAAACTTCGTGTAACAGGGAATAAAAGCTCCGTTAATGATTTCATCAGCGCCAGAAAATGAAACAACCTGCGTTCATGCAGCAATCCTTGACCCAGAGCCAAACCTTTAACCTATCCGGACATATCATTACCTTGAATTTCCGGTAACTCCAATGATGAACTTGCGGCAGGACTTACTAATACCTTCTATTAGGATCGAGGCAGCAGGAAACACTAGTAGTAGTAATCAGAGCGGTGAGGCTAAAAAACCCATCGTCTTAAGGTCTGTGAACATCTTTATTGTTCTTTCCAAAGCTTATAGTATTTTAGAGCGACGGATGTTGACAAGAGCACATCTTCAGCGGGGTATAACGAGGCTCCTGTTCTTCTGCCAGAGAACAACGGCGAGACGGGCGAGGACTCCGTAGCCGAACTCAAAGAACGACTGCAACTTGCAGATTTGCGCTACTCGGAACTGGAAGAGTTATACAAAAACTATAGACTTCGTTGGTTGGAGGAATGTTATCGGACCGGAATCTTAGAAGAATACGCACCAAACGGAATCAGCACATACCCTCCTCGTCAGATCGCATGGGACGCCCCTTCTCCTACTCAAAGTATGTCCCACGCGGGCTCCCTTGAAGTAAACTGACGGCTTCAGGTAATGTGGACGACGGAATCGAGGACCATGAACAAACGCAGAAGACGTTGTAACGCACGAGGTAGTTGCGGTAGCGTGAAACGTTGACACTTAAGGAGTTGGAGTTCTGTGACCAGAAAATCTTAGCGTGGTAATCTAGCTGCAATTGCAATACCATACAATGAAAAATTGCCCTGACAATTGCAGTCAGACGTAGAAGTTTCCGTCAAGACGTCGAGAATGTTCTGACGGATTCAATAATATATGAGTAGGCACCTTGAAACTTAGAACATGGAAATTGACATCATCTATTTAATCTACCAGAGCTAACCTCTAGATTTTTGAGCGCGACCCATGCGAGATACATGGATATCCCCGCAGTCTCAGGATAAAGATATCACTGCGGCCTTATCCTAGCTGGGCCTGGACCGTAACTGGCGACCACTAATATAATCAATGAACCTACCACAACGGCGAGTGTAGCAAAGCACGCAATGACTGAGGGCGCGGATGGCCTGAAGTCTATGGTGATGCCTGTGAGAAATCCGAGGATGGAACTTGTTACACTGACAATGATTCTATGAGTGACCTGAGTAATTGTAATCACATCTGCTTACCTCAATACGCAAAAGCAGGTCGGTATGCTTGTTATTACCAGAAGCATCACCGCCTTCCTTCGCAGATAATAGGCCTGTTCAGTCGGCAATATTAGGCTCAAGACGCAGGATGATGAGGAAATCGAACCGCAAAGTCCAAAGACTTCAGTCTCTCGCCAAAGTGGTGGACTATCGTGCCCGCAAAAATACACCCAACACCAAGAAGGAAGGAGCAAGAGCACAATGTTTGTGCAGTTGTTGTTGCGCCTAACCCTGGAACGGCAAGAATAGCGACATCCAAAGCCATGGAGATACCTGCCTGTAAGAACAAACTGAATGGGAAAGTGTCCTCGTTCACGGCACTGATACAGTCCTTACCAAGGTAATCTGATTTCTTGTCTGACTGCCGAAATCGTCGATAAACGACTGAACTTCCACCCCATTTACGATACCATCGACGGAGGTGCTCCTGACGCGAGAAAAAGTGATCGGCATACATAGCATCGTGGCTGCAGTGTTGCCCACAAAATGCAAAAGTTTGAACTTTGTGTGCCTCTCTCTCACTGCATGTGTTCGAATTAGGCGAGCCTCAGGTTGGTTGTAGCGGTGCAAATACTGGTGATGACCTATGTGCCTGTGTGATTAATAGCGAATGCTTCACAAGAGAGCGACGTACGTAGCATGTACATAATTCTGCCTTCGAGCAAAAAAAATATCAGCACTTGAAGTTCTCGGCCCCATAAACTCACGAACAACATAATACAATTCCGGTTTCCGGTACCAAATCATTTTCCGCAATTTCTTCTAAGAAGAGATGTCGACTCAATTGATTTCATCGTGGCTGCTGTGCAGCGAGACAAGAACACATACCAACATAGGCCAGTTGACCGATGATTTGATCCATTTCCTCTAAAGTCCAGAAAATAGATGCCGCAGTAGATTGTTTCAAGGTCGTCGCTTCTGTTTTTGCTGTTATTCTGAGCGTCACTTTCAGAAGTAACGCAAAGCTTACCTCCAAGGTAGCAAACCATTTCTCCCCGTATGCGTCTCACTTCCAATCGAGACAACCTAAACTGGTGCGGAAAGTATTCGAAGTGTTTCCTACCGAGGAGAAAACGTTCAGTTACATTCAACTCTTTGTGTGTCCGGTATTTGACCACTCACCAATATTGAGCTTCCAATTCGAGTCCTATATGGTTCTGGTCAAGTCATGAAACAAATTTAAGAGAGGAAATACTCTTGTGCTTCCACGTGCTTGACTTGACACAAGGTTGGAAGAGAATGTAGCCATCGAGGTCCTCCAGCCATGCAATTATACGGCTGCCGGGGACTACATAATAATACTGGAACCTTTCTTCTCCCATAAAGATGATCGGCTCAACAACCAATATCCACGAATCTTCTTTCGCCGCGGCTCGTGATGCATTAACAAACTCATCCAGTGTCTGTAGATTCTGAAAGTTCCTCAGGTTCGTCAACGTAAACGCGTTCTATATTTCCATCAGGTAAGTCACTCGCAAGTATAAGCAGTACTTACCTTCCTGAGATTGTAGAAATACGTACCACCTATTGGGTGGACCAACTCTTGCCAGTCTCCGTACACCAGAGGCCTGTTGATGGAGATTAGTTTGACACCGGTCAATAATAAGACGACGAACGGAGGATCACTTATTTCTTTCCCACGGACCAGGTTATCTTCATACGCATCATCCGTACTATATACAAAAATCAATATGATTAATACGGTCAATGATTTCAGTACTTACAGCAATACTACTTCGGCGTATCGGGGCAATTGAGTCGGCCAGATACCAATACCACGATCAGACAGCGTGGCAGATTGTAGGGGCACTGACGTTGTCTAGAACATGATAGGGTGAGCACCGCGTAAAGGGCGAAAAGCACATTGCGATTAAACGTACCATGTTCTCCTAATCAGTATCGTCAACATGATGTTGTGCTGCGAGACTCGAATGAGGAGATCGAACACACCTTCGCACTGTCTGAACGCGTACTTGGAGGAACGAAGACAGTGATGACTCAGCTACCGATGGTAGTGGTAGGAGAGAGAGTTGGAAAATTACGTAATGCAGCATGTGCAGGTCAATTCGTAGTGAACGAGTATGCAGGCATAAACAAGTACACAGGCATAAACAAGTACAAATACAACATTAATTGCCATAAACAACAACTTTAATTACCCGCTACGGCAAATAAGGTACGTACAATAGTCAAATATCTGCCCGATTGGATCTAACAAACTCATATCGACGCCAGAGCAAACACGAGATGGCGCGCGTGATTAACGGACCCCAACTCACTGATTGTGACGTCTGCGTAAGTACTACTACCACTTTCTTTTATCATCAGCGCTAACACTCAACAGACGCATCTAGAATATCTAGAAGCAAAAATAAAGGTGCGCGTCTACATTACATTGCTCACTCCTGTCGGCCTGACTTGAGTGTTGGACTCGGAGGCGGCTTCTACATTGAATGCCCAACAAGTCCCGCAACCAAGTCCAATCAAGGCGTGGATACGGCTTTCGAAGGACAGGTTCGATCGTATGGTGCAGCAATTGAGATCGGCGGTGCAGAGGGTACATTTTCATTCGTTTTCAAGATTCAACGACTTATTGCACGCGTTCTAGAGATGAATCAGTAGGCGATGCTTAGCCTACATAGAGAGAGAACGCGCGCACTACCATTTACGACATGCCATGATATCCCACCACTCATTAGATAGATATCACCATTCATATAGCTTCACAAAGTAACACGCATACCCTCAAAACAAATTGTAATCTATGTACACAACTACTTGTACTTGTTGTATCACGTACCATCATATACTATGCAGGCGGCAGAAGCGTCGTAAAGTAACATTCATGAATATCCACAGACTTGAACGAATGTGGGAGCCTGTATTGCGCGTAAGGGACTGCTAATTCGTCATGAGGCGGTTCAACAATGATATCTTCGATATCGTCCATGACCTTCATCCGTTTCTCATTCGTGACAGGGTCTACAATAATTCTGGGCTGACGGGACTTGGGGTCAATATATAAGACATTTTCCTCCCTGAAGAATTTCACGAATGAGTACGATCAAATGATGCGTCAAGACACTGACCGTATGTGAGGAAGCCTCCGGGCCGCATCGAAGAAGGAGATGAAATGATGTGGATTCGCATACATCATATCCAGGGCGGCGGTGATATGAGGATATACCTCCAGCGTTTTTAAATGTACCTTTTCCGCATGAGGTGGAATGAATGACTGATACATCTGATGCAAAAATCGTTAATGTTTACGAAAAATTGTGAGAAGAGAAAACACTTACAAGAGTAACAAGCACGCCCACGATGCCCTTTCCTAGATAACCCGTTAAGGTTTGGATGGCTTCAGGGTAGAAATCTGCCAATCGCGCTTGGCCTTCAGGTAAGTCAGCGATGGGTCGGTATAAGGCGACCCAGAGGAGTTCCCGGAACCCTTGAGTGACAATGAGCTTGCAGATGGCTTCTTGAATCTAAAGGATGAAAATTTTCAGAAGATCTCATTGCGCGATGTGCGGTCTCTTACCATGCTTTCATTATCAGAGTTCATCAAATCGATGATGTGAAGTTTTATCTCGGCCTCCTCCTCTGTGTTTTTCCCAAATCCAGCATCTGGAGTCGTCCCACCCCTTACAATTTTCCTCAGCTCGGAAGTGAAATCTATGGGGTAATCTAGGAACTGACAGAAATGTTCAGTAGTAGATGTATTGCGATGGGACAAGCTCACCCTGTTTCTCAATTGGGACCAATACACGCGAGTTTCGCTGCCGATAATGTTCGCTACCGTTACTGATAAAATCGTAAGTGAATGATGTTTATAATTGAAGACGGGCACCTACAAGGTATTTCACGCAGTTTTTCGTATGTTGTGAGGTGGACATGGAGTGCTTTCAGGAAGCTGGCGGTTATCAGCCGCCTGCAGTCCACCTCACGCATAGAGAATGGATTGGCGGGCATGCCAACCAGAATTTGGCCCACGTAAAGATATTTTGCCAACTTGATTGGGCGCCCCCAAGGCGATGTCAGCAACGTGAGTTTTAGTGACCTTTTCTGGCTGCAGTCGAGGGAATCGTCCCTGAACGTCAGCCTCCAATGAAGTTCCTCGTGAGGAATATCTGCACCATCAGCAACTGTGTTACTGAAAGAGCTATTGTCATCTACAGGAGGTTCAAACATGTCATCTGCCGTAGATGCGACAGTGAGATCGACAGTACGATCATTGTCAAAATCCATGGACAGAGGAAGCAACGTGTTAGAGAACGAGAACGGTTGCTGAACGAATGGATCAAAGGCGTTCCAAGATGCCTGCGCGGGAAAGGCAACGGGAACAGGAGCGGGAGGTAGGAAACCGTTTGGGAATTGTGCGGGGTTGAACGGAATTCCGTTTAGTCGTTCGAGCTACGAATGCGATGTAATTTTATGAGTCAGATGATGTGATGGTACCGAGAAGTGTACTCACCACCCAGATGGGATATAGAAGACCTTGTGGGCTAGGCCCGCAAAACGGTGGGCGAATATCTTCAAGAAATCCAGAGCTACCGGCCTGATACGATTGGCCTATGATAAGCGAGAGGTCGATGGCATCATATAAATTCTTACCTCGATTTCGTATATCGAAAACCTTGCGAAGTTGTGATCAGATGCTAGGAATCCAATTTGACGAATGATATTGTGTGCTGGCTCGACGAATTCTCGATATTCCTCAGGCCACTATAAATAAACGAGATGAGATGATGAAATTAACTGAGAAGGTATCGACCTCACATAGATCGGTGAGAGCTGATAGTCATGGGCGGCATATCCTATGAACAAGAATCGACTGGAGAGGCCGTGGAAAGGCTGAAATCAGAAGTCAACATAAGTACACGTCTGATCGGCGACAGCCAACCTCATCGTTCTGCGGAAATGTTAGTGATGGCGATCATGGTCCGCAATGAGCTGCACATACCCTGAGGGGAAGAAGTCGAAGAACCCGGTTGCGCGTAGTTTCACTGTGCACATAGACATAGATTGGAGCGTCAGCAGCCGGAACAGCTAAAAGTGAATTCGACTGTTGCATCTTGATGTATGAAATAAAAGGAATGAGACCCTTTTAAAGTATCCAGACATGCAAATGTGTCCGCCCGGATTTACTACTTTCAAATAATAATGGCGTTCCAGAACCAAATACAGTGCGCCAGCCCTTGCCGATGGCGAGTCAGGGTTTAGCCAGGGCATGGCAGCCATTTACAACGAGGCAGAGCGCAAATGAATGGCAAGGCCAGAAAAAGCGACGGCGAATACGACACGCCAGCACAAATACAGCCGCGCCAGCGAGAAGTAATAATATTTACGGCACGCCAGAGGAGGCATTGGCGAATTGCTAAATGCTAAAACAAACAGGGGAAGCGAGTACGAAGCGAGAGTGAAGCGAAAGCGTAATCACGCGAAAGACAATCGCAGGCTGGCACGAATTACCAGCAAGACCGAAGCACATTAATTCTCGTAGTCAAAAGTGTGGTCAACAGGGAACATATCATCCAGTGCCAGTGAGAGCGACGCTGTGCTAGCATTGAGCCCCTGATCAAAGAAGTCAATTTCTTCCGCGCCAACATGATCATCTTCATCCTCCTCTTCATCAGCAGCTTCTTGATGCCTTTCTCCGCTGGCCAGGTACACATGTTCTGTCTCCTCCGGCGTCTGTGTAATGGGGCGGGGAGTTCCTTGTGTCAACAAAATATTTGCCTGATGAGAGTATACGTGCCCCACCCCGAGGCCGTAATGAAAGCGCATAATGGTATCACGATCGACGAAGCTAATGGAATAACATTAAGAAGATTGAAATGATGCTATCTCATTGAGTTTACCTGTTGATATAGTATTCGCGCCAATCATGCTTGTCGCGTGCAAGAGGGGAAATTCCGCGTGCACCTGGATTGCGCTGTCCGCTAGCAAAGGCTGGTATAATGTGACATCCCCTCAAAACAACTCTGGGGTCTATGATCCCGAAAGCCTTTTGATCTTCCAGAGGCCGAAAATGAACGCGGCCCAATCTGCGCATGTCCCATGCATGACTTCGCACGGATTCGTACCACCTAACGAAAAGAAAGTCTATCCGACAAGATTCATGCACGTTTGCAGAGCGTACGACGTTAACGTGATGTACGCCAATGACTTTGGCATAACGATAGTCATCTCCGTCCTCGCCATCAATGCGATCGTGATTGAGCAACATAATATTGCAGTGAGGAGTCCTAGGATTGATGACATCTTGAGCCCTGCGGACATCGTAAGTGGTATAGTTAAACCTAGCGAGATTGTGATGATAAATCCTGTTGCGTTTGAAGTAAATGGAGTTGTGCTGTTCGGAGGGATTTTCCATGGGCGATTCAGTGGTTTCCGATCCAAGGCGACGAACTATATGTTCTTTCAATCGAGGGAGAAAGTCCTAAACAACATTTCAGAATGATGGAAGAAGTCGCAACAATTGTATTTACCTTCATAGCGGGATCTCCTGCATGGTTGCGGAGATATTGACCAAACTCGTCGAAGATCTTCTCGCTTTGGCCAATGTGATAGTGTACTTGGGGATCACTCGCCATTTCAGACGGGTCTCTATGAGGAGCTTGTTGTCGCTGACGTTGTTTGATGCGGCGCAAGCGCGCCTGACGGCGCTCGATCCGAGTGAGTTGACGAACAAATTCCTTACGATCAGTTCAGCGGTATCTGCCTTTCGACGTACGATGCTCTAACTCTCCCTGGAAAATTTGAGTTGGAATGGATGGAGAAGTAGGCGGAAACTTACTGGTTCAGTGCTGTATGAATCTGTCGTGCCAAAATGACGGATAGAGGCGACGTAATCCCCAAGCACATGAAACTTGTAAGTGTTGAAGTTGAATGACTTCTTCCTTCGCGGTTGCTTTGGTTCAAGTGCATCCCCTTGAGTCGATTTTTCTTTCCCTTTATCACTGGTACCCTGACGAGCTCTCCCCGAAAGATTCGCCGAGACAGTCTCGGCCCGTTTGCCCGCTTCCTTTGCCTGCCGGCGGGATCGCGCACCAACTTCACGATCGAGCTCCTGTGTTTTATATGATGGGCATACTTCATTCTTGAATAAACGAAATTGTACTCCAAGATCTGTCGTCATTTGGTCAAGAATATCCAAGGTCAAATCGGAATGCATGCGAAGCTTCGCAAGTCCGTGCCAATGCGACATGATGAACAGAAGATCAATGACAATTTTGTTATGATCATCGTCGGGGAGAAGGCCATCAAAAACCGGAATAGAACACTAGGAAAATGTCAGTTCACGAATACGGATGAGACTAGTTCCATAATCATACTTGTAAGATATCTTCGAAGTTTCGAGCAGCCATGTTCGACATATCGGATGTATTGGAGGAGAATCGTCTGATGGTCGCTGGCCCAAAGGGAGGGACCAGTCTATACCTGTCGAAGTTGAGTGTTGGCCCTCGCAAGTCAACATCGAGTAGATATTTGACAAACCTCTTATCAAGTTCGTGTACCAAATCCTTGTTCAAAGAGGTAAGAATTCTGAGTAAATGCACTAAAAGCATACGCCAGACTCCAAGCTCAAACTCGTGTAGAAGATCGACAACCAGCGCGATAAAAACGTTAAATCCAAAGGGACCCAGGCGGTCCAACAATACGTTCTGCTCAAGGGTCAGTAAAGGCGAGGAATCCAGTGGTAAATCATGCTCACAGAGGTCGGAACCCACGACTGAGGCTTAAGAAGTGCCTCAACTACTGTGCTGTCTACGCCGTAATTCTTCTCGTAGATTTGGCGACGTGCAGCAACAACAAGCTGACTCCTCGTAATGTCGGACCGCGCAAGAGTCCGACGTTGTGCTCTATCACAAGCCATGCCCAAACAGTGGAGCCTGTTTGTTGGTATGAGACACCGTGAGCATGGGCAACCTCCCAGCTGCCTGATAGTGGCAATAAGGACCCTAACCTAGGTGAACTTTGATTTCTACGGATGAATATTCACGACTCACTTTTCAGGATAATCCGCAGAATATGTGAATATTCGAGGATAAAACCGGCGTTTGACGCCGTCGCAGCACAGAATCACGATCCCGTGTTCATACGCTTCTAGGAACTCGTCATCAAGTAAAATTTTCCATTGCGCTTGAAACATTTCGCGATGACAATGGGTTGTGCATTCGCGGCCGACTCCCTTCCCTTCCGTGTAAATTCCCGCGAAATCTTTGAACACATCCGGAAGCTGTAAAGTACGTGAGTCCGGATGAAGACTACTTCATAATGATCGTCATACCTTCTGAAAATAAGCCACATGATTGCCCAGATTACATGATGGTCTACATCGGCGGTACTTTGATTCATTGCCGAAGTACATATACACCGGCCACAGCTTCGCATTACCGAACGTCGTAAGTTGCGTAGCGTCTGACCAGAACATTAGTGCAGCGACCACACGGGGAAGTTCGCATCCTGGCTCTCCAGGTAATTCCTTGAGTTCGCGGTGGGCCTCTATGAAGGCAGGTGACGTGTACAATTCGCCTTGAATATCTACTTCATGTGGGAGATGAGGCGGGCTCCATCGTAGTTGATATGGCTCATAATGAAAGTATTCATTGTCATGAGCATTTGCGAGCTTTTCCCGGATGACAGACACGAGAGACCGATGGTAGAGGTCTGCCGCAACGTAAGGTCGAATATCTGGATGAGCTGTTGTTCGAGAAAAGGGAACGTCGATGGTCACTTGAGTTTTTTGCCATCCAGCATCCTCATCTTCCCATTCTTCTCCCTCATCGCCAACACTCGCGCCTAGTTGGGAGTTGATCTTGTCCCAGTTCGTATGTCGCACATCATTTGGATCATAGTCTGGACGTCCAACAATGTCGATCAATTCCTTGAAACTCTGCTGTGATTTTTGTACGCTGCCATTCCAATACCAATGACCAAGCTTGAAGGAAGCTTCGTTGGGGTACGGATCAAAGGAGCTGTCGTGAGGCACTGCAACAGTATCTGGGTCTTCTGGAGTAAGAGTGGGGATAAAACTAATGTCTTGAAGCGTTATAGCCTCTTCTGGGTCATGACTTGGCGGTGCTGAGGAGAAAAACTGGCGTACTAGACCAAAAATATTCCTAGATGTGCGGAAAGGAGCAGCTTGCACCGGAGAGGAAGCTCTCATAGGCACAGAATTTGCGGGTAGGCCAGTCTCTGGTTGTCGCGGGATATGGCTAGGGACGCTAGGAGGAGGCTGAGGGAGCACATCCTCATATTGTCTAAAGCGGAGGGGCAGAGGAACATTGACACGGCGGCTTCTATGCTGCGCCAATGACAAATCATCGTCTACTTCCGTAAACGAAGTTTCAGCCGTGCACGACACCTCCCCAGGGACGATGGCTGGCGGAGTGGGTAAAACCTCTGCGGTAAACGGCTGGTCGGATGATAAGGAGGGGGTGTTCGAGCGGTGGAACTGCGTACTCGAAGACGCCGTGCTGGCGCGTGCATCCTGCCTGACGGCGTTGGCAGACAGCCGGGACCGTTTAACAGCACCCAACAGATCTTTTGCTTTCGATAAAGCAGAAAATAAGCGTTTCTTGCCTCTTGTGCATGAATGCTGATGCTTTGTATAAGCATTCGCTTGAGTAAACACGCGCGTGCAAGTGCATTTGAATAGTGTCTCCGATGGATTGACCATGGATTTACTGTGGAGATGAACATGTATGAGCCAGCAGCAAATGATAGCACAACGCAATGGGACTTACAATTTGTCATTGAACGAATTAGGGCTGATGCAGGAACGAAGCCTGCCAGCGTAATTTCCGCCATATTCCCATGGGTCAAATACCCTGGCAGCCTACTTGATAGGGGGCTGGCGCACTTTGTCGCGGCTAGACCAATTCCGCAACCAGGCTGGCGGAACACAATCATGACCAAATATAATGTTAAAAATTACAGTTATATAAACACATAGTTCAGGTCACTGTTTTCATAGCCTGGAATGTCCGCACCTTCTTCTCCACTTTCTGAGCGCTCCGACGTGTTCGCAGTTGATCACAAGATCGTGAAGATGATAGTGAGTGTTATCATGTGCCAGCATGGCATACTTCATTATCACGCGCAAACGCGGGAACTGACAACGTTTCAATGGTCAGATTTGTTTCGTGGAAAGGAGGTTCTTCACTAACTTAACCTCTTCAGGCCCGCCGACCGATATGGGCGGAAAATACAGCCTTCGTTGTTCAGCGCTTACCGCAAGTCGCACATATTTCGCTATCCGTGCTGCTTTTGCGCGACGAGGGACAATTATGTTGAAGTATCGATATTTCGGCGCGCTGAAGGGGTGAGCCAAGGAGAGTACGTCGCTGAATGCGCGACAGGCGCATGCGGCTATATGGGTGAGTCGATTCACACCTATAGATGCGTTGTATAAGCTAAAATTCAATTTAGTGAATATCGAGAAACTATGTAGTAGAACCTACGTACCTGCGGCATATTATCCTCGACGACGGTATGTCGGTTTTTACTCGCGCGCACCCCCCCTAATATCAATCAATTCTAGGAAATCGTCAAATGCCCGACGCACTGCCACCGTGAGACTAGAAATCGGTACAGGGAGGCAATGAGGCGATTGGCTATAATGACTTTGACATATTCCTAATGTCGGGTGTGAAGTGTTATGATACGAGAGCTGCTAGTAATGGTGAATATAAGCATCTTTTCCGATATATATCTTGATAACGCACCGTTTCCTATGATAGGCAAGGTGCTGCTAGGATGAATTGACAATTGATTTTGCCAACCTGCAAGTATTGATCGACCGGTCTGAGGCAACAATACAGATCGGATGATATCTCACCATCACCAACCTGCTACCACAGGCTAACACGTTTTGTGCTCATTTTTGACTTCGTAGCGCAAGCGGATCACATTTTTTGTACATAGTATCTTCAACTGCTACTGTTCAATCTTAAGTACACGTAAGTAGAGCATCATAGGTACGTATAATATCGTGACCAAATCGAAGTTGCATACGGATCCGATGATAGAAATGGGAAAGGTTTTCAATAGGAAGTGGGGTAGAATTTATAGTGACTGATTTTGAGAAATTTAAACTCAGCTGGCAGTATCCGAAGCATCTTGATGTCACAAATGTCGTCATTGATTTCCAGCTCGACTATTCTACATAACTTTGGCACTCTCTGAGAGAGGTTTCGTTTATAGCTGTTTGATAGCTTGAATCAGTCTACACTCAGTAGGGAGGTCTCAACTTTGTAGGCAAGCGGAGTCCCCCAGTTTTGTACTCGGGGGACTCGGTCACATTTTTATTGCAAGCGAAGTCGCGGAATACAAGAAGCGAGACAAACGAGGACTCGGTAAGAATACACTATGAGAGACGGAGGCTCGAGAGACTATTGGTTTTAAGTCCTAAACTCATAGTATTATAGGATACAATTACCTTTCTATACTCAAATAAATAGAATCTAGTGTAGTTTGTACTGTGCAGACTCTAATTCATGGTAATTTCCGAAGGTGATAGGATTGCTTGTATTGATATAAGCACAGTCGAACCCGATAAATATTCGTATGAAATTTACAAGGTTTGTGCTACATATTGGTAATACATAAAGGAATATAAAGATATGTGCGCCTCATATCACCGCGATGGCTTATGCAGTAGCGTTAATAATACGACGGCGAACCCTGTCTGCTTACATCTCTTCGGTATTCCTACACCTCAGCCCCCGCAGTCAGATGTACGGACGCATCACATCATGATCAAAATGCGGACTGAAATAAGTACAACACGCTTACAATAAGTCAGTGTCAGTGTGAGAATTAATCGACACGGTATCAATGTAGTCCATGTAGCGACGCACTTCTTCTGGTAGATGCTGTGGGAGAGTTGGGCGAGGTGATGAATCTGAATCTGTAATGACCCATCAGCGATTTAAGAAAACACTGCGACCAGTTTACGCTTACCGCTGTCAGAATAGGTTGACGCAGGGGAATTTTCAAGGGCCAGTGTATAAACAGCTGCCTCAGCTTGGGCACGGCGCATCGTTGCCCGCAGGAAAATTAGCTCCGATTGAGTACTGCGATGATGCATATGGTATCCTCCAACATCAAGGTACGAGGACATCAGTCCCGTCTGTGTGGACAATTCTACTTGGCGTGCCTTTTGGAAGGCTTCTTGGAGGCACCTGGTAACCCAGGTACTCCGCAGACTGAACGAAGGGTCATCGGACTGCATAGATCGTAAGAATAATCACGCAGATTGGCGATAACACTGACATTAACGGTGACCTGCATTCGTTGTTCAAGATGCGCAAGGGCAAATTGACCAATAGCCGAAGGCGAGCTGAACAGGGGCAAGCTAGTTTCGATTAACGTGATGCTTTTGGGTGGAATGGGGTCGGTTGTTTGCCTCCTTAACCAAGTTTCACACTTGGTCCGCGCAGCTACCGAATAAGTAGCGACAGGTTCGATAACGCTGTCGTGAAGTCGCTGAGAAATAGGAAGCGTTGTTGACTGCCACCGCAATAGGACGCATCGCTGAGTCATTAAGTCAGATCACGTTCGCAGTACACAAGTCAATCTCTTACGCATGGCCCAGCGTTGCTCTACATGATCGATGGCCTGGCTGCACAGAGACACTTCCAGCTGGCAACGATCTCTCTTCTCTTCCATGAAATCTCGCTCTATACTCCAGCGGTTTGAGTGATCCTCAACAGTACTTCGCAGTGATTCCTCCCTCTGCGCTTCCAACATACGTCCTCCGACTATTTGCCAAATATCACCCAAATAGACTCTACCTTTAAGTACGAAGTGCAAAAGATACAACTCAGTACGGAGCTACATAAAATATCAGGATATATCAACATCATTGTAAAAAATTTGCACTAACCTTCTCCATCGGTATGAGCCTTATGAAGAATTCGAGCCATCTAACATGAGTTAGAATGTTAGAGAGCTCAAACATGCCAGTTTGAGCAGCTAAGCTGTCGAATGGTGGAAGACAGGAGGGGGCCGGCATGGCAGTTAGAATAAGATGGGTCAATTAGTCTTGTGGGTCATCTTAAGCGAGTTTGTATAGAATTCCAAGGCGGGGAATGCCGGAAGAACTTTAATAATACATTTTGACGGCTGGCCATCAAAAGATCTGGCTGGCGGGTCGATAGATCTGGCTGGCCATCAAAATTAATATCACCCTCCACCTGGTCAAGTGTTGACAGAAACCCGAAGGATTCTAACCAATAAGGGGACGTAAAGATAACAGAAACCAAAAGGTTCAGCAGATGGGAAGGGCGCATTGATAAGTGAATGCCTATATATTGAAACTCAGCCGGACTTCAGCGAGCTTCACGTCGGGCATTGCCGGCTGGGTCTGAATGGTGCACTAATCATTCAGTATATCAACCACATGTCTTTTGGTATCAGTCTCTTTTCCGATTCCCCCCCCCTCGTATACAGTATACAACGGCTACGGGTAACATATGTTTCGACATAAGTAGATTTACATTACATAATGTGGTTCTCTATATTTAGTGTGAAGGTCAACTCGTCGAACAGTACTACGAGCGTTAGTCTTACAATAACCTAGTAGTAGGCCTGGCAGCAGCTTGGGCGTAGTGCAAACATTTATGTAGTAGATACATCATTACTTCAAGTTACAAGTCCATGGGGCGGGCAAGCAATATGAAGTTCAATCGCTTATATCAATTATCGCCTTTGTTGTGGGCGGACGAGAGGACGATGTACTTGACACAGTCCACAACTTGAAATCCGCAATGCCCACTATGCGCACCGCTATATCTGGCATGACAATCAATATTGTCCACAATCTACACTACCAGTGAGTATTAGCTAATCCAGAATAGTGATTCACTACAAATACTGACTTCGCGCATTAACAGTTTCTCTTTTTCCTACCATTACCTCGATACCGTGACAGTGCATTGATAGCTTCAGAGAACATAAACTATCCAACTGACAATTGAACGTGACATGTGAGGTTTCAAGTTCGCTGCTGTACTATGATCTCCTAGGTTAACATATACACCATAGACATAGTAATACATGACCAAACGCGCCCGATGCAATGATGACGAATCTGCCTCGAAGCGACTCAGGATCGAAGAAGGTAAGCGATGATACAATGTTGTCAGTATCGTTGTTTGATCAAGGATATGTTACAGGCAATCAGACATCACCGGCACTATGCGATAAATATGCATGGGGAGTCCTTCGGCAATTCCTCACCACAGATATGACGATGCCTGAAATGGATGATGCCCTCACATCGTACCTGGGCGATAGATACTTCGCCGACGACTGGGTGGAACCCCGACGTGTGTTGTTCTCTGGTGAAGGAGACGACGCCGAATCCTTGGCCAACCTCGACCGACTTATGGCCATGCACGTGCCCCCTGATCCCCCCTCTCCTACATCAAATGACACTTCCGTATCCATGTCTACATCGAGGACAGACGGCTGCTTGTCAAGTTCACGCAGAAAGCGATCCCGTGTGCCTAAAGTAAGTGAAATACCATTGCTGAGAATGGTATATACTAAAGAGGAAACACAGTCTATTCACAATCCATATATCGTCATCGAAGCTTCTGAAGACGAGGACGAGGATGACGAAGGTGGTGACTTTGAACGGTCGCAGATAGCTATACACGTATCAGGACCATCGGCGAAAGAGAGGTTGGCCAAAAGATTCGATGACTTGGCCAGTAAGTTCGAAGAGAATTCTAGTCACTCGTCGCAAGGTCGCCGTGCTCTCACTTCCAAAGCGGCCTCGATCCCATCATCCTTAACTAACGTTTTGGCACCCGAAAACAAGATGTATTTGCTTGACATTCAAAGTATGTTTATTTTGCATCACTTAGCATACCGCTCATTGTATCACAGGAACTGCTACAGAATACATTGCCGAACACCTTCGGAGCCAAAAGTTTTCCGTTACCTTATCGACTTGGGTAGCAGGGCAACTTTATGTAGTCGCAGATAGCCCCAAAACGATCTGTGAAGCACTGCCTACCTCACACAGTCTCGCCGTGAAGCAATGTCTTCGCATCACGGAGGCAGAACGTGAAGCCGTCGAAGGTTCACTGTTCCGATCTCTTGCCCCTGCTTGGGTGAGGATCAGGCACGGCCCACACAGGGGCTACATAGGCAAAGTAGAGTGCCAGACAGAGAGTTCCGTCAAGGTCTTGGTTCCTCCATTGCGCTTCCCCTATTCAATGCCTCAGGGAACTCGAGCGCTGCTCGATCGATCTCGTCTTCCGACCAATAAGGCTGTTTCTGACATCATTCGTGATGGCAAAGTAGTAGGATGGATATACGAAGAACAAAGCTACTACATGGGTCTCTTACTGAAAGACTTCCACCGCGATAACCTCGAACTTCTTGCCTCCCCTCACATCGACGACATTCGACTCCATCTCGAATCCGGATGGGACAAACCGTTTCTGAAGAACACCGTGGTCTTGTTTTCGATGCAATTTTTGCGCATGGGCGACTGGGCCAGGGTCATTGAAGGCCCTCTCCGTGGAGAGTCAGGTCAGGTTATCTCGACGGACCATACAGTTGGTTCCGCGAGCCTGGATTTTGCGTTTGATGGATGTCCAGAACAAATAGAGGTTCGTTTCGAAGGCATCGAACGAGTATTTCGGGTCGGCGACACCGTCAAAGTTGTAGCTGGTCCGTATTTGGGATTAGAAGGGCACATCATTCAAATGCGGGAGGAAACAGTTGACATCTGTCAAAATATCACCAACGAGCAGGTGAGTCTCGCACAATCACAAAACTGCGAAATTGTCTGACATTTGAATATAGGTGGAAGTTTCTAAGTACTACTTGGATCGGCGTCCCTTGGATCACATCATGCACCCGCAGCTACCAATGCATCAATATCTCGAGCCTCCCCCCGAGTCCGACTCCATCGAGATTGGGGACCACATAGAAGTGCTGAATGGCAAGCACATGGGGAAACGCGGCGTTGTGGACTGGTATTGCAAGGGATCGACTAATCTGTGGTTCCGGGATATCCTCACGGAAGATAGCAGAGAGTCCAGCTCCGGACTCGGCATTATTTCAGTTCCAGTAACAACGGTTCAACGAACGAGCCTCACCCACACTATTCAGTACACAAAGGACAAGGGTTATGATGTGAGGCCTGGAGACGTTGTGACTGTTGCCCGTGGACCGGAGTATCAGGCGAAAGGGGTTGTGCACAGCGTTGATATTCCAAACGCTAGTTTGACCATACTATGTAGTGGTGACCAATCGCTTGTAAGTACAATTCACCTCGTCTCGAACACGTCTAACGCATGCAACAGCTCTGCGTCCCAATCAGATTTGTGACCAAGATACGCAACGCCTTCTTGGATTTGTTCCGGAATGATATCGGCCATGAAGTTTTCGTTATTAGCGGCAATCGGAAAGGCTATCGAGCCACGCTTTACTCTCTTTCCTTTGAGACCTGCACCGTTGCTGTGCATGGGCAGCAGCGGATTAAACTCAAACTTAATGAAGTCGCCACCAGGTGAGTGACACGCTTATTTTGAGTTGTTCTGAAGCTCACGATATTAAGGTATGGAATGAGACTCAACGGTGCGATGCTCGAAGGCCCAGAGTTAGCCTCATTCTGTGAAATGAGGAGGCGATCATACTTGGCACCGCCGCCTCGATCCACTACCCCACCCGTCGAACAAGAAAAAAATCCTTCCAGCTCGTTGGTCTCTCTCGCAGGTCCCAGTCCATCACCATCCAATGAATGGTCTAACTGGTCCGCGAGCTCTGAGGTTGATAAGATATATGACTCTACGTCGAGTGTCAATCCCACCTCGTCAACACATGACCCCTGGGCCATCGATGCCCAGGACACCGAAGCGGAGAACTCCCCGGACAGTGGTAAGTCCTCAACCTCACCATTCACAATGTCTATTTATTTCATCCCAGGCCCACTGCCGTGGTTGATGTCGAAAGAATTTTCATCGAAATTCTTCACACACCATGTACTGTTGAAGGTGTCGCCAAACTTCCTCCACGGTAGGCTATACAAACGGTTTGTATCGACGGCTTGTCCCGACCCATTCTGCGGTGAGAATGGACCCGCACCTGAGGGTCACGTCGCCGTATTCTGCACATCCAATAGCGCAGGCGCTGCAATCGAACATTATCACATCCCCGCCAGCGATCTGAGCCCGGCTCATCCACGGAAAAAAAATCAACAGTGTCTTGTTCTGGGTGGGGTTCATCGTGGAGCTCTAGGGACTATTGTGAATTGTTGGACCAAGAAAAAGGCTGTTGACCTTAGGATTAGTGCGACTGTTACCATAAATGTGGGTTTCGATCAGTTGTGTCTGGTGGAACCTGCAAAACATATGAAGTGATACATAGCCATAATAAAGTACACGGATCTGATTATTGCCTCTGTTCTTATGTTATGATATAAATTTCAGCTCTGCTTCAATCTACTGTTAATTTGCGAGTTTTTGAGAATATATGTGGTATAATGCAAGTATAATGTCAATCTTTTGTGTCAGCAAAGTTGACACTGAGCGGCAGGCTTACTTTTTTTGTTACTGACGCGCGAGAACACGCGCCCGTAAGATCTGAAATGTTTATGCTTGCTGTACCACACACGCGGGTGACCGAAGATCATTGTCGTTGATAACAGCCAGTGTATTTCTAAGACATTACTATAGAGATATCACAACTACGAGGAAAGATCGTTTAGTGTCAACGTGACGTCAGTTTTGCAACTTGTGATTACTAACGGGCTCTCAGCGCAAAGAACCATCACAAAGTTCCGCATAGGCAGTGGATGACCGTTGCAATAGAAAACTGCTAGCGCGTGACAAGACATTGCCCTGGAACCCTCACAACTATGAGTAATGACCACTCTGGATCAGTATTACACTGGTCTTGTAATTCATGATTGCCATGTCGTTGAAATTGCAAACGGCCATAACAAAGTCAACATTATGCAACAGATGATCACAGGGTCAGCGAGATGCAGGACTTCTTGCAAAAGTTTATCTATCAGGCCTCACAATTATGAGGCATTATGAAACATATATTAGTTCATCAGGGTTACACTGGTCTTGTAATTCATGATTGCCATGTCGTTGAAATTGCAAACGGCCATAACAAAGTCAACACTATGCAACAGATGATCACAGGGTCAGCGAGATGCAGGACTTCTTGAAAAAGTTTATCTATCAGGCCTCACAATTATGAGGCATTATGAAACATATATTAGTTCGTCAGAGTTAAGCCTGTATTGTACTTGCTTGTCCTTGGATAGCACTATGCTTTGTGTATATATTTGTTTGCCATCGGATATAATACAGTAGATTTTTGGTCCGAACTTACCATTTATAGCTACAAAAACCTAGTTCTCGCCGATTCCCTGATGAGGGCGCCAGCACGCTGAGCACAGCTTAATCTCGGAGCTCTCGTGTTCCAACCGTGATAGAGATCGATGGCACATATGCATATGGGGTGGACTGTAAACTCGCCTTACCATAAACGATCGTGAGAGTGGGTTCTTCTCAAAGTTCAGATATTTGATCATTGGAAACAGAATTAGTATTTGCGACGGCAGAATCGCTAAAGTTTTCTGCCGACTGGCAAAAATTTCAAAGTGCTACAAGACTATTTGTATGACAATAAGTACGGTAAGCATCACTAGGAAACATCATGAAAACACACTAAAATATCCACAGCTCCGAGTCACCACGGTTCGTCGGTGGGATCATCAACTATCATGATCTCGTCGTCAACAGATTTCGAGCTTCCAGATGGGCAGCTACATCGATGTTGATGCCCGACTGGGCACCAGTGCACGTGTGTGCATGAATTGGCTTTCGGTCTTCTAATGACTATGGTAACGAAGATTTGCTCAAATCTTTGCCATCTACCGAGAGATTACAGCGCTTCAGAGACTGACTCGGAGTGCTACCCGTATCGAAGAAGAGTTGTTCGGCATTAGAGAAACAATGGGTAGAAGGGTGGTTGCAGTGAAGGTTACGCTGTGATCCCCTGTGGTTTGACATTCTTCGGATTTTTCCCGCACATTTCTACTCACAACACTATCATTGGGTTACCGTATCAGCGATGCGACTAGAACATACTCTCGCACCAACACACTGCACGCTGTACAATTGTGAATGTAAATCACATTCCACCTAATGACCGTGACGAAGCAGCCACTTTTGCAGCCGGTCGGTAGTAACTGCCACGCAGCTCATTGTAGCGGGGCGCTCTGGCAGGACAGGACGGGAGTGGCAGGGGTCCTGGCGCGGTGGCAGGAGTCCTGGCTCGTAGTCGGTAGTCCTCGCGTGTGTCGTAGTCTGTCCTCGATAGACAGAGCCGTAGCCTCCCGCCATAGAGGTCTGGCCTTGGTTCCCTTGCAGTCCGTGCCCGTTCCATCATCCCCGCTGTGCCACATCTTGAAACTCATTGTCAGCATGCATGCTTCGGATGACTTGAGGCTAAATAGTACCATCATCATCATCGTGACGCACCCTACTTATGGGTATAATCCTCAGTGACGTTCGAACTCTGGACCAAGTGGTCATCCTCTTGGCGCCGCTATCTCTGCTGGCATATGCCTGCGCAAGAAGCACGGCGGCGGTAAAGATGGACAACACCTTTTTTCTGGCGCCGATGACGTTTTCCATTAACCAACATACCAGGATCATGAGTAATTCCTCTGATCACCCTCGTGTCAAGATAAAATTTAGCCCCATTTGCGCTTCACAAAATCAACGAGCTAGCAAGCTTGTTGCCGTCGAGGTTCCGCACTACGCTCTGACGCTCCGAGCCTTTCAAGAACAAATCATTCAAAGCTAGCCTAAATTTTTAAATAAGAAATTTAGGACTATCGAGTTCGTCGGCGAGGATGAAACGTGCGAAGCCTATGGCAGCCCATACAGCATGCCGAGTCTGGATTTGTCAATAATTAGAATCGAGCTGGTATTGTAGGAAATCATACCTTTGAATCTTTGAGCCTGTTCACAGGGATAATATGGACAGGATCAGATAGGCTGTCACACAAAAAAGAGGTGAACCAAGTAGAGGCTGGCAAGACCGGGAAGCACAGGATCGTCTGTGTAGTTCTTAATTTCGTTTGCTAAGTTGTCACGACTGGCATCATTTGGAACATTCATCTGAGAATTCTGGCGCATACGAAGACCGGTGGACTCAAGTATGTGAGCCCAAGCCTGCAAGCTAGGTATCAATTAGACGCCTCATCAGCAGGGAGGTGAAAGCGTGTCCGGGCGGAAGAGTAGGCCATGATCAGGTTGCGGTCAGGGGTCATGAGGTTTCGGCTCGTTGCAAATTGTAGACCTGACAGTGGGAACAGTTGATCCTACGTGTATACGAGAGCCAAGAGCCAAGGCTCTCTTGGCACTCTCACAAATCACAACTGATAAGGGTATACTGCAGTTTCCGATGAAATGTATTGCTCCGGCGGTGCACGACAGAAAAGAAAAATGAGATGAACGCGATGCTGGATAGGGTAGCGATAAAGTGAAATTAACAGAAGTAACAAGGCATCTGCCCGAGAGAACACCAATAGAGGAATACCTAAGTTTTGGTCGTGAAGGGAAATGTAGGTGACGTAGAAATCGTTACAGTGAGTCACCATGATTTTGATCTACGAGTCCTCCTCAGCTGGAACCTCCTCCTCGTACTCGGCCTCTTCCTCGACCGTTGCGTCTTGGTATTGCTGGTATTCAGCGATCAAGTCCTGCATGTTTGACTCGGCCTCGGTGAACTGAAAGATGACATTCAGTCAGATCAGCCAATCGCAAGATAAAGACTGCATGTACACACCTCCATTTCGTCCATACCCTCTTGTGTGTACCAATGCAAGAAGGCCTTGCGCTTGAACATAGCAGTGAAGTGGTCGCTGACACGCTTGAACAGTTCTTGGATAGCTGTCGAGTTACCCAAGAAGGTAACCGCCATCTTAACTCCGCGGGGAGGGATGTCACACTGTGCAGAAAGCACATTGTTAGGAATCCACTCTACGAAATACGCAGAGTTCTTGTTCTGAACGTTCTGCATCTGTTCCTCGACCTCCTTCATTGAGACCTTACCACGGAACACGGCGGCAACCTGGGCGAAAGTAGTATCAGCACAGGTCCCCTAGACACACTCATACATACGGTGAGGTAGCGACCATGTCTTGGGTCTGATGCAGCCATCATGTTCTTTGCATCGAACATTTGTTGAGTAAGCTCAGGGACAGTGACAGCGCGGTATTGTTGACTGCCGCGGGCGGTTAATGGAGCGAATCCGGTCATGAAGAAGTGGAGACGAGGGAAAGGAACTGCGAATGAATATATTAAACAAAAGCGACGAATATTGAAGACAGCGACGAACCCATGTTCACAGCAAGTTTACGCAGGTCAGAGTTGAGTTGACCAGGGAAACGCAAGCAAGTCGTGATACCGGACATGACAAAAGAAACCAGGTGGTTCAGGTCACCATAAGTAGGTGTGGAGAGCTTGAGCGTCCTGAAGCAGATGTCGTAAAGGGCCTCATTATCGATACAGAAAGTCTCGTCTGAATTCTCTACAAGTTGGTGAACAGAGAGTGTTGCATTATAAGGCTATATAGTTGTGAGCTTCAGAAACACGTGGAACCTGGAGAAAGACACTAACCTCAACAACAGTGTCCGAGACAGCGGGACTAGGCACAACAGAGTACGTGCACATCATCCGATCAGGGTACTCTTCTCTGATCTTGGACATTAGGAGCGTTCCCATACCAGCACCAGTTCCACCACCGAGTGAGTGAGTGAGCTGGAAACCTGCACTCGTGTTAACGGAAAGTGGTAGTAAAAAAACAAAAAAAAACATACCTTGTAGGCAATCAGTGCCCTCAGCCTCCTTGCGAACAACGTCAAGAACAGAGTCGACCAACTCCGCACCCTCCGTGTAGTCTGTGTTATCGAGACAAAGAAGTTGAAATCACGACTGGTTGGGGAGACATGGCAGAAAACTTACGTCCTTTGGCCCAGTTGTTACCAGCACCACTCTGTCCAAAGATGAAGTTGTCGGGACGGAAGAGACTACCTAGAGGCCCCGAGCGGACAGAGTCCATAGTTCCTGGTTCAAGATCAACCAAGACTGCACGAGGAACATATTTGTTTGACCCGATTTCGTTGTAGTAAACCGAGATACGCTCGAGCTGCATATCATTGGTTCCCTTGTAGAGACCATCCCGCTCAATACCATGCTCATCAGAAACCACCTCCCAGAACTTAGCACCTGCATGTCAAATCATGATGCGATGAGAATATTGGACAATCGCGCGAGTCTTGTAGTCGTACCAATTTGGTTACCGCACTGATATCAAAGACATGTCAACACGAATGGATCATGATGGAATTAGAAACACTGAAACACACCTGGCCGGTCTGGATGTGGACGATTTCACGCATGCTGAAACGTGACAAGTTAGTGATGAATAAACACGAGATTGGTTGATTCAGAAAACGCGAAGATCGCGACAGACGCGCCCAAGCACGAACAGACGCGAACCCAATAACCTGAACGATACAGAAAGTATATAGACACGTACATTAGGGATTAGGGCAAAAGAGTCGTTGAAAGGATGGACACAAATGAGTGGTGCAGTCAAAAACGAGGCCTTGGAAAGTCGGGTCAAGGGTTGCACGCTTATTTTTCAAGCGGCGACAAATTTCGGTGGCGGGCGGAATGTGGCTCCTCGATAACACCACGTTCGACCACCAATTTTGCCTTGTCATGACTGAATCAGGACTTATTCGATATGCTCCAGTGCGTTTCTGTAATCAGCTTGTTGAGCCAAGTGAGGAGCAGTGAATGGTACGTTGGACAGGCTGTAGCCCATCGTTGAATTATCAGCAGGCGAATTTAATGACGTATTTCAGTGTTATCGCGTACGATATAGGGCCTTTAGCGTGCAGCGTGTACATGCCATGATGCGATCTTACCAACAACCTGCTTGCAGGCGTTGTACTTAAGAGGTGGCATAATTATGTATATGTATATCTTTTGAGACAAGCTTGAGCCACCGCGAATTTCAAGATGCCCAGTCTTCTGATGGGCGTATCTGAGCCACAGATCCTAACACCCGTCACCCGGTCTATCATGCAGAAACGTGTCACCGGAAACACTCCATGAGGCCACTCTTCCTTCCCCATGCGTAAAGAAATTCAGGATGCTCGATCACTTTTCATATCAATCACCGAACCTTTGTGACTCTGTGAAGCAGACAAGCTGCTTGACACCACGAGCTTGCATCGAGGCCAGCGAACTCGTCATCAATTGCCTGCGCCAGAGCCGGAATGGCAGTCCGATGAGATGTTTGAGTTCCTTTTCGGGAGCGACACCAACGGAATAGTAAGGAACATGCTATCAGCCACGAATCATGATTCATGATTTACTTCACTGACCCCTTCAAAGGACCTTAAAAGTCGAAATCCAGTACTCGTTGCTAGACACTTTCCCGCACACTGTCAAATTCCAATTGCACACTTGAGGAAGCTGTGCTTTTAGGCAGGTCAGTAACGACGCGAAGGCTATGCCGTATCATACTAGTACATATTGACAGACAGACAGTGACGTTTCCGCATCCTGCTTTCCCCCAGACATGAGTGGCTCCGCAACGCCAACGTCAGACACCGTTTCTCCACGTTCGCAACGTTTCCGAGACTCGGTTCATAACATCCCGACACCTGGTACAGAAGTACACCGGCCCAAGCGCTATGTCAGTACTACACTCCTTTGTTATAAAATGCTCTTTGATAGACATGAATGGAATCTAGGAGCCTATTGTTTTGAACATCTACATCGTTGGGAGCATTGGTCTACTCATGATATGTTTGGGTATTGTGCTTGAAATAGCTCTGCACATATCAGATAGAAGCAATGGTACGCGCGCCTATTGCTTCCTCACAGTGCGCCGATAACACTTCTCCAGGCTTCTCCGTACCTGAAAAGAACGTGATCACCTTCGTATCAACTCAATTCCTAACGGTAACGCCCATTATATCATCACCAATACATATCTATTCATCAGCTCGCAACAGTCGTTTGTTCCGACTTTATTGGTAGTCCCACTCGCGTATTTCTGGGCTGTAGCAGACTGGATGCTCAGATGGTACCAGGTTAGCGCGACCGTCTATATCATTTGCTTTCCATGCTCATTGTAGGGGCATTCCTTAGCCATATGTCACGCTATCCGAGGGCAACGCACCTGCAGCACGCAGTATTCTACTAGACTATGTAAGCATTTCATATGTTATGAATGAAGGGGTCTTAACATGCGTGACCATCCCACAATAGATCGCGCTCAAGTGAGACCCAGTCACTCCTAACCATGCTGACGATCTAAGAAAATTTATTACCCAGTCGATTAACCACTTTATACTATTCCCTCAAGCACCGGCACTGGTTAATAAATGTATCAACACTCACCGCCCTTTCTGCCGTCTTCATGCAGCCGCTTGCTGGATCCCTATTTCAGGTACGACAGGTACCCTACGCAGCAGGTAATGCCATTCAGCTAGTTCTTTCTTGCCGCCCACTTAGACTGAACATGTCAATGTAAAGCTGCCACCGCAACAAGCATGCGCAACGTCGGGCTGTCGACTACCATCAATCAACTCACTTCATTTCTAGCTTCTGCAGGGGTAAGATTTTTTAGATCAATTGCGATACTTTGCTGACGCATTGAATAGTATGTAGATGCTGCAGGTAGGAACACCTGCTTCAACAACATGCGCTAGACTGAACTAGGCCAAACTTCCTAGTGTACAATAACCTTCAAGATCCGTCATTCGTTCATGGCGGATGGTCTGCTGCTCCATTCGCGGTATGCTGTCTGCTTCTCTAAGATTGCATAAAATCACTCAAATATATGTGCTCTGCAGCCCCCTGCAGGTTCCATTTTGAACGGAACTCTAGCCGTAAACACCACTGCTATTCAAACGCACGTCAACTGCACAAAACCAACCTCTTTCACGACTACCAATCTCACCAGCTCGAATGTTGCATTATCAGCTACCTTTTCGCCTAGCTGTAACGCCAGTCTCAGTCTTGACCCTAACGATGGTCCCGACCAATTCTCTGTGACAGCAGCGTCGACGTGCGCACCCTCGTATCAGGATCAAAACTTTCAGCCCGTCGTATTCTGGTATTATCATCTGTCTGATAACGGAGACGCACTAGGGACTGCTGTTTTCTGCCAACCGAGTATCGCCATTTTCGTAGTCGCGACTACAATGAATCTCAATGATGGATCTATGGGAGCCTGTATAATCGTGGAGCCCTTTGAGAACACTAATAACGTTACAGGCAATCCTTTGAACGGCGAAGCTTTCAATGGGTGAGTCTATTGTTCATTTCGTTGCCAACTGTCTGAACGAATGTTTTCAGAGTCATGTTTGATGCGAGCAACAACACGTACCTTATCGCCAGGTCTCTCGCCATCAACTCGGGTATTCCAGGAGCTATATATCGCTTCGCTTCGCAGCAACCGAACGGTCCACAATCCGTATTCGATGATCCTTATGGATTCGTCAATGCCACAAAGAAGATCTATGTAAGGAGAATTATTCCGTCCGAAAAACCCAAGTGACCGAATGACTCTTTTTGTTACACTCAGACACAATATCTTTCTATTGCCGCGCAAACCATCTATTTCCTGCCAAACAACGAGACTATCCCTGCCCAGCTGACATCAGATCTCCCAAGGTTGTTCGTTGAGTACGCATTAATTCTACCACACTCATAATCCTACTTCTGACAATCCCCGCCTTTTCAGAAGTCTACCAGCACACCTACTTTCCATATTATTCATTTGCATCGGAATTGCATCCCTCATCGTTCACGTCCTGCACAAGCGCTCTCGTAGAAATCTTTGGTTGACCAGTCCACCCGGCTCGATCGCAACCATCGTAGCCCTCACATCGCGTTCTGGCTTTGGCGATCTCCTTCTGCCCTATGACGACGTATCGCGCATGAAAAGCAACCTCGCCGGTCTTACCTTCCGTCTTGATAAACGAACGGGCGCCATAGTCGCGGAAGAAGACTTTGGCGTCGGCAATACCTCTGACAATGCAGCGCTGTTGGGCGGTAAAGGGGATTATGACATGAAAATGGGAGCGAACAACTTCTCTCCGCTGTCGCGCACATCCTTCAAGGACCAGGCTGAATTTGAAAGTTCTTGATGGAAGGCTTTGCATGTTGTCCTGTCTCCCATGTGGGCCGGTTTTGATAGATGTTACACGCGATTTATTTGACATTTACCGTTATATTTCGACTATCCTTCGTTTAATTTGACTAGCGTCCCTTCTCTCTCCACCTCGTTGAAAACATGTGTGTAGTTTGTCATCATCACGATGCTGTGTCCTCGATCGAGAGTGATAGACTAATGTATTGATGCCTTGTGCCTTCGCCTCAGCCGTAAGAATTGAGTCTACGCGTGAGTAAGCAATGTGGCGCAACACCTCTTGTTCCGACTCACATCAGCAGTCAAGTCTCAGTCACTCATTATTAAATTTCTCGTATCGTCTACTCTGAATTTTTGCTCGAGGGCTGCTCCCTAGAACCGAGAGTACGGCGTAGCTTGAGATTGCACTCAAGTACTTAGCAATATCCGGATACAACAACATTGAATATATTTGAAGCTGAGTAGTGAAACCTCCAATTCGAATATTCCTACACAAACGCATTGTAATCAACGATGACGCTTCTACAACGTATTGTTACAACAGGTGTGGTATACATCGTGGTCCGTTGTCCATTTCATATTATCAGACGCTCAATAGCTCGGGATGGCAAAATTAGCTAACCACGCAAGCGAGAACAACGACAAACTTAGTGGGGTTGTCCAATATCACTTCTACCAATCATCATCGGACCAGTCGTCTTCTTGGGCAGCCGTTCCGCCGGCATTTCTCATCGATGGAGGTATATAGTCATTCGGGTCGATGTCCTCGTCTGTACCGAGCTGCACTGGATCTATAGTTGGCGAAGGGGGCTGGATCGGGTGCGCTAAGCGGTCCATCCATTGCTCGTCAATTGGGCGTCCCTCTATCATTGAAATCCACATGTTCAAGAGCAAGCTAGATTGTGCATGAGTGAAATCTGTTGAAAAGTGGTCATGAGAGATGGACACCTACTGGCATTCATTGCCTGCACAAGGGAGACGTGGGTTTGCTGATATGTTCATGCGCTGCGCTGTCGCCTGCACGCTAGGGCCAGTTTGTGCAACCCGCATCAAAGTCCTGACCATGTTCTGCACGTTCACGATACATCCAGCTGGGAGGGGAATAGTACCATTTTGTTGTGAGGATACCAGTTTCTTGACATCTTCTTTGATGCATACGGATGACGACGATCGGCCTTCTTGTTTCACAGAAAAGGGTTTGACATCATCGCGGGGTTCGTGTTTCCAGCGTCGTTCATAGTCACGTGAGGAATGAGACGGGCCAGCGTTCAAGCGTCGCGGAGAAGGTGATCTGGAGGACCTTCGGTGTAATAGTTTCTGCATGTGTAATTTAGATTAATCCCTGGTGATACGAAGAGACGTGCTACCTGAGGTTGACCACGCTGGAACAGCGCAGCGACAGGGGTAAATGACCCAACATCAATTCCGGAACGTGCAAGCACTCCGCGCACCATCTCCTCATCGTGGACCAGCACTACAAGCGGAACATTGGTGGCGTCATGTGTGAAGAGTCTTCGCATCTCCGAGTAAAGAATATCCACCGTGCCCTCCTGGTTGGTGGTTCCATGCTCAAAGGGCTGAGAAAATCGTCAGATAACACATATGAATGTAGGTGAACAGTGGTACCGCATTCTGTTCCTCGTTTTTCAGTGCGAGTCCTTTCATCTTTATGTGTACAGTTTCCGTTACTCGTCCAGATTCCACATGCTCCGGCATCATCACATCTGTCCATCCGACATCGATGATAAAGGGACTGTCATAACGTTCACGACGTCTATCCTTGTGCCACGTGTTTACGACTATTGAGATCACTCTGACTGCGTCAGCCCAGGGTGGATTGATTAGTCCAAGGGCTCCTGCAGTGGCGCTTTTCATAAACAACCGATACAAGACTCTTTAAAAGCGGTCAGTCACAAATCAAATATGTGTCAATCCCCATCGAACCTCTGGTTCTCAAAGTCTGCCCGGGGATTACCAGGAGCGCCCCTCTCCCCAAGTTGAATGAAACCTCGGTTGGCAGGGCTGTTGTCCTCCTTATCCTTTTTGTTCTTTTGGGATTTCACCTTGTAGGTCTTGAGCTTGTCCTGAAGGTCATTCTTTGTAGCAAAATAAATCGGGGATAGCGAGGCGAATTTGTCCACTTTCCACGGTCTTCTGGGAGGCCGCAAGCGGTGCTTCCGGACGAATGCCCACATTTGATGAGATGTCATGAGGACGTATGAAGCACCATTGTGTAGAATTCCTGTAGTGTGCAATGTAAGTCGACGTGCGACGGGTAAACTTCAGAATATGCTAGTACCTAAGACCAACTCGATGGGCGCGCCAGTACCTCCAGGCCTGAGTTCGCGACCTTCGTAATTCATGATAGCATCTATTGTTGGTTTGTCATCGTACATCTGGAACCTGGAGAACCGTTGGGTGGACGTAATTATTCAACACGAGGTACTCTCACCATTCTTCAGAATGAGCTCGGAAGCCCCCAATCTGATAGTAATCTGTTTCAGGCTCCATGCATGTATATATATGTATTGCAACCTATGACAAGCCAACGATGAGGTGACGGTCGTTGAAAGGCAGCTTGAAGCTTGAAGGTCGACAGATAGTAGCCTAGGTCAGATATACCTTGTTCTAGAACTTCGAGGGTCTGTGCACGGTGGGAATTTACAGGGCGTGCTGGGGGTTTGAATTCGAACTGGGATAGAAGACCTTCGATTTAAAAGCATCGGCATAAATACTGGTGAGGCAACACAAAGGGAATCAATCAACAAAGTCGCTGGAGATCTGTAAAATCACGTGATGCCGGAGAGGGGCGATCACCCTAAAAGGTATACGCTTCACCCGAAACGCCTTCGCATCGTTTTGATTGTTCAAACGTTCATTCTTCTACCATCTAGTGAGCATTTTAACACAGGACATAGACATAGACATTCGTAGCATTCAAGGTCATTTAAGTACATCATCTTCAGACGCCATCAAAGGCATATGTGGCATAAGAGGTTTTAAAAACATAAACTTCACGTAGATGGCGGCTTTTCCTTCAAGTCTTCATGTCCTATCCTCCTGCTTGAGCCCGTCTCAGCAAGTTTAATCGTCGTGTTTGGCAATTCAGTATACATCAGGCCTTCCTCAAGGGCGGAGTCCGGCTCTCTGAGCCTAATCGCCTCAGGCTCCTTCGGTGAACCCTTCTTTGAAATCTAGCCGAAGTATTTTGGAATCCACAAAACAAAGATCACAAAAAAATGAAAACGCACAATAACATATATAGCTGATGCCATGATGATAGCAGCTCCGATAAGCGATAGCGCCGAAGGAACTGTGCCGAAGATCACGTATTCCAGGACTCCAGCAAATAAGAGCTGTACATATTGACCCATAGAGCCGCGTGCTGCAGTCTCATGTTGATAGCCGATCGTAGTCAAAGTCTTTAAATGACTTTCAGCAGGCAAAGTCAAGGACAGTGACAACAACCTGCCTGCGCGAAAAAACCCGAAAGTCCAATGAAAATGAGCATAGCAGCCCATTTCCAGTTGTGAGGGTAAACAATTGGGATCTTCATGAAGTACATTCTTCACACCTATCAGAGGGCGAGACAAAGACAAGGCAATGGAGCTCACGCAGCAGAGGCGACGATTGTGCACCATGTAGAGAAAAACATCATGAGATGCATAGGATGAGCGCGTTTGCCTATCGCACGCATTGACAATACTGTGACACAGTTATCTTGAAGCAGCTCTCATAGGCAACAACGACGTACAAGCACCAGTTCCTAAGACAATTCCAAAAACAGCGACGCTGTGGAGAAGGTTGAGGCAAAGAAAATCTTCAAAATGAGTGGCAACTTACCAGACAGCTCGTATCCTATCTATCGCGGTAGCTAGGCTAGAAGCCGCATCACTGCTGTCTGAGTTTACGCTGTTAGTATTACCGAACAAAAAAGGCGGTCGAGCAATTAGAATGACACCAAGCAAGCTCACGACTAAAGGAATGAATGTCAACAAGCGTGATTAAGTGTCAGAAAGACACTAAGATAGGATAATTGCACAAACTGGCTGCAAATGCTTCACGCTTCGAATAGGGCTCCTTTAAGACGATGTATCCACCTATTGCTGCTGAGAGTGGGGCAAGAAAACTCAACACCGTCGCATCTGCTAATGAAAGGTACTGCAGGGAATAGTACATCCCGAACAGACCAAAGAAACTTGAGGGAAGTTTAGCGACTGCGTTATAATGACTATACATTCTCCAAATCAAAACTCACCCGCACAAGCCTCTGTTCACCAGCAACAGCCTCACGCCTTTGGGACCAAGGATAGGATCTGGAATCTTCATTGCAACCCTGTCAAAACACATATGAACCTGAGGATAGACATAGCCTTCTACTTGAACGACGTACATGTATAATACACAACATGCCAAGGTGATGCCCTGATGAGATTCAGGCAAACAGCCTAATCAATATTTGTATCCACCAGGAAATACCGAAACACCAACCATACGAACTGCGATGAGCTACAGAATCATAAGCCCAGTTTTTAGGATATATACAAGCGAACATACTTCAAGGGTGTGCATGGGCACATCAAGACTGTTCAGCTGCTTGACGCCAAGGTTCATGCATACGAAAAAGAATTGCGCCACTATGATCAACAGCATCCCCAGGTTCGTTTCGACGAAGGCGATCGCGCGCGATGTCATCCCTCGCCATCGCAGCTGCAAACTCTCGAACCATCTAGACTGAGGACCAAAAATCCGACGTCGTCCTGTTGGCAGAGAAGATGTGAGATCGATATCATCCGAGGAAGTTTGGTCCTCTGTTGGGCTCTGGGATAGGGCGATGTAGCCATTGATCGTGCTCATTACAGCGACGTTCGACTGGATGCAATGAGCGGAATTGAACGTACTAGCCTAGGACTAGAGCGACGCGTGGGTTCAAGATGAATGCCAATCTCATCTCGAGCATGCTCCAATCCCTATATACATCATAAGCTGACTGAGAACTACACAATTTTAGTGGACGATACAGTGATAAAAACCAGCTGACAATCGAGAAAGTTCTCACTGCTCAACGTGACCAATGAAAACATCATTATGCGATGGTGGGAGAACAACCTGTAGTATATTAACCAAGTCGATGGTTAATATTAGAACCTCTCAGGGCTAACCGAAATCTACCACTTACCAGCGAAGTAACGGGGACCTTAGCCTATTCAAGTGCTGACTAGACAGTAGAGTCGATGTTGCCTCTAGTAATAACGAGACTATATCTCCTTGCAGATTGTCACTGATGTTGTATCTGGTAGGTTCCTGCTTTGGTGGTGATAGTGGTGTAAGTTGTGTGACAGAAACCGAGAACACTATGTGGCCACTCACGACAAGACAAGCAGAACATGCCAAAACGATGGCAGCGTCAATAACTTACCGCGCGATAAAGAAAAAGGATACAAGTTACGATGCGTGCCACATGATGGGGGCAGAAAGAACAGTACTAGGATAGAGGGATACGTGAGCACCAGTAGGTGATGCCGTCAATCTCAGCTGTGAACGCGAGGATGGTGTTCCGACGTTTGTTCGAAGGCAGATGAGCAGACGGAGCAAAATAGAAGACATAACAGAGTGCTACAAGCTCTCATACTGGGAGGCAATTACAGGCTTTATATAAACCTGAAAAAGAAAAAGTTCAAGAGTGCGGCCTGAGAAGGGACAGGTATCCAATATATTAAGTCCATTATGTTACGCTGTACTGTCAGTGGTGCGGTCGCGGGCGGGTACTCGCTTTGTCAACTGGCAGTGAGATAAGTAAAGGAGTCATGTGACAGAACACGATGATCACGCACGACAACACAGAGAGCAGAAGACATAATGATCATGGCGCCGAGAACCGACAGTAAAGACGGCACAACTCCGAAGATTAGGCGTTCAAGCACTACGGAAAAAAGCATCTGGATATACACTCCAGTGGAACCGCGCGATACTGTTTCTCGCTGCAACCCCAACGTCAAGAGAATCTGGAAAGGTAGTGAATCACCGGTGGGTAAATGGAGGGTCACGAGGAACTAACCTGTGCTAGGAAGCCAAAGACACCAACCATAAGCAAAAGAAGTGACCATCTCCATGATCTAGGATATACAACAGAAATATCGAAGACGACCATCCTGTTGCATAGCAAATTATTAATGCGGCACGTAAATGTGCAGGGATGTATTTGCAAACCCCAAAGATGCCATGATGGTGCACCACAAAGAAAAGAATGTCATTACATGCATGGGATGAGCTCGCTTCCCAATTGCGCGAATCGAGGTATCTGTGAAAATTATTGAAGTTGCCATTACCGCGAGAAGGTCGATCATAATGCGTACATGCCCCAGTGGCTCCAACAACACCGATCATAGCTACCCTACCGAACATTGAATGGTGAAATGGCGAAATAGTGTACAAATGACGATGCTCACCCAACAGCCCCCAGTCTTTGCGCTGGTGTTGTTCCGGACCCGTCATAATTAGCGGCTAGTATGGAGTTGAATAGAAATGGGGGGCGAGCGATAAGGACGACACCAAGCAAACTGAAAACTAGCAACATCTTTGAGTATCCATAGACAAGAGAGAAGTCAGAGCATGACTCTCACCTCCCGCGACCGCTTGAGTGACGGAGTAGCCCTCCTTAAGGAGGAGGGACCCAGTGACCGCCGTTGTAATAGGTGTCAAGAAAGTCAAGACTATCGCATCTGCAACAGATAGATACTGAAGCGACAGATACAGTCCACATAATCCGAGAAACCTAAGCGATCAAACGATCATCAAAACATGAGGTCATGCAAGCAGATCAATGCTCACCCGCTGATCCCACGGAATACTAATAGTGTTCGAACACCTTTGGGACCAATGATCGGATTTGGGACTCCCGTGACAATCCTTCATGTCGTCAATCGCAGGGTATTATTTGTCTGGAAAGTAACCCACGTACATATATGTCACACAGCATATCAACGTGATGCCCTGGGGACGAATCGATATTCAAATGAGTGCAGTTCATAAAAACTCTTTGACGCACCATCCTGACTACAATAACCTGTTTTATTGAGATTCACTCCAATCGGGGAATAAAGATAAAGAAACTGAGCTAACTTCAAACGCGTGCACCGGAGGCTCCAGGCTGTTTAACATCTTCACTGACAGATTCATGGATGCGAAGAAAAACTGGGAAGCTATAATGTATAGCATCCCGGCGTTATTGACAAAAAAACCTGGGAGATTGCGTTGTCCGTCGATTGCTTCATCATCTTGGGGTGTGGCAACAATGGGTCGCGTCGAACCATAATCGTGTCCTGCAGTGGTGTGAATGAGAGGAGACTTGTTGTTGCTCATCTTCGAGGTTTGTCTTCGCCAATTCAGCCTAAGAACACTGTACTAATGGCTAGTGATATATGGGCTGTGTGACCGCACCGCCTTCTGGAGTGAACTTGTAGCCGACTCATCTGAATTAGTGGTACAAATTTCAACTATCGGGCATATCGGACGCACTGTTACTTGCACGTGACGCTCCCGCCTGAGTATTTTTAGTTCAAGTAATTTAAGAAGTGGCCTCGGACTGCGTCGGATTGAGCATTAAGGCCGGGCAGGAGTCCGTTAACTTGGGAAATAGTACTGCTGGTGGTGCTGTCTATAGTGTAGTTTCCAGTGAACTTAGATGAACCATGCAAGGATGACTTCCCACCACAACGTAAACTCGAGTGGACATAATAACGGTCGTTGAATGCACAAGTGCTGGAGTATTTTTAGAAAGTGCAAGACTCAGAAGTAACAATATATCCGACTCCTCGGAGTAGGCAGGGCCCCACACTTCTGTGTTGCAGCATTGTCACTGGCACTGTCTTGGTCAGGTTTTTTTCATCTGGTGAGTGAAATCTACATTAGCACAGAAGTTTGTTAACAACGAACACAGCAACCACTCACGACGACATAGAAAGCAGAGGACATGATGACAGCGGCGCCGAGAACCGACGGTAAAGACGGCGTAACTCCGAAGAACAGGCGTTCAAGCACCACGACGAAAACCACCTGAGCATACATTCCAGTGACACCACGCGACACAGTTTCTTTTTGTAGTCCCATCGTCAAAAGGGTCTAAAATCATAGTAAACTACTAGTAGGCAAATGTAGAATTACTGATGAGTACGCACCTGCGCCGCAAAGCCGAAGACACCGACCATGAGCAGAAGAAGTATCCACATCCATGACGTAGGATATACAACGGGAATATCAAAAACAACCATCCTGTTACAAACGATGAATTGTCACGTAAAATGCAGATATGCATTGACACACCCCAAAGATGATATAATTGTGCACCATAATGAAAAGTATGACATTACATGCATCGGGTGAGCGCGCTTCCCAATTGCGCGTATCGAGGTATCTATTAAAACCATTAAAGCGGCCATTACCATCAGAAGGTCAATGACAATACGTACATGCTCCAGTATTTCCAAGTACGCTGACCATACAGGCCCTACCGAAAATAGATAAATTGTAGGTTGAGCGGGGCAGAGTGCGCGTAATGGTACCCACACAACACCCGCCAACCTTTGCGCAGGGGCCACGTCTGAGAGTCCTTGAGGGACAGCATCCAGGGAGCCAAATAGGAACGCGGGTCTGCCTATGAGGATGACACCGAGGAGACTGAAAACTAGGGATTTATCCCCAATAAGTAATCAAAAACTATAAAATGCAAATTGTAACTCTCACCTCCCGCGATAGCTTGCTTGACGGAATAGCTCTCCTTCAAAAATACAGATCCAGCCACCGCTGCCGTAAGAGGTGTTAAAAAAACCAAGACTGTGGCATCTGCGACAGACAAGTACTGGAGAGACCAGTACATGCCAGATAGCCCAAAAAACCTGGGAAACAGATTGTTGATAAGTTTGAGGCCGCGCGAGTATATGAGCACCCACCCAGTGACACCACGGATGAAAAGCATCATTCGAACACCTTTAGGGCCAGCTATGGGATCAGGGATCCCCATAACAGTCCTTCATATCATCAGTTTTGAATCGTCGCCTAGAAAAATAATCGACAAACATGTATATCTCGCAGCATATCAAGGTGATGCCCTGAGACAAATCAATACACATTCGAGTCGAGGACTGTGTGGCGCACCATCCTAATCACGATAATCTGTTTACATCGGTTCACTCCATATTCGATCATCAAAGATGGAGAAATCTCACCTGAAGTGCGTGCACCGGAGGCTCCAAACCGTTCAGTAGCTTCACCGAGATATCCATGGAAGCAAAGAAAAACTGGGAGTATATGATCAATAACATCCCAGCATTCCTGGCGGTGAAGCTGAGTGATTCGTTCGCGATTGCTCCATCATCTTGATGTGTTTGCATCGAGCCATAGCTTTCTATGTCGCCATGGTGAATGAGTGGAGACTCGGGCCTGCTTTTCTTCATCTTTGACGATCGTTGAGATGAGGGTTCGTGCAGAAGGTCGGTGTAGCTGGTAACGGCTGGATGGGTCGAGAAGTTCTATGCGGTCTTAGACCTGCATAATAGTAATGTGTACATAAGGAAATCGATGTTCATCAATCGATCATGGGATGGAGTGGAACCATTTAACCGCTGCCAGTAGACGTCAGCGTTTGCAATTTGGACAGCCGGCAAATCGAGACAAACTGCATCCTTGGTATTACTCTTGTTAGTTCCAGCACACAAGAGTGTATATGCCTTTGGACAGCACTCACTCATCTCACAGTACCGATAGCATTAAATGCCAATCGATTCGGAGTTGACTCGGAGAACAGGCTGGCCCCAGTACGTGAGGCTGATACCTTTTATGTCCTACGATCGAAGTCGAACGCGCTTAACTTAGCCTTTCCCAGGCTGGGGCGGACCGGACTCGTACAGAACATAGTACTCAAGTTGTACAATGACGTGGTCGACTCTGATTCGGGCCGCTGTGCGCGGGGGGAACCATACAGCTCTGGGGTGACCTGAAACTTCTTGGAAGTTGGAACACATGATTATCACGGTCTTTGTTATGTCCCCTATGATGAAGATTTTACATAAATAAATACTTCAAAATTGCAACATCGATGTATTACCTTCTATTACTCCAACAAGTCCCTTTTGTACCCCGCGTTCACGGCAGGCTTTCACAGATATGAAGAATATGTGCGGGTATGAGATGATCTATGGACCGTCACATATCAATCTGGAGGTCTTATTGTTTGGATACTGCGCCCATGGTTCCAAAGGCGCAAGACAGGCTCTTGAGTGGCATAGTCCATCGTCTAGATCTTGTCGCATTAGGCCTTCTCATGAGGAGCAAGTCTCATTTGAAATATGGCTGCTAATCGGCAGGTCGCATGACTTCTCGGCCCATCCAGATGTTGCTCGGACCAGCGTGGAGTCGTGGTGATGGTACCCACGCTGAGCGCTGATCCTCCGAACAATCTACTATGCAACGAACGTTGAAAATGGGGCCGGGCATCAGTACGACGTCGTGCCAACTGCTTCATAGAATTGAAGGCAAGACATAAATACACACCAATGTGAACGAATAGTACCTGACTGCGGTAGTCAACTTGGAGACGGTTGTTCCAGTCGTTTCGAAGGTTGGACAATCCCAACCGGAGATGATTGGAGATATCATTAGTCCTACAAGTAGTCCTGTCCCACAGCTAGACCTAAAACATTCTTAACTTACCTAAATGATCTGCAACTTATCAGAACACGAAGCACTTCCAGATTCCATGGAAGGTGAGTTCACGTGCAGGCCTATTATCAATTAAGTATGCCTGTTTAGCATAAGGTTCAACCTCAAACTTGAACAAGTCCGAGTTGAACTCTGCTGCGTGTCGTTAGTACTCATGGTGGTTGGAGAGCGGGTAAATAATAATGACAGCACGGGACGGAGCGCCGAGTATCCAAGAAAGGGACACAGTCCAACTAAGTACGGAGAGATTCAAATTCCATGGAACGTAATAAGGTGGGAGGAGAGTCGTAGTGCCCTGTTACACTTCGGTTCCCAAATGTTGGGAAGAACCAAGGTACATGCATTAGTAACCTCACGTTCGGCAGAGATCAAGACCTCCAGCACCGCTCGACACTCGTGTATAGGCTTATTGCGCGTCTACGACCACCCACCTCAGTCTCCCGCCACCTACTACCACCCATGACCTTCAACCTGCGCCCTCCTGTGCCTGACACGCGCTAGGCCGAATTTACAACCTCGCGAAGCCCAGTGCTGCCTTCGACGAAACCTCATGTTGGCTCGGACCCCTGCACCAGAACGTGACCTCCCGGACCCTCCCAAAGCAGTCACTAGAAAATGACGGAGTGCTTGTTTTGCTTTATAGCAAATAGCATAAGAAGAAAGTGATTTATGTAAGGAGTTTGATCACTCTCTAAGACAACACAAGATAAGAAAAATTTACGCCGTCTCTATGTTTTTGATGCCCGTCCAACTTCAAGAAAGAATCCTGAAACGGACAACGTGTCTAATTTGTTGCTGTTCGCGAGTGCAAGGATGATGTGATGGGGGTGGTACCGGCGCAGGGTCGTGTTCTTGCAACACTTGGCGACGTTGATACGAGCAGTACAATCCTCCATATCTGGGGAAGATGCGGTTGAGGCCAGAGACATCGATGTTGAATAACTCGGTGGCGGTCTGTCCGGCGTTGTCGGCGTGCTTTGACAGAGAATGACGATGGTGGCAGTACGAGGGCGTGGGCACCGATAGCACACCTTCAATCGCCGGAGAAGGACGAGGGCAATGAAAGCGGCGGACCAGTAGAGTTTGGTGTAGAGTTTGGTGCGGTGCAGGGTGTATGTACTAATGAAACTTGACTTGGAAGTTAGATAAGCACAGGTGACGGATGTTCTGGGCAAGCAAGGAGATAGGCAACGAACAACCTTAGTTGTACGTTAAATTGATTGAGGTTCAGGTGGCGCTTTCGGTGTAAACGAGTGGTCATTACCGTTCACATTGGCGTTAGCGAGCGCCAGCCAATAGCTTGTTGCCGCCGATAAGTTCCTGCTCGGGTAAACCAGAGGCAAATCTGTAGCTGAAGAGGTTTTCGAGGTCTTGTCATTACGTTTTTACTGCACGTACCTTGTTTTTTTGTCAACATTTGGAACTTCGGCGAAGTGCTTCGGATGGGTAACAGGGCACTCATCACTCGTAACTTGTGCCGGGGATGTCGTGTCGTACTTCGGCGTCGGTCCGACTCCAATCTGAACACATATGGAAGCAAGCGAGGTGAGCACACTAGACCAATGACCAATCAAAAAGTTAAACTTGGACTGGGCGTAGCTGAGAGCTTCGTCGCCACTTACGAACGTGACGAACTCATCACATGATACATAATATCCGGGCCAGACCTAAGGGTGAGCGAAAAACATGTAAATCAAATTCATATTCCAGATAGTGACTTCTGTCAAGCAGAAGTCAAATCAAAGTATGTACCCTCAATCATCGAAGTCTTTCCAAACCCCAAAGCCCACGACTGCCAGACACATATCTCAATGGCGGATGTGTGATAAAGTCCGCGGAATCAAATGCAGCGCTCGTAGGCAGGGTCAAAGGTATGTGGTGAAATTGACATAGATATAGCAAACTTCTAGGCTGTAGACATTCCGTGTCGGAAAGAACGTGATTACAACAAGAATATCGACGATCATGCCGGAAGTCACTTACTCATTTGGTAAGGACGACACAAGGAGGCGCGTGCATCAGACCTCTAGGGAGCCTGAAACAACGTGTGGCAGCCACCCCAGTGGGTCAACGTTTCAACACTTGGGATGAAACGCACCTTGAACTTTGATAGGATGACCGGCAAATCGTCATGCATCATTTGGGGCCTGCATACTCGACGGTTATAGAGGGCGCGCCCAAAGTTCAACCGAATTTCCGACATCAGAAATGTAGTCAAAAAGAGAACCCATGTCAGAAAACTCGTCATGATGTGGGATTAAGAGTGTGGGTAAGTAGATGGTCGCGCACTGCCTCCGGGAAGCCAATTGCAGTCGTTGTAGTACAACAGAGAAGTCTGAGGCCTGAGGTGGCGTTGAAGTCGAAGAATGGGAGAGGAAGCCTTGCCGGATTAAGTTGCCCTCTCCCGATGAAAACGCAACATATCCTTGAGCGGAACAAAGAAACGATGATGGGCGTCAAATTATAAAAACCTTGATCTTATCATAATCAAGTATCATGAGGGAGAATGAAAGTGCGTGGAGCTCGGAGTGGCTGGTAGTCTAAACCTCGTATTGTTTTAGATCAAGAAAAAAAGTTGAAATCCATGAAATAGTAGGCAAACTCCGAGGTAAACGAGGGTAAACGGTGTGGCTCTCCGCCCAGGGAACTAAAAGTTATCAACATGGAAGTCTTCGCGTTGTCCAGCGATCGCGACCGAATTGATGGATAGCGTGTTGGATGCGGAGCAAAGAAGGTCGAGAGCAGGAATGATAGTATCTGTATCTCCGCTGAGCGAGAAGACATATTGCGCAAGTTCCCATCAGGCTCAATGGTTGCAAGGAATGTACATTCGAAGTTCTGTCAAATCAGGGTAAACCAACACTGGGACCTACATGTGAACCTCGGAGCTGGCTTGCAGTAGTTAGTAGCAAAATTAATCTGAGCACGAGGCAAAGTCTAAACACGGATCGAGATGCAATAAACTCTCCAGCACCCCGGAATACTCTCCGCAGTATAATCTCGGAGGAAGCACCATATGCAATTATACGCGTGGTCCGAGCACGATGCAGGATTGTGATCCGTCGTTTATGTCGACTGCGGTGCAAATTCTAGTTAATTAAACTCGCGTTTGTGAAGCATTGCGATAATGTTTCGGACTCCCGGCTGCGCAGGCGCTGGCAGTGCGGGAGTGGAGCCGGTGGAGTACATCGGGTGACCGGAGACTGAGGCTGAGCGCAGTGGCTGAGCGGAAGGACTCGTCTCGCGGTGGCGCAGATTAGCCGGACAACCCCGGCAGATCTGTGCAATCAGACGCCAAGCTGATCTCGAAGGCGGGGCCTTAGTTCGAGGCTTGTATCTTAGACCGCATTACACAAACTTATCAACAAATGAATACACTGTTCCTCAATGGCGGATACATCCAACCAAAATGAGCCTTTTGTTCGAATTTATTGTTCGAGGTGTAGATTTCAGTCGCGCGTCTGATCGAAGACGACGAAAATACCATCGACCTCACGAGGTCAATTATAATGTCGAGGGTAGTCATTGAACGGGCGTCAGAATAGGAACGTGCCATCCGAGACAATCGCACCAGCCAAGTACGTTCCATACAGTGTTGAAACACATGTGGCACCTTTTAGTGTAACTTGGCCACCATTGGTGGTAATCATGATGGATAACGGACTGGTCTATAGGGAACGGTGATGATGCGTGTGTGTCCGTCGGAGGCTTGGCCTTGTTCGCCATTTCATCTCAAGTTTCAAGATCTCTCCGTCTAGTTGATGCGGCTCTTCGGATACTTCTATCGCAGGTAATATCCGAGAGCAACTTGACACTTCTTAGATCTCGAAGTCAAAGATGCGCTACGGTGGCGAGCGTTCGACGCAGCGATCGTTCAGGACGGGTGACATTCCCCGCAACCGCAAACGAAAATAATAGACACGAGTCAGACAGTGGGAAGTAGGTAATACGTACAACCAACAGCTAAGATGAACCAGTAAGCAAGCCAGAATGGTGGGCCAGTGCCTACTGATTGCGCTCGATTAGAGCGGATCACCCCAAAAGAGGTCTGATTGAAATGGAGGGACACAGGGACCAGTCACGGTGAATTCATAGACTTGGCGGATGGTAAGCTTACAATCAATGCTCCGTGGAGCACATGGACATTCGGGCATGAATTCCACAATATACCAGTATCTTGAATAAGTTGAAGACTCGAATTGGTCTCGGTCGGTGCCGCAGAGGTGATAGAGTCTATCCCTGCAGTTGGTTCACAACGAGATCCGTGCATGATCCGTTGGGAAGAAAGTTGAAAGACCAGGGCAAAATTGGTGTAGCTCAGAACAGATAGAAGGAGTGGTTACGAAAGGGGGGCCTTGTGCATAAGACATGATGTTATGTTGTACGAGAAGATTGCTTGACAAACATTCCGACCCTGCGTCGACACATGGCGTGCCCTGGTGCGATACAGCGCGCAAAAGTATAACCAAGTTAAGATAAAGATTAGTAGGCATCAGGGGTGCCGTTGCGCACTAGTAGAATGTGCACGTGACAAGTTGAAAAGTGTTATACCTTCACGACTGTTCTGCATGTGCAACTGACCTAAAAGCCTTTCTGTTTCTGTTTCTGTCTCTGGAGTGACTATCGACGCTGTGTTTTGTGTGTACGATGGGGGTGGTATCATAGAATTTGACCAAAGTTGGATGCGAGCAAGAAACATAAGTAATGCACAGCAAGGGTTGAGGCTTCGAAGACGCTGATCGCCGTATAAAAAGCTAAGGACCCTCATTGGTGGCTCTGCGCCGCGCTCGTGGGTAGAGAGAAGAACGAACGTTAATGGGACGATGAGGTCAAGAAATAGAAGCATGGTTATTGGTTCAGAGGGTTGTTAAGGTTCCTTCGAGGAAGGATTCTCAGGATCAGTGTTCTGAGGCACGAAACTTGGATGTGGATTTCCAAGAATCAATAATTCGACGGGACCGAATCGAGTAAGTAAAGGACTACAGTTCAAACATAATGAATGAACAAGTCCCTCCCTCAAAGCCTCGTGTAGCCAGTAGTAACAGGTTAACAGCTGGAGTCGCCAATGATTCGGATTAATGTCATGATCAAATTATCGTAACACCCCTCGCGAGAGTACCTACTACCAGTTGACTGCATCGTTCCTTGATATAATAATAATTTGTCACATATTCTGAATCATATATGATTTGAATTTATGAATATTCGATGGCAGTACAGTATACGGGCAATGGATAAACTTTGGTCGCGAGGCAGGGTTGGATGCGGCTCCAATACGCGCCGGTAGTGGTAAAAGGACCGGTGGCAGTGGGTATATGCCGAAATGCCGAGATTCTCGATTTTTATGTAATTCACCATAATATCATCTACTACATAATGGATTCAAGCTAAATAGGCTTAAGGCTAGATAGGTCCATTAGCACCCTCTCTTCCTCCACCATCAATTTCGAATCAGAGACTTCATCATCTATAAACCTCTTTCTGTAGCCTAGTCTGCAGTAGTATACTCGACCCCACTCCAGCTTTTGTAGCTATGACCACCACATCTCAACCCATCGCCTTCCAGTCTCCTAATCATCCTGATTTACACATCCCATCCGGTTCATTCACCGGTAACAACAGTGCAATGCCTTACTTTCTAGGCTCCCCAATATCATGGCGTGCTGGCTCATTCGGAAGCCGCTTCTATCCTGGTTGTTCCCCTGGTCAACTTCTCGGTCCACTAGAGTCAGTTCATCTTTCACTTACACGTGTCAATCTGCTAATATACTCTAGTCCTAACGAGTTTAAGTGTGCAAAGTTGTCGTCATCTATTGACAGCGACCGTGGTTCAATTCTGAACGCTCTCGGTGCCTTCGACAGGGATGACGAACTAGTGAGTCCTCACCTTCGTATTCTGAGCCAACCTCTCATCGTTCTACTATTCTAGTGTCGCAATTACACCTGCTGTGGCCTACAACTCGATGACCTACACGCTCTGCTACAGCATTTCGAGGAGATCCATGTTGTCGTGCTTGACCCCTTCAGCCATCCTCAGTTCCCAGTTGTCCCTCCTTTACCTCAGTATACTCCTGACGCAACTCTGTCTTACTTCTCAGACCATCATCAGCACCCTTCGTCTTACAACCAAGGAGGCTTTGACCCGGATGACATGGAACTCGATGTCGATCAGGGCAGTACGCCTCCGTCAAATGCACCATCACCCCCTGACACTCCACTCACCACTCCACTGTCATCACATCCTAGTCATTCGTTTAACCACTTTGGTCAGTCGAAACCTGCCTCTCCGCATCTTCCCGTTTCGGCATTTGACACGACGACTGTGCTCCCTTCCCGCTCCGTTCACGGCTCAGCATTCCCACCGTCTCGAAACAGTCTCCCAAATGTGGCAAATGCCCCCGATGCGTTTAATGGTTACGCGGGCTACTCCGACTACTCATCCTCAATGCCTGGCACTGTTCCTTCCCCACCTGCCAGTGATGATCTTCACGCACCTGTCACACCTGTCAGTGATCCGGGTAGCCCTTACGGCTGCCTTCCTCCTGCGGTAGTGTTCTCCACGAGCAATACTCCTGTCAACACCCCTTCAGCTTCTCGTGTTCCCTCTCCAACAAGCGCTTCGCGCTACCCCGCGGCCTCCGCGGCCTCACCTCATTCGCCAGATTCCTTTGCTTCTTCCAAAGCTTTCCCGTCACAGCAAGCCAATCAGCGTGCCAGTACCACGCTCTCTCGCCCTGCATCATCATTGCTGTTATCGAAGCCCTTCCGCTGCCCTAAGCCTAATTGCAACAAGAGTTACAAGCAGGCCAATGGGCTCAAATACCACATGACCCACGGCAGCTGTAACTTTGCGCCGCCTAAGGACCTCGAGCAAGTACAGGCACTACTGGCTAGCAAGCGGTCTGCCCGCGAGGCTGCCGGGCAGGAAGATCAGGGTATCACCGAGGGCGAGATGCGCGAAGTCGAACGGGAAGCAGAACGCAGGCTTCGGCCCTTTGCTTGTGGTGTCAGTGATTGTCAGCGCCGATACAAGAACATGAACGGTTTGCGGTATCACTACCAGCACTCGGGTGACCATGGTGCAATGGGCTTGTCTCTCCTGGCCAGTGGACAGCATGAATGTTTACAGCACGCTCATGGACGGAGTAGCAATGCAAGCTCACGGCATTCCACGCCAGCGACGAGTGGACACTCGACGCCAGTGAGCAGCTCGACACCATCATATGCTCAACAATATCAGCAGCAGATGCTTTACTCCTCCGCGCAGCAGCAGTACTTGCGCCAGCAGCAGCAGGCCCTACATGCACAAGTGCAGATGGGCTATTCTTGCGGCTCAACCGAAGCTATCGCTGCTATCATTGCCGCCCAACACTAAGGATTCGCATTCGTTCAAAATGCAACAGTCCGAAAGGACTATGCTTTTTCGAACGTAGACTAGATGTAATGTATAGGCCTTTATCACATCCGCACTGGCTCTCGGTCACCTCTCGGGCGTTCTTGGGCGACCTCGGCCACGCGCAATCTCGACACGGCGTAAAAGTAAAAAAAAATTATACATATTGGTCGACTATTGTGATATATCCCGTCTTTTGCTTCCCCTGCTGTGCTTTTACTTTGCTCTTCTGTGTTTCTCCTTCTGCCGGCCTACAACATATCCCAGGTCGACACCTTACGCTTCTCAGATTCATTCGTTTGCCGGTTCTCATTCTGTTTTCCTTGGCGTCTGGCTTATAATACTGCAACTCACTTCGTCGCTGGTTGTTCCCTCACCACGCAGAGCATAGCAGTTTTGTTACGTTTCCTAAAAGCCGGGAGTCTGTACTATTATCCAGGCTGGCATCTCTTCTGTAATCTTACTACTCTGCAGGTCCATCTCTCGCACTCGTACTGCGTATACTTACATTAGCTATCTACCTACAAGTATGACTACCTATTTCATGTGCGGTGGATATTGTCGTCTACGCGAATGCGAGTCTCGGACTACTCTGAAAGTTTGAGTCAAGTTGTACATGTTGCCACGTGTTGATCGGGATCAAAACTCTATTCTAGTATGATCCCGATTCCCCGCAGATCTGATCGACAGGTCTCACCAGCGCTGAGCTCTTTTGCATTTGCAATCAGCGTCTGCTCGAAAGTGCGTGACGTCGCAGCGATCAATGACAACCTAGGAACAAATAGCGCACTGCTTGCACGAAAAGGGGATGAAGGAGAATGCAGAGCCTAGAGCTTTGGCCTTGGCAATGGGGTGGGGAAACTTTTTTCCCTTGTCGTCTCCGAGGCCGCCCCAGGGCTGGTGAGCAGCCTGATGACCGTACGGAGAATTCGCGTCGACGAGAGGCAAATATCCCTTGGTGTTCTCATACATTCACATGACTAGTCTTTACTTGGAAGAAAATACCAAGTATAATTTAGGATTACCCGAAATTATGTGAATTGAAGTGAATTCCTGAGGAGATTTTTAATGTAGATCTGCGTTGTATCGCCTATAGCTCGGGAGACTAACAATAAAGTCGTGTTTCAGACGCTGGGGAAACATTTTGCACAATGCTGTACGTCCGTTACCGTGGCACAACTGCGCACAACCTTGGTGACCTTGTTTTACGGTAATGGACAACAGACCTTTTACGGAGTACCAACCCTGACCTACCTATCTTGCTTCGAGGGAGGCTAGAATTGGGTATGCACACAGAAACCTTGGTCTTCATCACCCCCACAGCGCATTTTGTTCTGGCCCTGCAAAAATCCCCCTGCGGAAGGGTCGTTCGTCTGGTCACCCTCGACACAATATATATCGGCCGACTCCGCCCATGCCTACCGCTCTGATTCTCTCGATGGGTATATCAATCACGCATGCTTGGGTCCCAGCCTTTCAGTAGCTCCTTGAGGGTATTGACTCAGCTAGAATACTAATTTGTTCTCGGGACCGGGCCGTCAGACAGGTGGACTGCGGGAAGGGGCGTCTTGAGGTATTATCTCTCGAATTCCCCCGTGCCAATTGTCGTCGTTCGTACGGAGAGAAAGGTCAGGAAAGTACCTGCCAAGAGACGAGCCTGATATCCTCGCTCATACTACGTGCATAAAGGGGCCAGATATAAGAAGTCAGTGTCGAGTGATGAACAACACACGAATCAACTGCGTCAATGATGATATTGGTAGTTGGAAGTCCACAAGACGACACTGAAAATGGCATTTGACGCACCCATTAGCAGGGGTCAAAATTCCCGCCTCGACTGCTACAGCTGCTATGCACATAATGCAGACTTTGGCATTGAACACTCATTCTGAATGATGCAACACAAATCTGGACATTGAAATCGCTTATAGCGTCTCTTCAAGTTAGTCCATAGAGTATTCACCTTAATTCAAAGGCGTCTCCATCGCCCATGAAGCAGGAAAATTGTCTAGGAATAACTGTCACATCGACCAAGTCAGCAACGCACTACGTAGTGTGCCATCAGCCACAGCGCCAATGCGAAAGCAGAGACACGACTCACTTTCCAGATGTTCTCATAAACAGGCTGCCAGCCCAGTTTATTAGTTGCACAGTGTGGCACCGGAAGGCTATGGTTGACATAGCAAAGTGCAAGGGGTCAGCAACGGGGTTGAATCCTGGATGGAAAGAAAACTACTCATACTCACTGGTCTCAAAGAACAGTGAAGGCTACCGCAGCAATCAGGGTCTGTATGGCAGGTCGTTGAATTGGGGACTGCACTGTTGAATCTGTGCAGTGACAGACATACATGCTGCCAAAGCAGTAACGACGACGAGGAAGGAGAAATGCATGATTTATGCGAAGTGATACAAGCTTTGCAAAGGGAACTCTGAGCTACTTTGAGGTGGACAGTTTGCTTTTATATCTTGAAAATAGGGTTGTGGATAAAACTCGAAGGTTTTATTGGTTTGGCAGATTGGTCGCGCCTGGATAGCAGAACTTCACGGCAGATGGTGTTGGAGAAACCTAGTGGAGCCTCAAGGCCTCAGAATCAACGAACAACACAGAATTCGAACATGTGATTATTGAACTTAGGAGACGAATCCCAAGTGAAGTCGGAATTGCCTAAGCAAGGCTCTTTCGTGGCCACCACGAAGGCCTGGTTGTGGATAGAGACCCTGATAGTGCTGGCACATATATGAGAAGGCAAGTACAGGGTCCATACAAGATGTCTCGTTGTCGAAAGGATTCTAGAAAGCCGCGAACATCATCCTAAGCTAATACGGATCGGAACTGAGGGCCAGTTTAGTTCCACCTCGTCCAGGGGTTCGAGATAGCGATGGTGCACAGGCCCAAGATTGAGTAAGTTGGGTGGCTCGATCATGGAAAGAAATCGATGACATGTAGGCAAAAAAAAACGAGAACGTCCGGACTCCGGGAAATAGCCGACTCTCAGAGGAGCTGTTCTACGTTTGGTACAAAGCACAGCGATGCCTTCAATCGGAGGATCATGGTAACTTCCACAAAGTACTGTTGAAAGGTCATAATTGTAAAATTCAAACTTGGAGTACTAGTTATGAGAGCATGATGTAAGCGATTTACGAAATTCTCCAACACTTTGTGCGGTATCACGGGTGACGTCATTTACCTTGTGATAGTACTTCCTGACGGTCTTGCTATATGCTATGCAACTATATATTTTGGACCATTCAAGATGCTGCTAGTATCATCAGTACTGTACCGCTGACGATTCTCAAAGCTGGATAAGCAGAAACTGACATTTGAGCCATGACAGTGATCGTTACTTTCGCACAAAGGGACTGTCCCACGAGATGTGTGATGTACAATGAAACGGTAGGACTTGCAATGATTGATGGTTGTGTCAAACGAAGATCGCTCGCTCCAAGATCGTGAATGTCATCAATAAAGTAGGAAAAGAACATTTGGATATATCATACTGGTATCATGAGAAAAGTTTCAAGGATGCATTTCTGTAACAACCAACAGCACTAAGTCGTCTTCATCGCCCGCCAGAATGACGCGTACCTACACAAGATCAATAAATTCTTCGCAGCGAAATACGAAATCAAAAACGTACATATTGACACGGTCTAGTGGAACCTCCGGCCCCTTCCTGACTCCCAAAGCAGTGACGGTAAAACCTTTGCGCTCAAATCTGATACAGCACTACGTCAGCCTTTACAGGGCCCAGTATATTCTCAAAAAAACGCACACGTCGCAGTACCATGGTTTCCTAGCTGCAGAACGCCAGAGAATGAAACCACCAGGTGCAAGCACACGATAAAACTGGTCAACCTCATCATCGACGTCCTTGGATCCTGGCGAGAACCAGTCGAGGTGATCCATGATAACGGCTCGAGTGAGAGACCAAGGTGTCAATCCTCGTAGGACGCTGAAGAGTTTCATCACCAGTTATGCTTCATAGTGCAAACAGTGCTTACTTATATATCGAATCAGTGTGCAGTCTAAACGCATCGGTAGCTTTGCCGTTATTAGCTCTGAGAGCCTGGAATCCGGAGCGTGTCAGATATTCTGGGCAGGAGGACGGTGTGTAGTGCCCAAGAAGTGTCTGATAACATCCTGTAAGCGCAAGAAAAACTCAAAGATCCCCAGCTTACCAATGGGTAGAAGTAAGCGCCATCCTTGAAGGAATACGTCGATGGTAAAGGGTTTAGGGTATCTCTTACGAACTCATACATGGACCCTTCGTCCAGAACCATGCGGCGCTGGTTGAGGGGCACTCCCAGTGCGTTCCAGCAGAATATTGGGCTCTTGAGCAAGGCAATGACGACGGGGTTCAAGAGGGCGGGTCTTAGCTTCTCGCGCCAGATCTGCTCCTGCTGAGCTATACTGCCTGCATTGCACAAAGCTTCCACATCTTTCGATACTCCAGCGATTGAAAAGACGATTCTGGCGAGCCGCAGTGCCCAGCCGCTGTATCCTTTCAAATAGAAGGCTTTGAAGAAAGCATCGTCGTTGATGTGCCAAAATTGATAGGCGATGGAAGAGAGAAGGGGAGCGATCTTGGAGTCAAGGAGCGCACGGAATTTGGGATGATGTCCATTACCGAACATGGAAAAGAAGTCTGTGTACTCGAGGGCTTGTACGGCTGCCAGTTTCAACTCTAGTAAATGACCTTGACTATATGGCGAAAAGTCAGTCGAGCCGCATGATAGAAGGTAGTTGGTCATACCAAGGATTCATATCCACACAATGAATCTTCAAGATAGATATTAGAACACAAAGGATGATGCTTCATCGATCCACGTACTCTCTTGGGTTGCGCTGCTATAGCGTAATGCAAAGCATTGTCACCTGCTGATGTGATCACCAGCATCGAGTCTTCGGGACCAAGATCGAGATACTTCATATCCACCTCAGGATCCTCCTAACATAGTGTTCAGCGTCGGGGGGCAGGTAATATGAAGAGAAAACAACAGACCCATGTAAAAGAGTATATGAACGTTCTGAACGCTTGGTGTATTGCCTGCTCATAGTACGGAAGCCTCCAAGGCTAGTCTATGGTCAGTTTGATCGTAAATTTCATAACACAATGACTCACCTTTCCTAGATGATAGTGAAAGGAGCTCAAAGGTGGTGTCACAGTGATAAGTGCGTCTGCGTGAGAAGCCTGCGAATTCAGAACAGGTTCCCCAATCTCGAGTGGCGGAATAGTTTCTGAATCCTTAATAGTCGTAAAAGATGCCGGTGAAGAATTGCCAAGCATGTTGCCTCCTTCGACTTCAAAGGCATGACAGAAACGAGATACATCACACGAACGTGAGCGACCAAGCCAGATGTAGTAGGGACTATTAAACATTAGTAAGGACAATCGCAGATAAGAGTTCGATAATACTGACATGCGGACGATAAATGGGATAACGAAGCGATTTCTGCCGTTATAAGTCTTGACCTGAAAACATAATTGACATAATTGATGCTAGAACTATTTGATAAACGTACCGTGCCGAACTTGTATTCCAGGTAGTCTCGACGATGCGGTGACAATGAAACATGGTCAAAGTCAAACCAGATCTGCCAGAACCACCTACTAAGCCAACCGCATTCCTTGCTCGTGCCTCCAATGGCCTTCTCGTGCAATGATGGCTGTTTGCCAGAAGTGTAAAAGTCGACGACAGATAAAAGACCGTTCTCTGGGGAAAGAACGTAGTCGATACGATCTAAAAGGGTATAGAAGTTGGGTATCTAAATTTACATTGTAAGTCGGTTCTTCCAGGAGCTGCTTATCTCAAACTTACCATGGAGAGGGAATAACTGAGCGTTATGAAGTTTACGCTCCCTTTCGGGTCACTCCGTGCCCATTCTGGAAGAGCAAACTCGCTTGCATCTTGACACAGTACTGTGATGTTTGTCCATCCCCGCTTGGCAAATCGCTCCCTGGCAACCTGGAGAAGGGGTTCACAAAGATCGATGAGATAAATGGCGTCGAAGGAGGACACCGGAAGGTGCTTATCCATAAGCTCAATATTATGGCCTGATTGGCGTTCAGGAGAGAATAATGAAGCCAGCAAGTAGGTGCGTACCTGTTCCTCCGCCTATATCAACCCAGATCAATCTCTGTTTGGGGTTTTTGGCCTGCATAGTCCGGATATGGCTAGCTGAAAGGTTGAGCATGGTATTCCGGCCTCGTAGAAGACCACTTCGTGTTGCATCATAAACATCCGCCTGGCCTTTGTAAAACTGGGGATGCGATGGGTGATTTGTGACATTTATATAAAAACGATTTTACGGACATTATCCAATCTCGTTCGCTGGTCGCTTGCACGAAGAGGGCGGATAAAACAATGCCATATGAACTTGAGCTGCGGGCGAAGAGTGCTACCCAGGGCGAGGATAAATGCTGTTAACGAGCAACCTAATAAGATAAAGGCGGCGATGGTCGAAGATCCGGTCCAGTATGTGATTGCTTCTCTGACATATCTGGCACATCGTCAGCTCGATGTTTAGAATATATGCAAATCACTGACCTTCGTTCAATATAGATTACAAGGGCGCTACCGATCAATAGGAGAGCACGAGAGATCGTGGCCATTATCGTCACCAAAGATTCGATTCATCTTCTTATTCTCTCCTTTTAATGGCACGCGTGCTGAAGTATGTAGTACGAATGTGGGATTGTCAAGAAGATGAAATGGAAGGGTGAACCAATGAGGGTGTCTTGCTTGAAAATTGTACGCACGAGGGCTTTAGTTACGCAAGGCACGACGAGCGCGCGTGAGTCAACGAACGTGCATTTACGGTGGACGCGCGGAGATAACGGCCTCGGTGCCAGGATTCGCGGGAGATACGCCACCGAAGAGTCACTGAGCCAGCTCATGAACGTGAAACGATGCCTTGGCACAGTGAATGGAATGAACGTTGGGTGTAGAGCGAACGTTCAGCAATCGAACTCTTGTCGATCGCCCACTAGTCCGAACCTCTGACGAGATCGACCACAACAACTCGTAAGCACGTAAGCTGCACTGCTGCACAAGCATGTGAGGAAATACCCCGCTGGAAAAGCTATGTACGTACATGCAAAGTAGCAATACAAACTACTACTCGTATGAGTCCCTGTAACGAGCTTATTAGTACGATCATCCGGTTGAGTGGAGACCCAGGCAAATTTAAACATGTCTAAGACGGGTTTAAAAAACTGTATGATCACGAAAAGTGAGATAGACATTTAGCCAGTAAAATTCTTGTCCAGAAACGAGGCAGTATCGAATCAAGTTTGCTAAGTGCCGTGCAATCATGAAGCAGTAGCTTGAAATGCGGAGGCTACTGTGCGACGTATAGCGGATGCCGAATGCGAGGCAAAATTCGACCCAACAGCCAGAGTCCTCATGCCACTGGGCAGATCGAGTCTCATGAGAGTGACTGCATCTAGGCGCGGACGCTGAGTGTGGCTGCCCTCTCTCATCTGGAGAGAAAGACACGCACTGAAGGATGTCGTGATCCTCCTGGCCAAATGGCTTTACAAGTGGCTGATGCCAGAGACCCTGTGTTTCATAGCTGTGTAGCACCGTAGCTACTAGTCGGAGGCGCCGTGTTGTGTTTGGAGAACTAACGCTTGCGGTGTTTAAATTTCCCGGACTCATCCAGGGACAGGCAACCATCTGGAGCCGGCCGGTCTCCCAATGATCTATCTATGCCGAAACATGCGATTGCCAAACGGCAACAGGGCTGAACGTTAACGTTGATGCCTGCGCGCGCGATCACAGTGATAGAAATACGAGGAGTGACCAGTGGTGCTTTGGTGAACAGATGGAAAATATCACTTGAAGAGTGACGAAGCATAACATGCGGTCACTGCAAGGCAGTACTTGGTAACCTTATATATTCTCTACCCCACAGCCCCTTGCGCGCTAAAGTACTCTCCCGCTTTTTCTTCTTTTTCTTGTCCAAGTCCCAGCAATGCGAGACAATACTGCAGCCTCTCGCAAGTTCATCGATCTCATTCGTCAAGCCTCGTCCAAGTGGGCTAATTGGGACCCGCCAATTGAGATCAAGGTCAGTAGTTTAATGCTCTAGTGATTATCGTGCAGATTTTGTCTTATAGTCAAGGCTCGTAGGTGGGGGACTATGGGACGATCGAGCATGACAGTGGAGAGCTCGACGTGGAAGGGAATATCTACGATAAAACATTCCAAACCTCGCTGGACAATCAAGGCTTACAGCTCAACTTATCTGACGCATCATGTCAGCCACGGAAGGGTGGAATCGACGACAACATAATTATGTCCTCTTCGGGTGTCAAACAAGGGGATTTCTCGCTGAATCCAGAAGTGTGAGAGCGCACGCACTGCTTCCTTTATGTGCTACCATTCATCATGCACCAATCGATCAGCTCCTTTCTCAACCTGGCCTCTGCTGCTGTCAAGGCCGAATTTAAGTTTCAAGAAGGCAAGCGAGGCGCCGTCCTCGTAATGCACAAGCCCCAGCAGGTATATATTCCACCCGGCAAGGTGCTGTCTACTATCCACAAGGCAAACGAGCTGCAAGACAAGTATCTTGTCACCAGCACGTTCACGTGCCCAGGATATTATATCTATTTATCTAACAAGTGTGCGTCAACTTGCTTTGTGTTTCATTGGTAGCACTCCGTTGACTTATGGCCTGACGCAGCCGGAGAGAGGATAGCACTGGCGCTAACCGCTAGTGCACCGATTCCAGCTGCAGCAGGCATAACTGCTGGCGGAACAGTCTCTATGGATTGGTGGACTGATGCTCAAGCAGCATTCCTCCGAAAAGCGGTTGACAAGGCTGGACATTACCGCTACACGCCACTGTACAGCCTGAAGCACAAACAAAATCCTTTTTTGTTTTCGCGAATTTTCCGCGGGGAAGAAGGAGAGGAAACAGAAGACGATTTGTAAGTTACTGATTTCCACTTATGAGACTGAGATTGACATTCACCCAGGTGGCTTGACTGTACGCCACCGTGGCAGCCTCTTGATGAAGATGGAGACGAAGATCCAGTGTGGGAGGATGTACGCCAAGTTTTGCTCACTCCCTCTAATGCTTTGGCTCATGATTTATCAGATGGATGAAGAATTTGGTCCCAGATCTGCAGTAGAGGGCAGTCTTCCATTTGCCACATGATATGCCTGGTCTGTGTTTGTTGGTGTTTGTCCGTTGGATGATTGTTTTATTTCTGGATCTGCGCTGGCTGTATACATGTCTGTACATACGATATCTCTGTCATGTCACATCTATATACCATACATTGGCATGCAATACATACGAATGTTCTTACTATTCTCACTAACCAGAAATGCTTGACAACGATCATGGACTCCCGTGAAGCGGGCTGCCGCGGAGGGATTCGCTGGCAACTTGAAGTTCCGTCCAAATCATGGTGGAAATTAACGCGGAATCTGCTAACGGGACCGCCCTTTTATCGGAAGAAAATCAGTCAGGATGACGCCTATTCGAAATTGAATATTGAAGATCCACACAAGCGATGGATGTGTTACATAGTCCATCGATTTCATAAATGTCTGTTTAATCAGTTCAACATATTCGACCCGCTGGGGAAATGTACGATTAGCTAATGTAACCATTGATACATATTACATTAGCTAACCGTAAATTTCTCCGGATATCCCGACATAACGTTGTCGGACTTGGAAATAAGGACCGAATGGTACCTTATGTGGCACATCAGGGGATTTCTGGTAAACATGCTGTATTCCATATGTAACCCACAGCACAAGGTAAGTAGGTAGTACAGTACTTATCGATATCAACTGAAGCCGGACGCCAGCCATGATGAGGATTATAATATGAAAGAGAGCGCATAGGTAAGGGGCCATATCGACCGGAGTCACGCTAACGCTAAAACTAACGACGGACACACTTGCAGTCGTACATATAGACAAGCCAAGGGCCGATACGGAATACTAGTTATAATCAATCCCCGAAAACAAGTGAACCAAGAGGGAAAAGAAAAAAAGCAGTGCAGAAATGGAAATGAGAAAAAAAAGAAAGGGACCTATAGAGACAAAATACTCGGTCGAGCATGATAACACAATGAAAGAAGACTGGAGAGCGACAGGAAAAAGACGAAGCACGTAGAGAATACAACCTAGCAACCGAAAGAGTCTCATGCAGGGCTATTGGAACCGGCCTCCGGTGCCGCGCGGCCTTCCGAGGGTTTGTCAGGTAGCTCAGTTATACTAGCGGAAAGAGGTGGTGCGCTGGAGGAGCCAGATGATGAGGAAGAGTAGCCGGCGTACGTTGGTGCTGACCAGGTGTTGCTTGGCGGGTAGCTACTATAGGAAGGTTGTGAGGCTTGCGGCGGGTAGTACTGATAGTAGTTGTTTTGGGGAACCGAAGCAGGTGGATGGTGAGGAATTAAAGCCTGCTGCGTGTCAGCGTTGGCTGATGCGCCGCCGTACCCAGGGTATGGGTACGGCTGAGATGGAGCTGGAGGTGGCTGGTGAGGAGTTGTCGGGGACGGTGTGGGGTACGACGAACTCGAGTACACTGGAGGGTGGGTAGAAGAATGGGTGGTTGAATGAGAACTGGAGTGGGAGGTGGAATACCCTGGAACGCCGTAGTAAGAAGGGGTTGGGTACGCAGAATAGTGAGGCTGTGGAGGAAGACTGGAGACTGCTTGGTCAGGGTATGCAGGGGGTGGCGGAGCTTGTGATGCAGTAGGAGTCGATGGGGATGGCAGAGGGGGTGCGTGTTGGTCCGTCGGAGATGTGGACTCTGGCTGAGAACTCTTGGATTTACGTGAGCGTTTGCCACCGCCAGTAGCGTAAGGGGTGTAGCGCCCCCCTCGTTTCCCGTCGGTGATGCGACCGTCGGTAAGAAGAGGGAGCCCAGACGAGAGGGGAGCCGTAATCATGGAAGGGGTAGATTCAATATCATCTGCCTCTCCACGGTAACGAGGGACACCATCCACACCAATCTCCACTTTAGGAGGGTTACGAAAATGAGTTTTGTCGAGGTATTCTGGACTGATATCCAAAGATGCCAGCTCAGGAAGTGATGAAGGGGAGCGTAACCGCCCTTGCTCTACATCCTCGACCTTGTAGTAAGAGATGAGATGCTGTGATACACCACCGATTGTCAACGAAAAGGTCTGATATGAATGGAACCGTGAGAAAAGAGTATAGGAGGAGGAGGAGAAAGAGCAGACCTTCTTCATGAGGCCGTCGGATTTGAATTTGTAGCTATTAGTGAGACTGCCGACTAGAACACGTTCCCTATGTTTGTCGATGCCCAGGGAGCTGGACTCGCCTTTGGGACGACTCAGAGTTTGACCTTCGAGGCGAACGCCGTCAACGTTGTACTGAGAATGTTCGTTCATTTCGGCAGGGTCTGAACGAACGCCTCGATGACCTGCACCACGCTTGTCGGTTTCGCGATAAAGAAGAAAGTTTCCTAATATACGACTTGGACTCCAAAAGAAACCGTCGGTCCAGCGCTTAATACCGCTTTCGTCCTCGTCGAAGACAAAGACTGAGCCAGAGGTTATCATCTTGCGCTCTGAATCGACTAGACGCCTAGTTACTCTTGGTATTAAACCACGACGAGCGGCTTCGAGAATGAGTAAGGCATCGCCAGTAGTCTCTATCCAACCTGACCAAGGAGGCTCTGTCCAAGCTGAACTTGAAGAAGGTTGATTTGTAGGAGTAGGATTGGGAGTTGGAGAGATCTGCTGATTTGCAGACATTTGTTAATATTTGTGAAGTCTGTGGAAGGCATAATGGGAGTCAAAGTAAGAAGTTGATTCGAAGTTGATTGAACCAAAATCTTTAAAGTTCATACCTTGCTCGGAGATGTTCTTAGGTTTGCGGCGGGGTTGGTTGAGAGTGATCAGAAAGCCTATTTGGCCATTTCCCGCCACAACACCAAAAACGTATGGCTTTCGTATTCCTTTACAGTAAACGATTTAGATAGTCAAGTTTAAAAAACTTGTCCCTTTCAAAGATCATTTATACGATAGTTCATACTTAAAACAACTTTCAATTCTGATACAAGAGAAGTCGCCCGCTCAAAAATCAAAGTTTTTGCTCAGCTGACTCCAACCTTACCGCTTACTAAGCACTCCGCGAGCAATCAAACTCAAGCTTCAAGCTTTCGGCGATCGACTATGGTACTATTATTCATATCAGCTAATAGCTTACCCCTGTCTGCCGTAGCAGATTTAACCATACTAGCAGTAAAATGCAGTACAGACAGTTCAATGTCTATACCATCGTTCTGATTCGAACTTCTCTCCCCGGCATCATCGCGGTCATTCTTCCCGAATTTCATCTCCATTTGATGTGATCCCAAGGTACTTCATGCCCGTGTGTGTTTTCTACTCATTAAGTGCTTTCTAGCCCCACTCTACACGCATTCACAAGTCTTGTCATTCGTGAGTCCTTGACTATTCTTGGTACGATCCCTACCGTGCATCGCCCCGTGATCATGTGTCCATCTATATAATGCTCAGTCAATCACGCGGAGATAGTGGGTAGTACTCCGGTCTCATTCGTACCAACAGAATAAGGGCGATCTCCAGTCCGCTTGGCACAAAATACACATCAATCTCTCCTGAATTACAGATACAGGGACGCTTTGTATTAGCTTACACGTATCCACTGCACCTCTACACCATGCATTCGCAAATGGGAGCTGCGTGGCAATCAGTTTGAAGAGCCTCGTATTGATTTAATCATCCATTACTCCGTCACAGCGAGCATTTACTTCTTTCTTCTCTCAACTCATGGGTAACGTTCTTCTTTTCAGGGACTCGTAGCCCTGGTATCCACAGACCTACTCAGCTCAGCTTGAATGATGCGACCTGAATACTTGTCAAGTGCTGGCCCTGTGACGAAACCAAGTACCTTGGTGTCATTTTTCACCCTGACAGCTTCTCTCAACGTTCTCTAGAACGTAGGGAGGGAAAACCCCAAAGCACTTCTAGGATGTATAAATACAGCGTTTCGAGGATGTCTCGATCACAACCAGATGGCTGGTCTTACTACCTTCTCGTTGATATCCTCTCTCACGGCGGTACGAGCCTACGTTGTCTTTACTAGTACAGAGTCACTCATCTCTTCTCCACAGATCGCCTGTGCATATCGCTTCCCCTCACACCATCTCCACAGACGCGACACAACCTGGACTGCCCTTGGATGCTGGACGTGAGTATATCCTTCCACTATGGTGGTCATTTTATGACCAGAATCGTACAGCGATAATGTCGGCGGTACAAGGACGCTTTCCGCAGCCGCCTACACAGACACTGTAGATATGACCATCGAGTCATGCGTCAACTTTTGTTCGACTGGCTCCAATGCCTACATCTATGCAGGCGTCGAATATGCTCAGGAATGTTGTACGTACTATTTCACACTAATTTTTATGGCTCTTCATCACATCTTTCACACAGACTGTGGCAACTACTTTTCTAGTGGTGCCACCAATGCCAGTTCATCGGACTGTGACATGGCTTGTACTGGTAACGCTGCCGAATTCTGTGGTGCTGGCAACAGACTGGATATATTCTGGAGCGGGGCCCAACCTACCGCCCCACCCATCCTGGTCCCTAGCGTTGGCAACTGGTCGTTGCTCGGATGCTACAAGTACGTTCCTGTATGTCAAGAACGGGTCCTGAGCTAACTTGCATTGGTACCAGCGACTCAGCAACACGAGCATTACCATACGGGACTGGCGTAACCGGAAGCGTTACTGTTGAATCTTGTACCGCCGCGTGTTACGACGCTGGATACCCTTATGCCGGCATGGAATATGCTGATGAATGCTGTGCGCACGCATCTTCGCTCAAACGCTCCTTTTGCTGACAGGTTTTTACAGACTGTGGTTCAACCATTGAGAATAATTCTGGTCCCACCACAAACACGGACTGCGATATGACATGCTCGGGAAATTCGTCCGAGTATTGCGGGGGGCCGTACAGGCTCAGTATGTATAACCACACCCAGGCTATTACTATTGCCCCTGTCGTCAATCCCGCCGACCCCAGCACTGTTTCCCCTGTAACCTCTGGCTTAACTGGCAACTGGACGTATGGAGGATGTTACGTCGACAACGTAAATGGGCGCGTATTGGGGAACGAATATGACAACAGCACCATGACAGTGGAGAGTTGTATCGCGAACTGTGCCGGGCAAAACTTCACCATAGCAGCCATCGAGTACAGCACGCAATGTTGTAAGTAGTTTCTATCTTCTTCTTCACCTCTTCTTACTCTTGCTCAAGTCTGCGGTGATTATCTCATCAACGGCGCTACGATCAGTGCGGATAGTAACTGCAACATGGCCTGTGGTGGCAATGCGACGTGTGTGTCTTCTTTCATTGGTCTTTTTTATGTTCTTGACGTGAACTAGTGAGGCATGCGGTGGTCCAAACCTACTTTCTGTTTACTCCTCTAATGGAAATATAACAATACTTCCTGTTCCTGTGATGCAAACCACAAACTTGCCTGGAAAATGGGTATATGAAGGCTGTTTGGCGTTAGTGATTTCTTCATTGCTCATGTTTGCGAGTCCTGATGTTACCATGCAGAGAACCATCCATTGGCGCCCGGATATTCCAATATGAAAATGAATGGACCACGAACAATACCGTCGATGCGTGCTTGAACCAGTGTGCTGCCTTCGGGTATCCCGTAGCTGGTCTTGAATACGGAGCCCAGTGTTGTAAGCGCATCGACTCACTATACGTGCTTGCGGATCGCTGATAGAGACAAGTCTGCGGCGACATCAGTGATATTGCAGCAAATGGTGGGACGTATGTCTCGGATTCACAGTGCAACATGGCTTGCTCGGGGGACCCAATCCACCTATGTGGAGCAGGAAGCAGGTTGTCTACCTATTATTGGAATGGGACGATGAATACGTGGAATACCCCCGCGAATACTGGCTACTATGAGGTGTGTCCCATCTTGTCCTGAATGTACAAAATATTCATAATATATGTAGTTCCTCATAGGAGGTCTCGTTGTCCCTCTCATTGCCACTGTGGGCATCAACAACAAAGTCACTTTCCTCGAGAAGCATGGCACCTCGGAATTTGATAATTCCACTGGCGCGTATGAGTTGGATCTCAGTTTGGTGGACAATTACCAGCTGGCTTGGCGCGAGATGCACGTGCAGACGGACGTGTTTTGTTCTGGTAGTATCATCCTACCAGACAAGGGAGGAAGGTTTGACGTTTCACTTGGCATATAAGACTCACGCTTACAATGGAATCATCAGGCAAATCAATGTAGGTGGATGGTCGCTTTCGTCGACTTTTGGTGTGAGATTGTATACGCCGGATGGGAGTGCTGGTGTCAATGGTACCAATGATTGGGAAGAAAATGTTAATGAACTCACACTTCAGGTAAGCTCTGAACTATTGGTACTTGGCTCATTGTCCTTATGCGTGCTCAGCGTGGCCGATGGTATCCTACCGCGATGATGATGCCAAATGGAAGTATTTTGGTCGTTGGCGGAGAGTCGGGAAGTAATGCTTCCCCGCAGCCCAGCCTCGAAATACTTCCAGCGCCTCTTGGTGGTGATACGGTCGTCACATTGGACTATCTTCAGCGCACAGATCCATACAATCTCTATCCATTCCTACTGGTGCTGCCCAGTGGTCGATTCTTCATTGGTGCGTGACATGATGGACGAGATGCACTATTTCTTACAGAACGTAACAAGGTTACTACAACGAGGCTCGCATTCTTGATCCTGTCACCTTTGACACAGTGACCGTGCTGCCAAATATGCCGGGAGCCGTGAACAACTTCCTCGCCGGCCGGACGTACCCGATGGAAGGGTCTGCGGTACTTTTACCGCAGTACGCTCCATACACCGATCCGATCGAGGTTCTTATCTGCGGTGGCTCGACAATCGGAGCTGCTATTGCGCTGGACAACTGTATCTCAATTGCCCCCGAAGTACCAAATGCGACATGGACGCTGGAACGTATGGTAAGCCGATTTGAGTTTGGGAAAGTTAAAGTTTGATGCTGAGATGTGCGAACTTTAGCCTTCCAAACGGGTGATGCCTTGTATCACGACTCTGCCAGGTAAATAAATATGATGACGAATGACAGGAATCTGGTTTTAATAATACGTCAATCACAGATGGCACGTATCTGATCATGAACGGCGCTCATCAAGGTGTTGCTGGCTTTGGCCTTGCCACAGATCCTAATTTTAGCGCAATTCTATATGATCCTTCGCAGCCGATTGGCCAGCGTTTCTCTATCCTCAACAATACCATTGTAGCCCGCTTGTATCACTCCGAAGCAACCCTTCTGCCTGACGGGCGTGTTTTGGTGTCTGGTTCAGACCCACAGACGTACTATCCCAACGGGTCCTATGTGTACCCAGAGGAGATGCGCATTGAGGTTTATATTCCACCATACCTCAATCAAGGTCTCACGCAACCAGAGTTTACTATTACTGAGACTGACTGGGCGTTGGGCGGACAGTACAGTATTACGGTGACTTTGTTCCAGGGAACAACGAGTACCATGCGCGTCTCACTGGTGGCAGGTAAGCAAGGCTAGTGATTATGGATGTATCAGTTTCTGATTATGAAATATAGCTTCGTCTAGCACGCACGGAAACGTCATGAGCGGTGGGAGGATTCTATTCCCTGCGTTTTCGTGCTCTGGGAACACTTGTACCATCACGGCGCCCCCGAATGCGTATGTAAGTCCACCTGGATGGCACCAACTTTTCGTTTTGGACGGTCCGACGCCTTCGCACTCTGCTTGGGTCCGCATAGGAGGTGACCCTGCACAACTGGGCAACTGGCCTGATTACCCTGACTTTACTACACCAGGTGTTTAAACCAACTTCTTCGTTATACCCTTCTTTTTGAACAGTCTTTCTGTTTGGACTTGGTTCGATTATACCCTATTTATTCTCGAGTTAAACTCATTTCGCTCATTCCGTTTCGCTCGTTTTATAAATATTCCTTCATTTAAGTGGAACTGTCTATTATACCTGTCACTGGTAGTTGACCGGGAAGTAACAATTCCTTGTGGTATGAGATACAGTGATGATACAAAATTAGTTTCTCTGAAAATAATTACTGGTTCAGCTTCATCTATGTCTTGAGAAGGGCATCACCTACCAGCTACTAGTTGGTACAGCATCATCGGGAATGCGCGCCTAAGATTACGAGCATTCAGCGCTATGCATCGGTGGATGGGGACTAGGTTGTCTGCTCTTAACTATGAGAGGCGCTCTTTCAATGTCAGATGTGGTGTCATCGACGGGCTTTCTGCATGAGCAGCACTGGCAGCTGCAGAGGTGCTCTGTGCATGGATGTCCTGCCAGTGCAGAATGGCATTAAACGATGCTTGAGAAATCGCGGTGCTTACGTATGGACATGAAATCAAGACATATTCCAGTCATGACGTCGCAGCACGCAGTGAGTCCGAGCGCGCAACACGTCCCTAGAGCATCAGACATAGTGTGAGTAAGGTTCTAGCTACTAGCCGATCGCCGCTTGCTGATATATAGAAGGTTCTCAGGCATTATTTGGCTCTATTGCTCAAGGCCTTTGGAAATAAACACGATCAAACATCGTCAACAAGAGAAGGTGCGATTACTTTGTCAAGACCGAGTGTGACCACCGGTGCAGTCGGCAACATGGAGTCCACCACCCACTTCCGAACACAGAGAGCACGCGCAAACGGTGCCCACCATGACAACTCCGGAACAGGACGAAGAGCACACCATAAACACAAGCAATGGGTCGCGGACAATGCTACCAACAGAAATAGCACATCTCATGGAGGCGCAGATACCGAACGGTGGGAGCGTGGAGGGCATAGAGGAACTAGGGGTCGAGGAAGAGGCACCCGTGGCAAATTCCCTAATGCCACCCTGACTTTCCGTCAAGGAGGCGCTGGGTCAGCTGCTGCCAGCGAAGGGGATAATAGCGAAATGGAGGATGCCACTGATGTAGATGTAGATGAAGTGGAACACCAAGAACCAGATACTCTCGAGGAAAGGGAACGATTCTGGAAAGAGGTGCGTCATACGTCTCATTCGATGTATATTACCTTTACTCGAGTCTGTAGCTTGTGAAAGCGCGCGAGGTCGAGCGCAAGACAGCTATTGCAGAGGGCAAGATGGACGACCCCAATGTTGCAAAACGTCTGGAAGACGCTATCACAATGATCGGCACATGCATGGATATGTGCCCGACATTCGAACGCTACCGCCGTGAACGCGAAAACAACCTCTTTGAATGGGAAATTGTATGAGGACATTCAATTCGTAAGTGTGCTAGATGTACTCGCTGATTACTCGTTAGGTCCCAGGAACCAAACGCGTTGATCATAAGAGAGCTGTCAAAATGTATGAACGGGCAGCTGGTGACAAGACATTACCCTCCGATCTTCGTCCTCCAAAAGTTCTTGGAGTATGTTGCTCCAATATACTATTCTATGCATAATTTGATTCAATCTATTGCAGCGCACACTCGATTATCTTTTCCACGACTTGCTTCCCCGAGGCGGCTTTTCTGCAACCTTCAATTTCATTCGTGATCGTTCACGTGCTGTACGAAGTGACTTCACGATGCAGCATGAAATGGGTTCCATCGCAATTGAGTGCCATGATAGATGTGCACGGTTTCACATCCTTGGTCTTCATCTGGAGCGCGACCGACCCGGATCCCAAGTCAGTCTGGAGGAACAACAGCTGAAGTACAGTGCGTGGACTCGCCACTTGACGAACCTTCTTGATAATAATCGTACTCGCAGCTCTTCAAAGTCTGAAGGAGTTTTACGAAGAGCAGCGAGGAAAATATCAATCACCAACAGAGCTCGAAATGCGAGTCTATCATCGTCTAATCCATATTCGTGATCAAAAAGAGCGGCAGGAGGATATTCCTTCCTTTATCCTCGAGCATCCGGTGTTCAAGCTCACGACCAAATTCCGGTTACTCGTACAGGCGAAGAGCGCCCCCATTGGCAGAAGCTCTCCTCTTTCCGTCGATAACGAGGCGCTTGGGGTTTTCAATGAATTGATCATAGTCCTTCAGGGGGAAGGAAACTATGCCATGATATATCTGGTCGCATGCATCATAGAACACTTATTTGGCACCGACACCGTCGACGACATTGAAAGCCTGCGGGAAAATCTCACCCTTTCGGATATAATCGATGGCAGCTCTGCTGTTGTAGAGGAGCATCATGACGTTATTGTAGAAGAACCAGACGCTATGCACGAGGAAGAGGAGCCACCCTTCGAGGCTGACTTGGTGGATGCACCACAATCTTCCCCGAAGCCCCCGCAGCGAAGCGGAACCGAGTGGCTCAATGATACATTTGGTCCGAAACCCACTGAATCAGCATTCCTAAACCCTTCTTCTCAACCTGCATCACAATCACCAAAGTCTGCTTTTTCAAATCTGACATCCGTTCCCAATGTATTTGGGATGACGACATTCCAGGCATCAGCATTCGGCTCCACGAACGAGTTTGGTTTTGGCTCAGCTGCCGTCTCCACACCAGTATTTGGATCCTCTGCAACTCGGACCTCTATTTTTAACGAAGCACCCTCTTCGGGTTTGTGGGCAACCCGTTTCCGATTTCTTGTTTATTGATCACACCTTCAACTTAGGTCAACCTCCAGTTTTTAGTCAACCTCCAGTTTTTAGTCAATCTCCAATTTTTAGTCAACCTCCACTTGTCTTGTCTCCAACCTCAACATTGCCCAGCGAGAAGAAGGTTCAGGTTCCATTTACAGTGCCTCCGGCACCTCCTCCCTCTACCTCTAGTCAACCATTACCCGCTTTCCCAAAACTTTTTTCCATACCCGAGGTCAACAAGGCACAACCTCTCAACCCCCATGCACCAGTATTTGCACCAGTGCTTTCTCCAATTGTCACACAACCTACACCCTCGCATGAACTTCCAACTCCTCCCTCTCCCGTCACTTCACAACCAACTTTCGATGTTCGCCATAATTCTTTCGGTAGCTCAGATCAAACACCACCTTCTCAACCACCGCCTTTGAGTAGACAGCAGCCAATATCTTTACCGTCAACACCCACTGCGACGATGTATATCCCTTCGACCATCTCTGGCACATCCACTAAGTCCGTTTTCCAGTCTCTCAAAAAACTTCAACCTACTCTGCTTACTGCTTCCCCTACTGAAATTCTGAGCCCACTGGTACTTTCATCGCCCGGGACAAGATCTACACTTAGTTCTATGGCCAGCCTACACCGACGTGACTCTGTACAAACTCCCTTGCGTTCAGGAATAACCGCTGCCGATCTTGAGGCGGTTTCAAGTAAACTGGAAAGCCCACTCAACGGCAAAGCACCGGCTTTATCATCCACTAGCAACGTGGACCAAGAAACGCTCGAATCCAAAGCTTTAGCATTTGCCCGAAGGAACTTGGTAATCAAGGAGGCCTTCCAGGAATGGAGGGAAAGAACAGCTAATCGTACCAAGTGGAAAGAGGCTTGTCTCCGAAGTGAGGCCTATAGTCAGCGCGTACACACAGAGCGACTTTCGAAGAGTACTAGCTCGTTACCGCAAGAGAACAAGCGCAAAGTGGTTACACCAGAACGACCAAGCTCCATTAGGAAGCGGCTCAGACATCGCTTGTCCAGCGAATACCGGCCACCGCCCAGCGACGAAGAACTTCTCAAGCGGTTCGAAAAGGTCGGTACATCGTCCGTATCAAGTATACCACACCTTTTGAATGCATTGTTGTCTTAGAATCGTGAAGAAAACGAACGGCGTTGGGCTCGTGGATCTTTCTTCCATGTCCTGCAGCAACACCTGAAGGCCACGTCACGCACTATTCCAGAAAGCTGGTCCGCCTGGCTGTCCTTAAACCAGGATAATGATGGAACTGCCATTTGGCTTGAACTGAAATTCGATGTACCTGACTCTGGCAACTGGAAGGATGTCAATATATTCCAGATACCGGTGGTGCCGCAGCCACACAGCAACAAAGCATTATACCCGGGTATCATCATTTTCGAGCGAACTCCGGTTGGCGAGGTCGAGGACCCCCTGGAAAGGTTGGTTGTGATGAGTTGCTTACTACGAGTTGCTAACTTATGCATGGTAGAAAATATCGGATGCTGGATGATTGCTCACGTTTACGAGATATCATCGAGTCATTGCCCCCTGATCGGCATTTCATTCCTTCCCTCTTGACGATATCTTGGTCTGGCGAGGAGCCCGACTCTTCTTCTGATTTCAATGATATGGTATACCCAACGTTCTTCTGAAAATGAGTAACCACTGAACATTTTGAAGATTGCTGCAATTCTTCATGATGAAATCTCGTCTTCCCATGTTGACCTATCATTGACATCCACCGCCTCGGACCTTGACTCTAGGTTTCAGTCCGCCTTGCAGTCACTCAAAGTTGATACTGAAGGCAAACTCGTACGGTGGATGTTTGTACCAGGTATGTTGGAGTTTGCGACATACTTCTCAAAGTTTAGCATCTGATTTTGGGACAGACCTCTTCAGACTGTGGAAACCCATATGGCAGACATTTACCTTCCAGCGATTAGAGCAATGCATAGTCGATGGAGAATGTAGGCAAATATTGGTGCTGCTGAATGTCCAGTACTGACAATGATTACCAGTTGACTGGGGTTTCCTCGGGAGATTCTTAGAATTGTGTATCGATGTTCTCATCACCATCTCTAGAGCAGCACTTCAACTGATGGGTGGCAGTACTACCATCTTTGAAAATATTCTACCCAACCTGAAGCTACAACATGTTAGAGACTCGGAGTACGTCATGTTTCCATCCCGCGCCTTTCCCTTGCTTATTCCTTGACAGCTCAATGTTTGATGCGGTCTTGCAATGGCTAGACAATCCATCGTTGCAAGATCCCGGTAGACACCTCGCAGGTGATCTGAGATCGCACCAGGCCCTTGACCGAGGTATGCCAGTTCTACATGGATTGTGTGCGCAACTCAAACTTGTTTGCTGTAGAATTTCCCTCGAGGACTTTTGTTCAATATATATATGACGTCGTTCAGGAGCTGTCCACTCAACACTTGAGCCCCAAAGCTGCAAACCCCACCCTCATACGGAAGACTCGTCTCGATGCAGCGACATTGAAAATCTCAACTGAGCAGGGTTCTTACTCGGATGAACTCAATGCCCTTCGTTCTGCCAAGCTGCGACAGACGTATAAACGCACTGCATCAATCAATGCGTCATCCAGCCGGTCCGTCATTGATGATGAAATTGTTCTAACTTGACTGATTGCCATCCGTAGGTCTTCTACCCCTGCCAAGCGGAGGAGATTATCTGCCTCTGATGGATCTAGCGAGGGTGGAAGTCCTCCACTGAGCATCACTAGTCCTGCCTACACATCGCCCTCGTTCAGCACCACCACATCTTTACCTCCTGAGGACAAGTCTACAGTGGTTACATCCGCTATGCTTCGTGCTCTTACTAGGGATATACGGACCAAGTTTGGATAGGCTTCTTTCTTAATTGTCCTTCATGAATGATGTTATTGCATATCTCTGTATTGCTTATTATCACTCTATATGTTCTTTATACGTCTCTTCACATCAATCAGGATGCAGAAACTGAATTGGGAGGGTTCAAATAATGCTCATAGGGAACCTGATACAACATGTAATCCGTACAGAAACCTAAAATAGCGTACATCGTACGAAGGAAAATACAACGAAGTTCCTACAACATGAACAGTGGTGGTACAAACCAAGAACCAATTATGCATTTTAGCAATTGCAATATCAGAATTCTTCTGAAATTTACGAGAAGGCGAGCGCAGACCAAGTTGCAACTGCACCAACTGCCATGGCCGTGGCGGTGTGCGCGATGGATGTCATTATCCTCCTAGGCCGTTTGATATGCCTATAATCTTCGACTGGTAATTCAGGTTTCGTAGCCGCCGCTGGTTCTTCCACAACGATATCCATCTTGACTGGAGGAGCGACCTCGATTTCAATCTCAGAATGCTTGCGTTTAAGCGATTTGAAAGTCTGCAAGAGTATGAGAGCGATGAGGGAAGTGTAAGAAAGTACGTTACCTCTACTTCTGCAGCGATGACAGACAGCGCCTCCGTCCTAGCGACCTGAATTGTCTGAATCTTCTCTTCCACGCGTTTTTCAGTTTCTTCGCGCAAGGTCTTCATTTCTGCGGCATTTGATCAGACGAATGAAACAGTGACGAGGACACCACTACCAACCAATGACAAGGGCATTGAGAGCGTCGGCACAAGCCTTAACATCTGCCATGGGCGGCACGAAGGTGTCACAGCTTTCTGCGTCGGCCTTGGATTGTAACTCAGAGACTTGATCCTGTAGGTCTGACAAAGTGGATAGCTTGTCTTCTGCAGCCTCCAAGCGTGCAAAAAGTTGGTCAGATTCAGGCTCGAGCATGTCAACTTGGTGCTGAAGGTCATAAAGGTCGTCCTCTGACATGGCATGGCGATTCTTGATATCAGTAACACTGAGATGCAGCACATTGACTCGACCCTAGGTAGGCAAAGTTGAAATTTAAAGTGATAAAAATCCCAAAACATATACTTGCCTCGATAGTCTTTATGGCATCGCGCAAATCTCCATGGTCATCATGACTGGAAATCTGGGATTCATCCGACCGCACCTCAGTAATAGAGGGGAGAACAGGAATGGGTGCCAGGGTGGCCGGTTCAGCCTCCAGCGGCACAAACGGCTGGAAACTAGAAAGCGAGGGGAGCCGTTCTGGGAAGCTCTCAAAAGATCCCGAATCGAGGGACCCCATGTGCCCAAATGAGCACATCGATGGAAGTTTGACTCTGCTCGACTCATCCGACCGACGTAAACCGGGCTGCAGGGAGTCAGCCCGGGACGGTGGCCATGCACCGACTTCCGGCTCCTCGGGGGCCTGAGGGGGCGATGGAGATGGGGTGGAAAGCTCCATGGGAGAATGAGACCGTGAATCCTCAAGGTGGATAATGGACGAAGGCGCATCATCGTCATCAATGGACGCAATGGTTGCAATGGCCGGAGGGGACCAAGGATGGGGAGAATCTATGTCAAGTGGGTCCGCGATCTTATGGCAGATATCCTGCATCAACGACCCAAGCGATGGCATCTTCCCGAGTGATGAACCACCCAAAAAGTCTGCGTGGAAGTCTTGACGCAGGGATGAAACACAGGAACGAAGTTCTTCCCAAGACGGTATCTCTTCTATATCAGATTCATGCTCCGAATGTGAAGCAGCCTCGTTGGATGAGCCCGATGGAGATGAAAGGGACTCTGAAGAATGAGATGGGGAAGAAGGATATGAAATAGGACTGTTAAGGCCATAGCGCCCGGTGCTTAATTTTCGTGGGCGAGGACTTGAGGGCTCTACAAGGGTGAGACACCATGGGGGCAAATCGCGCATATCCAAAATATCGCGCAAAAATTCGATGCGAACTGTGACCGGTGAAACGAGGGTAGCGCCTTGCCCCACAGCTTTACCAAACGTCACGATGTCGCCATCAGTAAGGGAGGTCTCCACCTCAGGCTGCAACATCCTAGATGTTATTTCGCCTTGCTTGCGTACATGGGTCCCATGACGGGACTTGAGATCAACAATATACACCTGGGACAGGTTGTCAGGTGCAAGTCCGATGTGACAGAATCAGCATGTGCCTACGTGGCCGCTGGAGGCCAACACAAGTTTGGCGTGCTTTGCGCTGACTACGGGGCATGCAAATACAGCATTCTGATCGTCGTTCTCTTTCCTCATTGACCTATCATCTGAGATTGATTTGCGACCGATGTGAACATGGGAGGTGCGGGAGTTGAAGAAGGAAACATTATGAGCAGGCTTTCCACCACACGACTCAACGTGCAGAGTGATACCTTGGTGATAACATGTCTGGGAGGTTTTGTTCAAGCAAAAAACGACGGTGCTTACCTGTTACCGGTTGCTGTGGATCACAGGGGCAAGCAGCTGGCTGAGCAAAATTGGTGCCCAGATACTCGACTTCGTCGTCCATGATGACCGTCGATTACAGTGTACAGAAAAATCTAAAAAAATGGAGGAGAAGGGAACGGTCTGTGCGTTGGTGGCGGTAGGAATGAGAGCGAGTGGGGAGGGACTTGGTGCTGTCCTCAAGGCCGTGCTTTATCGCCTTGACGTTAATAATATCGGACCGAAAATTCCTTTTCGAGATACCTGTCCGGATTCCCACCGAGGGTCTTCCGAACGATGCACATACTATCACATTCGACGTATTTTAGGCTACTCTGCTGTGATACGAAATATGGAAACACGACAGCCTGAAGGGTAACAAGGAAGTGGAATATATCAATTATGTATGCGATCTACTCAGATGCGAAGAACTTGTCATGACGGTGTGTAGTGCGCGAAATAAGGGTGGCTGAGAGCACGTTTTGCTGAAGGTAGGTGAGACATCAGAAACATAAGCAGGCTCGCTGCACACATACCAGAAATCCGTTTGGCTGTGTCATATGTCAAAGTATGCTACGAAAAAACAATGTGAGTACCAGGCAAAGGTCAACAGGAAAAAAAAACGAGAATGCGGTAGTACGAATAAATCAACAAGACGACGTACCGCAAGCAGATCCAAACCTTGTTCATCAAGATTAGGTACGACACCCTTGAGCTCCTGCTTCGACCATCGAGGGAATGTATCCTTGTAATCAGGTAATTGAGTCACACCCGGCCAAGTCTCTTCGCTTGGAGTACCGAGGATCCTGGATCAAACAGTCAATTCAATTGTCAGTTATTCTGACCAGCCAATCCGATTGTGCATTACCTGAAGATCTTGAAGATCTGGTCAATCTCAGAGTCCCCGGGAAACAGAGGACTCCCACGCATAACCATCTCAGCAAAGATGCACCCAACAGACCACATGTCAATAGCTGTCGAGTAGTGCCGAGAACCAAGTAATACTTCAGGCGCGCGGTACCACAAAGTTACCACCTAGAATGACAGCGCAAACGTTCAGCTCACGACGTAAGAAGGAAACTTTAGGGGTGCTCATTACCTCGTGGGTATATGTCCTCATTGGAATGCCGAAAGCTCTCGCGAGGCCAAAATCTGCGAGTTTGAGATTGTTTTTCTTGTCGATAAGCAGATTTTGAGGCTTCAGGTCGCGATGTAAGATTCTATGCGAATGACAGTACAAAAGGCCCGCATTGAGCTGATGAGTGAATCGCTATAATGTGATAGGAACACGGTTAGTCAAATTGCCGAATCACGTGACGATCGCTTCGCGTCCCCGCCCTCGCATCACATCACTTAATATCCCCTATCACAATCAATGTGACGATGCCAATCTGAAAATGTGTATGGTGGTGGTAGGCCGAACGTACAAAAATAGCAAGGGCGGTGCCTCGCGCTAGCGAAAACGCTATGGGCGCAGCAGCTGTTTGACGCCTTTGCAGACTACGCGTCGAAGCGTGAAACACGCGTCGACCACGCGTCAGGAATTATAAATGATGGGCAGGGGACCAATAAGAAGCCATTTGAAATGCAAGCTGACTCACTTTGACTATGCCGATGGAAATGGGCGTACCAGATGTGTTGGCGTTCTCCATATAGCGCTTCAAGTCAACATCCAAGAATTCAAAGACGAGATAAAGCTTCTGTTCAGCGTGCACGATATCAAGCAATCTAACACAGACAATGAGCCATGAGGAGCGGTTGACATAATTTAAGACGTTATACCTAACGATATTGTCATCCTTGAGTTCCTTTAGTAGACTGATTTCTCGGATGGCAGTGCTCGGGACGCCTTCGTCTTCTGCTTCCAGTCGAATTTTCTTAAGGGCTACAATCTGATTCGTTGTAACGTCCCGCGCTTTATAAACAACCCCATATGTGCCTGAATGCGCGTCAGCGATAAACAATGAAAGTGAGCGGAGTGCAACTGCACCTTCTCCTACAACGTGTGCCACACCAGTTCATTGTAGTCTGATGCGAACACATGACAGGCACGCACCAACTTTCTCTATTTTTGCATAGCTACAATTCAGCAAAATCAATTGATTTTGTCAACCATTGAGTGAGAAACGAGATGCGCACCGATCCATGTGTCAAAAGAGCGCACAAGCTGTAAAATGCCGGTTAACTGGAAAAAGCGAATATCGGTATCAATGGAAAGACTATCGCGTGGATGAGAGGGAAATGGTGTCTACAGGTCAATCTAGATGAAACCTGACGGGTGATACGGAAAACAAGTAAAGGCGAGCTCGCCGACTCGTCGTTGCACGAGCTGATAATTTGAAGTTGGCGAGATTCGAAATGCTCGGCGGTCGTAACTAGCCCTTGGAGAGAGGCGTGACAATGGAATGAAGTGGAGATACGTGCCAGGGATATTCACTTGGCCGGTCAAGGTCATATAAAGAGCCCTTCGGCAAAATGCGACCACCGCCACTGCTGTCACTCTCACCGCAAAACACAACCGTCTTATTTCCTGCTTGACAATATTAATGTAAGTACTACATATTCCATCAACCTGGGTCCTCAGGCCTCAGGGTTTAATTCTAAATTCCACTATCTTTCGTACTTGCTATGAAGCCACTTTTCCATCACTTCACTGCACATCGGCAGAGACGGTATGTTCCAAAGGAATACCGTCGGACCGGAGCTCTCGAGTGGCTGGAATAATATCAGCAAGCATTCATGGTCACTGCCACTTGGTTGTCAAGGCTTAACAATAGAGTCACCTTCCCATGAACTCAGATTTTGCCTGTGACACCATCGTCATCGCTTCACTGCAGCGCTATAAAGTTCATGGTGAGCGCAGGGTAACATTCAATTTATCAATGCTCTTGCCACGCGTACTCCATTCACCAGCGGAATCACTCGTCGGAGAAGCGACACAACAAGGAAGAGGTGTTTCAGTTATAAACGAGAGCAATGAAGATGCGGCAATGTGACAATTGTCACAATATCATCATGCCGAATAATTCATGCAATCGAAGTTGGTGAGCCATCATGTTATCACACGAATCTTTCATCTTGCCTGTTGTAATGTTGACACGTTTATTTGATAATGCTTATCAGTGCTGTGCACGAAATTGACAGTACTTAGTAATGTAAATATTACGGAGTTCTCCTTCTACTTACCAATGGTAGGGTACATCATGTCAAGGAACGTGTATCCAATGACGAATTTCATCCCGGGTTCGGCCAATTTATGTTCTCACTATGTCCTCGCATACGCGTGACGTCGATGTATTGCCCAGGATATGGTTCTTCACCTAGTAAAAATGTTTCAGAAGTCGAACGAAAGGACTGGCAAGTCACTCACTCCGATCGATCAGGTTGACTTCCAGCTCTTCGTCATCATCGACATCCTCCTCGTCCGACGCCCAGCGGTCCTCTGCGGCTGCCTTGGGATTTGCCGCACGATCAACGGCAAGATCTTTCATCAGGCGATTTACTGAGTCCTCTTTTATATCCTGCAGTGATTTTTCCCGTGCCGCGCGGGCGCGTTCAAGTTCTGGGAGATAATCACTGTAGACATGGAAAAAATAAGGAGAACATGTAATAACAATGAAGATAAAACGTACGTCCTATATGTTTCACGAGACTCCTCCACCGCATCGAAAAATTCCTTAATACCGGCACCTGTTGTACTTGAGACGCCCACAGCCTGTAATAGTCAGCTATGGCTTCTACAGCAATACGGGACACAACTACCTTTAAATGTTTGTAGAACTCATCCAAAACGAGACTCATGCTGTTCATCAAGCTGTTCATATAAGTCGGTTCACCTTCGGAGTCCCTCGATCCTGAATGGGACGCAAGAGCGACTTGAAATGCCTCAAAATCTTGCATCCATTCGATAGCAAAATCGTGAGGTTGTGCGTCCGTCTTGTTAAAGACCAGGATGAATGGTAATTTTGTCTTGTACATAATACTAATGAAGCGTCATGGATCAGTAAGCCGCTAGACCACGCAGTACTCACCTGCAGGCATACAGCATGTTGGACATGAATGTCGCTGGAGCTGTCGTCCGTGGGGTGTCGATGATATACGCCACTACAGTGGGAAACGAGGAAGCAACGGCATCCGTGATGATAGCACCAGATGCTGACCAAGTAAAAATCTCAATTTGCCCCGGAGTGTCAAGAATTATGTAACTACGTGGGCGCACGTAAGAGCGAATACAAAATAAAAATGACAAGCACGTACTCGACTGTCTCAGCCCTTTTCTCGACCAACTCCAGAACCTGGTCAAATTTCGTCGTAAAAAGATTCAAGGCAGTCAAAATGCCACCGTTCGGTCCTAGGTTATACCTTTGATCAATTTAGTTATCCGTGCACTCCCGTTCAAATGGAGACGGCACGCACTGTTTCATGACTTCTTTGTAGTTTACAGTATCCCGGATATCAATGTTGGCCTCGAATGGCACATGAGTAACCGCTGGGTCAAGGTTTAGGATGTATGGCGGTTGTGGAGGATTTTGCGAGTGGAGGTAGGAAGTAATGCGCTGCACGAAGGTGGACTTGCCAGCCCCCGCCATCCCGATCGTGATGATGACATGTGGTTTTGTTTTCGAGCTCGTGCCCGGTTGAGCGTTCAGAGACGCGCTCATGGTAGTAAAAGGGAAGTCTTCCCTGGGCAGACCAAATCGAATTAATTGTAGAATGGCATATGCTGAGTAATTAGTATAGCTATCTTGATTCTTGACGCGGCGTGACACGCATGTGACGCGGCATTGACGAGCCTTAGATTGACGCGGCCACTGGCGCGCCCGGATCGGTTACACTGGAGAGATCGTCGTCATCCGCAAGCCGACTTGGGTAATACCAACCGTCGCGGTGTTATCAACCATACACCAAGTAGCACCCATCTTCAGGCAATAGGTCTGCGAAGAAGTCTGTCGCTGAAGCTGTACCTGAAAGAGAGCACAGTGAGGCCAAGGCGCAGAAGGGCCCAGGAAATCGAACCAGGAGGCGAGAGGTGACAAGGATGCTGATATAGTAGTGGTCGATGCGAGTGTATTGGTACACGCCCTCCACCAGGTGAAGAAATGGTGCAGAGATGGACGTGAGAAATCGTTATTGTACCCCTTGAAGGTCAGTCGGGACGCTAGAAGTGTTTTGTCGTCTGACGTGAGGTGGCTTAGCCTTGAATACTCTTATCAGATTTACTCAAGAAGGGAACAAGTCCTCTCGCCCAGCGCGCGGTCAGCTTCGCGAATTTTAGAGACTCAAGTTGGCACAAATGTATCACTGTCCAGCGGGATGATACCTTCGTTCCGTGGGACCGCATCGAGTTCAAGGACATGTCACCTGATGATGCTAAGGACAAAGCTACGTTACAGTCACTACACCTCTCTGGTGCTCCAGAGTGGATTCGGCGCATGATGATCACGTCGCTGAAACTTGTGCTTCAACGAGCGACAAACTCATAGTCGTTCTTGCTATCCTTTTCCCTTCTGCTGTTCCAGCTCAGGTCTGTCGAACCGAGGCAATGCCCGAAGTATCATCTCCGGTACCCCTTCCAGCTCCGAGTCTATACACTCACAAGTACGAGCCTCGTTCAGCTGGCCTGTTGATTGGATACTAGGCTACCCGGGCTGGTATCACTCTCTTAGAAGTGGAACCTTCCGCAGCGCCACTCGTTCCACCTTCATCAAACCACCCTCGTAATCTTGACGGTGACGATAGAGGAAAACGAGGTCGAGGCGGACGTAATTCCCATACTGCTCAGGGGGGTCTTCCTGTCGCTCGAGGCACCGGGCTAGTGGAGCGCCCTGCTGCCGTTATGCAAATGATGGAAGTGATCTCTCAGCCTAGCAAGGTCGTCCGCGTTCTTGCTCGAGGCGAGAAACTAGAACCAGACCCATAATCCTGATTATGTGGTATCCTTGAGTACAAGGTGTGTTCAGTTTAACTCGTGGATGTTGACTACCGACCAATACAACCGAGATATGACTGTTCCTCGGTTCCAAGGCTGTTCCAGCTCGGTCTCGAATAACGACGTCATGGAAAGTATTGGAAGCCTCACAGATCACGCATACTCGCTCTGCCTCTCATTCCTCAGAGCATGGATTCTGCAGGAAATATCTCCAGGCATCTTTGTGTGGTCTCTTTGCTTCGAGTGTGCGGTCCTTATGAGGGTCTAACCACAGCAGTTACGGAACTAGTGTTCATGATAACTTTTGACTGATTCCTATCATCCTACAAACACTTTGTTTCACTGTCTGCGGACTGTCCGATGTGCCCCTATGTATGTTGTCCTTATGGTCCCATTTCTTGAAATTCTTCCAACCCTACTGGAGCTCACCGGTCACCGTCCATCGGTCAATTGTAGTTGTTTATTCCTAAAGCCTTTGCCAAACATAGTCAACCGTGGATGGGAAAGTCGCACAGACCACATCCATGATTAATGCATGATTAGCCAACAAACATAGTTGTTATACGCTTTTATTTATCACCGGAGTCGCCTCGTGTCGGTCCTGCGTTCGTTCGCCTATGTAAGTGGGAGCATCACTAACACTCATCACGGCTTGGTTCACCACCGCGTTCAAATCGTTCTCGTACGACGCCAATATTTAATTCTTGCGCTTATCACATTGAAAACCGGCCCAGGGTGCGTCCAGTAACCGGATCATTATTTCAGTGAGAGAGGCTCCGCGTTCTATATATATCATAAGCAAGCCCATTAACTTTTTTTGCTACCGTGACTATGTAGTAATCACCACATCTTTATCTGAAACTAGTATCAACTGAAAGGCGACTCTCATGCGATGATACCCAAGGCTTTTGAGACAGTCTCCTCTGCACACTTGTCTGTAGAGACTACCATCAACATATAGTATCCGCCAGCAAGTGATGTCATAAGACTAAGTCTTGATATCCTTACTTTTTCGCGCTGCTCATATTTCCTGGAACATCTTGGCCTCCATCGATGCCGTTGATAATAGAAATATGGTTCTTGGCCAAGCTCTTCCCCTGCTATATATCCTGACCGCGGTTTGTCCGTGACTGGGTGCTACATTCGGTGATGAAGATCCTGACCGGCGATTCGTGCGGCTATCTCGGACTGGTCTTTGCCTTTGCGAGGAATCCAAACTGGCGCCCCCGTTTATTTGAGGCTCGCCATATCGATCGATGCAGTAGCATGATTTCAAAGTACTGTAACACGTTCACGCCGCATGCATTTTACTTGGCTGGTATCTTCCTCCGAATCACACCTGAACACTCGATGGTTACATTCTTCGATTCAGCTGTGGTGGGACGTAAAACCGCGCAAAGGGACCTCGATTACGATAGAACATAAATTAGGCCAAACGCCACAAAGAGTCAACGACAGTGGAATAAATCACTCTTGGCGAGGGATTCGGGTATCATGGTTACAGGTAAATGTTGATCGGTGAGCAACCAATGTTGATGAGGCCGTACTAGACACAAATTTTGTCGGTCAGGGTGCATACTAATGCGGGAGCAGCAAACCACTCACGTATGTGTTGCCACTGCAGCAGACGGGCTCCTGGTTACACTCCGCGCCGCTACCAGTACCAATGACGCTGATGGGACTGCAACCCATTGCAACGTTGCCCTCGACAGGGTCAAGGGCAATGTTCAGTACGCTTAGGATCCTGCTCAACTCATGGCTGTTGGACTGATCAGGAGTCAGACATGACTAGGACTAGGTTACAAAGGAACTGCGCACCTTATATGTGGTATCACAGCAGGAGACGGTGCCGGTGTCGCACTGCGCACCCGTACTGCTACAAGTGCTGTTGTCACGAGCAGATAGGGTGGGTACAGCGCTGGTTCCTACGACGAATGCGAGAAGAGAGACGAGGGGGAGAGAAAGAGTGAACATTTTAAATTTGTGGGGGTGGGTTGGGACAAATGAGTGACGAAGTAAATGATAAAAAAAAAGATTATTACCGCGGTTACCTTTATACTGTCGGCCGTCACTGCAGAGTGTACGTCAAGGAGGTAAACTTCTTGAATTTGGCGAAGTAAAGGCCTAGATTAGCCTGTACAAGCTTAAGTACGTACGATGCTTGAGCTTGAAGCTTCTTCATTGTTTGATTGACGAGCCTCGCTTGACAATTTCCTAACGTATACCGATTCATGCATTTATGAATTTGGAATTGTCAGACGTACTTCCAAGCATGGAAGGTTTCGACAAACTACAAACCCAACAAGTGTCTGATCAGTGCAATGCTCGCTCTAACCGAATGATGTGCCTGGAGGCATGTCCGTTATTTACCTCGGCCATGGCTAGGCTTGCTTGAGTCCATGTGATACCAAGCGGCGGCCCCACACCACATGTCAAGCGTCGTGTACCACGGTCAGGAAACGTCAAGAACGGATGCTGGTGCATCGAAATCAGTATGGAATTAAAATATGCGATGGAGGTCGCAGAAAACTAAGTATGTAGCTCATATAAATGAAGTGTGTGTCTGCTCAATGTCATTCATCTCGACTATGATCCGTTCGAAGAGGGCTCAGAGAGTTCCTCGATCTTGCCTTCCTCGAGTGTGCTAGACGCGAGGGGTTTATGCGCCTCCGCGGCTCTGGTTTGATCGATAAGATCCTGGCGCGAGGAATACCCAGGTGGAGCCCATTCGCGGGAAGTCCAAGGTTTGCAATTAGGGTCAGTATACATCTGATATCAAAGTTTAGATCGATAAACCAGCAAAGAAAAGACACCTACCATGTTAACACTTTCTAGTGAGAGATTAGATGATTCGTAAAGGAAGAAATAGACGACAACGGCTCCCAACAAATTGCATGCTAGATAATAAGAATTTTCAGTTGCGTATTGCACTGCTAATGGAAGGCGCCATACCCGCAAAGACAAAACCGTAGCGGTAGCTTATGGCACTACTGATGAAGGGCGTAAAGAACGCCAATAGGAAATTCCAAATCCAGTTTGCCGCGGTCGACAGACTGCCTTGTTTGGCACGGGTCCGTGTAGGGAACGTTTCTCCAATGAGAATCCAGACACCACTGTCGAACGTCAGTCGATCACAAAATCCCAGTATGCAGATTCTTACGGAGCCCAGGTCATCGCATAACCCCAGATAAACATGCAGGCCGACACGATCATCACTTAAGATGTTAAGTCAGCGACACGATACCCGGATAGAATGACATCTCACATTTCCCAACGCCAGGATGAGTCGTAGGATCCACAGCAGTTCCAGCAGCGGCGAACACGAAAAGCCATGCGGATTGCCAGATTCCTCCAATGATCAGAGGTCTGCGACGCCCAAACTACATGCGCTGTGAGAAACGGTGCTCTCCACTTATAAACGAACTAGGTCGCTTACCCTTTCGAGGACATACATTCCACCGAACGTACAGACAAAGTTGACAGTGCCAAGGATGATCTGAGTCACAAACGAGTCACTGAGACCTACTGCTTTGAACACAGTTGCACCATAGTAAAAGAAGTAATTGGCCCCAGTGAGCTGTTGAAGGCTCTGCAGACTCATTCCAAGAAGAGTACGGTAGAGAGTCTTGTTTTGTGGCTTAAAGCAGTCAATCCACCCGCCACGAATCTGCTTTTCGTATTCGACAGAGGCCTTGATTTCCTCGACCTCGCGAGTGATGATGTAGTGGCTCTTCGCCTCTTCCTTTGGAATACCGCGAGAACGCGCGAGAGAAAACTGAGCGTCCTCCATTCTGTCATGCGCGGCAAGCCATCTAAAGGGATGATTAGACAAACGAAGGAAACCAGATCGATTACCAATACCGACCTAGGGCTCTCTGGCATGAAGAGGATGCCGATACCGAGAATCAGTGCCCACAGGATGCCGATACCAACAACGATGCGCCATGAAGCAGAGCCGGACATGTTCCGAGTTCCAATCGAGATACAGTCTGTACAGGAAATTAACAGCTGACAAGGAACTTCATATTGTGATCTTACAAGCAACCAAGATACCGAACGTGATGAACAGTTGATAAGTTGCACTAAAGGAATGTCAGCGCCGTGTATGCCACTGAAGAGGTGTGTGGATATCATACGTCAAAGTACCACGGATCTGAGATGGAGCTGTCTCGGCTTGATACTAAGGAAATCAGAACGCGAGTAAAAAAGAATGGTCGCAGAATAATCACCATCGGGACGGCAGCACTAAGTGCCCCAACACCCAAGCCACTAACAAGCCGACCGACAGCAAATTGCTGCCAGACGTAGTTCGAAGTTATCTGAATGATGACTCCGATAGTGAACACCACACACTCCACGGACATGGCATAACGACGTCCTAGAAAGTCAGCAATGCTAAAAGAGACTTTGGTGAAATGCGGAGACAGATAGTATCGCGTGTTGCTCACGGTGCACCCAGAAGCGCGCCGACGAGGGTTCCGATGGAGAGAAGGGATACGATGAGACCTTCCCGTACAGTGGAAAATGAACAAGTCGATACATCTCCAGGTGTGGAGCAGGTGGCAAAGCGAAGAAGAAAATCATCCATCAACAGGATATCTGATATCTGACCAGTGTCATACTAACATCCATAGGTTAGCACAGATGATTAGGGTAATCGTGCAACCTACTCCGAAGATGAAACCACCCATTGACGCCAAGAGTGCCAGCATGATGGCCACCCATCCTATGGGCAGTCCGTGACTGTAAAACAGGGGGAATTAACACAATTATGATCCTAGTCGTTTTGTGGTACAGCGAGAGCTCACAAATAGAACGCCATAATGTATGATTAGCCCACTGTGCAAGTGTGCGTAGTTGTGAAGAGACGAGATGCTTACGCGAAGTATTTTTATGGAGACTAGTACTGGGGCCTAGGCGAAGTCCCGGGCCCGGATCTGAATCTATTTTAGGTGTAGTTGCGCCCACAACGGGATACAACTACGTCATCCCGAACGAGTCGCAGAGGAACTTGACCTCGTGTTCAATTCAATTCGTCCAGTGATTCGCCTGGGAACTCGGACGTGCTCAAGCTGATTAGACATCTGCTTGAGGTGTAGCAGTATGCGAGGCCCGGATCAAACATTACACAGCCGTTAATGTCATCTTAGTTACGTTCATTCGTGCTTGAAAATTCAACTTGCAAAGCAGTGGCGCATAGAGGAAGAGCCGCTTTGAAATGCGGTTATCAAACGGTCTGTAAATTTTCGATTCAGAGGATGCCCCACGTTTCGCAAGATAGCATTAATGCCTCGACAAGGCTGGACCCGGAGCATCATGTTTGCCACAGTTGATGATACGAAAGGAGGATTTAGGAAGTGCAACAGACAGGTCTGACGAACCTGGTGATCCGTAATAGCTAAAAGTTGTATGATGGCGGCCGGGGCCAAAACATCGGATATCCACGGCCACATTTATGTTGGCCGGACCCTGCGACAACTCGGACTCGACGGAGCACTATCGATATGAAACTTTTGTTCAAGGAAGATGGTACACATGTAGCAGAAGCGCCCATAAGTTCTCAGCTTCCTGTAGAACCGTAACAGTTCGTCGAAGAGTTCTTGTCGAGCCTGTAAAAGAAGCAAGTGAAACGCGCTCGGTCACAGTCACGCTTGCATCATGTCACACGTCGCGTTTCCGGTCACGCTCATCTCATAACCAGAACCAAAATGGCACGCGCAGGACCAAGCAGAACACAGAGGTCACAAAGGGCCACACAGCCCTCCCAGTCTCAGTCGCAACGTCCTGCTCGAGGTAGCAGAAGAGCGCCTGTTGAAGAGGACGAGGACGAAGATGCGGAAGATGATGATGATCAAGACATGGACATCAACGGAAGCCAAGCAAGGCTCAATGATGCAGACGCAGTAAGTGGCTCGCATCTCCGGTAGTGATTTCCCGGTATTGGAGAACGCTCGTTGATTCGCTTCTCAGGAACTTGACAGAAAAGCGAGTGATCTCGTAAGATTCGCTCTTTTTATGGAACAGAGGCGGACTCTTATACGCCGAGAGGATATTAACAAGAAGGGTACGCCGAACTTGCAGAGTTCATCCACTTGAATGCTGAAAAGAAACATCAGTGCTGGCCTCTAACTCGCGTTCATTCAATTCTGTGTTTGAAAGAGCGCAGAAGCTCCTAAAGAAAACTTTTGCGATGGAACTCGTAGAACTTCAGTCTCGAAACTATCGGGAGCAAGATAATGTCGTAGCTGGTGACGACCTTCAAGAGGCACGCAATGCTACCGGAGTAAAAAAGAAAAGTAAGTTGCAGCCATGTCTCCTATGTCTCCTAATGGCCATGACAATTTCTCTCTCTCTCCATAGCTGCGGCTGCAGGATCAAAGACATATATTCTCCGTTCTGTTCTTGATCCTGTCATTATAGAGGAGGCAGCACGGACGGATGAACGGCTGTATGAAGAACAGATTGCTGACAGTCAAGAAAATGGCGATGACGACGACGACATGCCAAGAAGCTACGGATGCATAATCTCTTGGAGCACTACAGATCAGGTCGGCGCCTTGGGTGTCTTGCATGTCATTCTAGCAATAATTCTCGCCAGCGGACGATCCATGACCGACTGTGCGTGCCATAGCTCATCTTGTAATTCATCAAACTAAATCGCGCAATATGCGCTCAGTGGATTTACGTGCCCACTTGAAACGCCTCGGCCTCGCATCGAACGAGTCTATATCCATGAACACCCAGTCTACGCACAAGTCTCTTCCTATAGACACATATCTTGGGCAGCTGATGAAGCAAGGATACCTAGACCGTATCAAGCTGGGCGACACGAAAGCGGCTGGCGGCAAACGGAGTCGCGCTCCTGCAGCGACTCAAACCAATCCAGATGAAACTCAAGCATTTGAATGGCATTGGGGCCATCGCTCATATAGCGAGATCGGAGAACAGGCTATTGCTACATTCATCGCTGAATTTATGGTGGAACGCAGTCGTGATGATGATGCCGAGGATGATGATGAGGATGGTAAAACTGCGCGGAGCAGGGGAAAGGGAAGAGCCAGGGCTGAGGATGGTGGTAGAGACAAGAAGCTGAAGAACGTGTACGGTGCAATTGAAAGGGCAGCCGGGGGTAACTTGTCGGATGTTAAATGAGATGCTTCCTCTTAGCGTCCTTGATATATTCATTCTGTCTTTTGATGTTATCCCACCCTGCTGAATACTTTAATATATGCCGTACTATGCTGTATACTACTAATTGTCCCCTATATTCCACTGATTGTAAATCGAACTAGCAGCGTTGCCCCAGTGCGTCTGCCATCCATCGATAACAGGTGAATGAACCTCCAGCCTTCCTCAAGGTCGTGGAAACGAGCACAGAAAACCAATATTTCCTCATCCCTTAAGAGTCCTCTATGGCAAAGGATACGTAGGCTGTACAACATCAGCTTGCCGGTTGACATTACTTTATCATCGTTCGCTCACCGGACAAACGTCAAGTCATCCTCCTCAAATTTCCACTCAAAACAGCCATTCCACGTGACGTCTACGCCATCCTCTGGAACATCTTTGCACTTAATATGTTCGGATTGCCAATCTTGGTTCTTCGAAGAATTAAAAAGCTCTGCGTGAACATATGGTGTGAATTCTGTGTGTTCTTTCGGACGAGGCACTACAGGGAAACAATTGTCAAAAAGTTGAGGTTCACCGAAATGACTTACAGGAACTGATTCCGATAACGTTGCATGTCAACTTCACATTGCGCTCGGCTCCTGTCAAACGGCTTGGCTTCTCGACCCAGCCAGGAGTCCCGGCAAACATGGCTTCATTAAGCTGCATACCATAGTCGAAGTTCTGCCAATTGAGACACACAATCTGGGAGCCGTTGCGCCATTGCTTCAACGGGTCAAGATTACTCGAGCTCAAACGTACACCACGAGGGTAGATACGTCGAATTCGATGCAGAGAATGTTCGATCAACTCCGACAGTGAGTGCGGGAGCATAGCTAGTATGCTCGATTCGTTGATGTTCATCAGGATATTTTGGGGATATGGGGGACTTGGTAACTCTAGAGGAAGATATATAAACACGAATGAAGCGGCTGGTGAGCACTTGCCTTCAGTAAGCCAGTGTTTGATCGGTTTCATACTTCTTGCGTAGAAACCCAGGTCGGCTAGCGAATCTGCAATCTTTGCATGGGCATGATTCGCCATCTGAAGTACAGGGTCGATCTCATAATGAAGTTCGGAAACCTCATCACACTCGATGCTAGTACACGAGTCATGATCCGATGCCTCAGAATCTGCGCTGATCTCCTCGCAATATGCGTCCGGATAATACTCCACCTGAAAACGACAGTCAGAAACAACCTAAACCGACACCGTCTACATACCATTAGTAATATTTTTCCTTTCAGATCCCTTGGAGATATTCTATCACCGCTGACTCCTTCCAATGGTTCCTGCACCAACTTATTGCCCCATGTATCCTTCATGATATCCACGAGTTCGCCTTGGTGGGCTATCGGCACATGGCACTCTAGACTGATAATAACAGGCCAGTCTTCGTCATGGATTGCTTCATCAATAGCCTCGCAGACTGCCTTGAACGTGACGCTTCGACTCAGCGTATGTCCGTGCGTGACAATCGGACCCTTGGAAGACCACCAAACATCGATCTCGACGCAGCGTGCGTTCTTGGAGAGAACATAGGTGTAGCACTCGGAAGATGCACGACCGAGGACTTGCCATGCGAGTAGATACGTGTTATGCGAAGAGCTGGTAAATGTGTAACATTGCATGTATGCATCGCTGAATTGATCTTGACATACGAAACAAAGTAATCCCTCAAAGGTCGGGTGTCATCGACAACCCGCAGACGAACAGCAGGAAGTTTCAGGAGCTCATTGGCATCCTATTTAACCGGGGTCGTTGAGCGCCTCTGCAGGATAGTAATTCAAAGTACTCACCAAACCGTTCTGCTTCAGAAAATTAAGGATATCAAGACTTAGTCTTATGGCATCACTTGCTGGCGGATATATGTTGATGGTAGTCTCTAAAGACAAGTGCGCAGAGGAGACTGTCTCAAAAGCCTTGGGTATCATCGTGAGAGTCGCCTTTCAGCTGCCCTCGATACTACGATGTAGTAGCAAAAAGCTTCATCATTGATATCATATATATAGAACACGGAACCTGTCTCATTTATTTACTGAAATAATGATCCGGTTCCTGGGCCGGTTTTCAATGAGCAAAATTCTGATAAGCGCAAGAATATTGGCGTCGTACGAGAACGATTTGAACGCGGTGGTGAACCAAGCCGTGATGAGTGTTAGAGAATGTCCCAATCACATAGGCGAACAAACGCAGGACCGACACGAGGCGACTCTGGTGATAAATAAAGGCGTATAACAACTATGTTGGTTGGCTAATTGTGCATTAACCATCATGATGCACATGGATGGCCCCATGTCATCCGAGTCATAGTCCCCACATACTATATGTCACGATTGACTATATGTTTGAGGCTTCAGAAATAAACAACTATAACTGGTGGACGTCGACCACTGTAGACGGTGAGATGCGAATAGATGTGAACCTTCGGTAGGGTTGAAAGAACTATCTTTCACCCCTTGCAATCAGTCCGAAAGAACAGATGTCGAATCAAACCGCCAGGGACATGAATATATAGTTTATTTCGAGAAATGGGACCATAAGGACATAGAACATACACAGTAGGGGCACATCGGACAGTCCGCAGACAGTGAAACAAAGTGTTTGTAGGATGATAGGAATCAGTCAAAAGTTATCATGAACACTAGTTCAGTAACTGCTGTGGTTAGACCCTCATAAGGACCGCACACTCGAAGCAAAGAGACCACACAAAGATGCCTGGAGATATTTCCTGCAGAATCCATGCTCTGAGGAATGAGAGGCAGAGCGAGTATGCGTGATCTGTGAGGCTTCCAATACTTTCCATGACGTCGTTATTCGAGACCGAGCTGGAACAGCCTTGGAACCGAGGAACAGTTATATCTCGGCTGTATTGGTCAGTAGTCAACATCCATAAGTTAAACTGAACACACCTTGTACTCAAAGATGCCGCATAATCAGGATTATGGGTCTGGTTCTAGTTTCTCGCCTCGAGCAAGAACGCGGACGACCTTGCTAGGCTGAGAGATCACTTCCATCATTTGCATAACGGCAGCAGGGCGCTCCACTAGCCCGGTGCCTCGAGCGACAGGAAGACCCCCCTGAGCAGTATGGGAATTACGTCTACCTCGACCGGCCTGTCGTTTTCCTCTATCGTCATCATCAATATTACGAGGGTGGTTCGATGAAGGTGGAACAAGTGGCGCTGCGGAAGGTTCCACTTCTAAGAGAGTGATACCAGCCCGGGTAGCCCAGTGTCCAATCAACAGGCCAGCTGAACGAGGCTCGTACTTGTGAGTGTGTGGACTCGGAGCTGGAAGGGGTACCGGAGATGATACTTCGGGCATTGCCTCGGTTCGACAGACCTGAGCTGGAGCAGCGGAAGGGGAAAGGATAGCAAGAACGACTTTCAGTTTGTCGCTCGTTGAAGCACGAGTTTCAGAGACGTGATCAACTTCCCAACGTGCGCAACAAATCATGCGCCGAACCCACTCTGGAGAACCAGAGAGGTGCAGGGACTGCAACGTAGCCTTGTCCTTAGCATCATCAGGCGACAAGTCCTTGAACTCGATGCGGTCCCACGGAACGAAGGCATCATCCCGCTGGACACGGATACGAGGATTTGTGCCAACTTGAGCCTCTAAGATCCGTGAAGCTGACCGCGCGCGCTGGGCGAGAGGACTTGTTCCCTTCTTGAGTAAATCCAGAGTATTCAAGGCTAAGCCACCTCACGTCAGAAGACAAAACATTTCTAACGTCTCGACTGACCTTCAAGGGGTACAATAACGATTTCATCACGTCCATCTCTGCACCATTTCTTCACCTGGTGGAGGGCGTGTACCAATACGCTCGCATCGACAACTACTATATCTGCGTCCTTGTCACCCCTGGCCTCCTGGCTCGATTTCCTGGGCTTTTGCGCCTTGGCCTCACTGTGCTCTCTTTCAGGTACAGCTTCAGCGACAGACTTCTTCGCAGACCTATTGCCTGAAGATGGGCGCTGCTTAGGTGTATGATTGATAACACCGCGACGGTTGGTATTACCCAAGTCGGCTTGCGGATGACGACGGTCTCTCCAGTTTCCAGATGCTGGCCCACGTGTAACCGATTTTTCCAGCTGTTCGACTTGATGGCTTAGAAATGCAGCCCCGAGCGCTCGAGACATGGCGAGCTTGTTCACTGAACCGCCGGTAGTTGTGGGACCCTGCAATATGCCACGGTGACAAAAGATGAGAAGATGCTCAGCAATCTCGTTGAGCTTACCTTGCTCTCTGCCATTCACTATGCGACTAGATGATTATTACAAAGAAGAAGAGGATAGCTTTTGATGCAGGCTGTTGGCCGGTCGTGGGACAGATACAGCTCGGAATTCTAGTGCGGCCGTGTTAGTGGCATGACTTGTACTTAGTCAGCAGACTGTGGAGTTTAGTGACTGCATAATTAATGAAGCCTCAAGGCAGGGGACTGGTCTAATAGGGTCTATAGCTAATACTACATTTCTGTTGGGTATCAAGCCGCCAACAAAGCAAAATGATAAATATAAAACACCGCGTCTTCTCAGCGAGAGTCGATGTTTGTTAACCAAAGCCAAATATCATTCCAAATAAATCCTTCCATCCCCTCTTCACTACGATCTGCGACCCTGCACCATACTCGTCAGCTAACCACTCTAGGTAACGGGCATCAAGAGAGCTTAAAGGGCCAAGCTCGAATGATACCATATCTTTTGGAGTAATGTAAATCACCGAAGTCTCTGGTGTACCGGAGGTGACAGAAGGAAGTAGATCAACTAGGCGAGAGAGTTGGAAGCTGGTGTTGGCGTGAAATGTTTGAAGTAGGGCGAGTGTCGTCAGAATCTGACGATCATGTCGTTCGTTGGTTTCTGGATCTGTGTCATTACCATTGTTGCACAACTGTGGCATAGATCGCGTAGCAGCGGAAGATGACGAAGGCTGGCGACGGTCAGCACCAGTGTTTCCAACCGGCCAAGTCATGCCGCTGGTCCTTCTCATTCCCTTTGAGTTTGGGCTTCCACCAGGACACCCTTCAATCCCCATACCCAGGTTACGCACAAATGTTCCGTCAACGGTAAGATCATCGTCACCTTCTAATCTGATGCTGCCCCAGTTGGCGAGGGATCCGTTGCCAGTGGAATAGGACGCAACTGAGTTGCCACGCCAGGACCCCATCCAGAGCCCAGCACATACAATACACACGTCTTCATATATTCTCCAAGGGTCTGTCCACGAAGATGAGGGTTTATTTCTGGCATTGATTTCAGATGAGGGGCGGCAGCATGGCTGTACACATTGATCGCCATCCAGCTGCAGAATGCGTTCAAGCTCGTTCCACTGTCAGGTGTGTTCAACACGTATACAGAGACATGACTGCAAATATATGTACCAGCCTTATATCACTCCACGTGAAACGAAAAACGGCTAAACGATGTGTGGGCCCTTTGGAACCAGGTGGCTGCGGCTGCGGCTTTGAGAGGTATAAGGTCGGTCGTGAAGTTTTGGAGGGTGTAGATGTCGTTAGATCGATCAAAAGGTCGTAGTAAGATGGTTTGTCCAGAAAAATGGCATCAGTCGTGCCTTTCAAACCAGAATGAGGGGCACGCCAAGAGCTATATTGTCATCACTTACAAGCAACCCAACCTCGACCAGTTTTGCCCTCGCGATCCATCCTGTCAAGGTCATTGAGAGTAACCATGCCAAGCACATGAATACCCTCTTGTGTTTTACCCTTAAGCCTCGTATAATACTGCGTCGCCGGGTCATTTTCATTGATGTCATTAGTTGATGGGTCAAGTTGAGCTGCGTAACAGATATCTGCGGCCACTTGGCACAGTATGCATGCGGCTTCAACCGGCGGGAGCGTATATATAAGTATCCTCTGACGCCCAAGGACATGCTTGTACAACGTCAATGCCGAAGGTCCTAGGATGCGCAACAAGTGTGAGAGGTGCATGGTAGGATTAAATCGAGACAATTCTGAATCCGGCTGTATATTGGGGTCAGAGAAACATAAGGTAAGACTCATGCTGCATCGCACATTATCAAGTTCATGACTCCAACCATACCATTCGCCAGCACCACTGAGATCTGCTCGTTGAACCTTGCGTTCTTCGAAAAAAACACGAGCGGGTTCCCAATCGCTTTCAGATGGCTCTAAAACACCTCTGGTTTCTAGCGAGAGATATATGGAGTCAGCTAAAGTCCGAAGGGCAGCTACATGCCGCCATGGACGAGACCGGGTAGATTTGGCCAATAGAACTCCAAGAGACGTCAGCCGGAACCCGCGGTGACCTTGTTCAGCGGTCCTCCGCCGACGGAAAACACATATGCCGGAATGGGTATCCTTCGTGAAGTATCTATTGAATTCTGATAAGTAGAGCTGTGGTATGGGTGCAGGGCACATACACCACATCCTGGTCTACAAGATGGAGACCACTGGGGAGGGTGCTAAATTCAACACCATCGAGCTCAAGGTCTGAAGCACATTTAAGTCGCTAACCGATATGAAAACTGCAAACAGACCATCGCTGGCCTTCAAACACCAGTCCACTAGATTACCCTTCGTTGGGTGAAACGAAGCATGGAAGATAGCAACTGGACAGCGAGGTATCAGTTGAACTCTTGCGGCTTTAGACTTAATAACAGACCTATATCCCGAGGTATTCTTCCTCTTGAGTCGATGGCATCGATGGACATGGTTGCAGCCGCATGCACAGGCTACTGCAGGCAGCAACCGTTTAGAGTCTCGCATTGTCTCACACTATTAATGTCACGGCTGAAGGGACCATCGGTCACACTCTAGATGTCACGCTCAATCCAGCGATGGCTTCAACCACTTCGTCGCAGCCTCAACAAATCAATGTTGCTGATCTCGACCTCCAACAGCTATCTGATGTGCGCCGTCAGCTAGAGGAGGTACCTTAATGATATCACTGTTTTTCTGCGTCTCTGATTGTGTTGTAGGAGCTGAACCACCTCACAAATTCATTCGCTCAGCTGAAGCAGGCACAAGCGAAGTTTAAGTCATGCATTGAGAATGTCAGAGAAATTAAACCTCAAAACAAAGGTACATCGGAATTTTCATCTTCAGGCTCTTACTTAATTCTATCTGTGCAGGAACGACTATCCTTGTTCCTTTGACCAACTCCCTATATGTTCCTGGTCACTTAAGTGATGCGGAGAATGTGATCGTCGACGTCGGTACAGGATATTACGTGAAGAAGGTATGTGTGAGGTCTTATGTTACAGGCCACCGCTGATCAGATGACCCTACAGTCTCGGGCACAGGCCACAAAATATTATGAAACAAAAGTGGAATATATTCGCACTAATCTCGATACGCTACAAGAAACGATACAAAAGAAGCAGGAGAATATGAGCTACCTCGTTAATGTAATGCAGGCTAAACTACAGCAGTCCCAGACACAGCCCACCAAGGTCTGAACTTTCGAGTTGAGGCAAGATTACATTTGCACCCTGCCCTTCCCCGCTGATTTCTCCTCTATAATAGATTGTTAGCTGTAACATACTGAATGCACAATCTTGCGTCTTCATCGTGCATGAAACGTTCGTTACTTCACTTGGATGACAGATCCTAGGTAACGGCCTGAGAAACGCGGTTTTTTCACTGCCGGAGAAGGTTGCTCTGCGTCGTTTGGGCTCTTACCAATCGTTATGATATGACCAACAAGACCCGGATGGTCGATATTCCACTGGCAGAGGGGCGCTCGACAGTACTCGACTATGGTCATGTAAGGTATTTATACCCATGTATAAATTGGATAGTATCAGGGGGTAGATGGAGCTGGGTCACGATGACGGCACGCGATTATCGCTTGTCCAACCCGATAATATATTGCTCGGCTGTCTATTTTAGGCACCCCGCCCTCATCTCCCTTCCCGCCGGGTTCCTCACTGCCCACAGAACTCCACACGTCGCCGACCACGACGAGCGCGCGCTATTTGGGGTCAGCGCCAAGCCTACATGTGCTTAGTCATCCTCCCCGTCATGCCCCGTGCAGGATAAACATAATAAGCTCCTGGCGCGGTGAACCGCTTTTCGTGCAGTTATAACTCAATGTCTGTTTTGCGCCTCTGGTATCTATACGTACCCACGCACTGCTCTAACCATGTTGATGTTCGCCTTGCTATGCTCGCCGTCTTACCCGCATCCCTTGGCTGCACTCGAGCCGCGCGTTCTTCTAACATTGTTCCATTTAATCATTATAGATTATAGGCAGGTTTGGTTGGTCGGTCATTTTTGCGTTTGCAGGCTATGGTGACGAATGGCCTTATTGCCGACGACTCTTGCACCAAACTTTCTGTCCTGACTCTGCACCTAAGTTTCGTCCAATGCAGATCAAGCGCGCGCATGAGATGATCGTCAATCTAATTGATGACCCACATTGTCACTTTGCAACGTCAGTCTATGTGTTTGTAAACATCAAATGATTACTAACCTGTTCATAGATTCTTGACATCAATTATGATGTCAGCGACATACGGCCGCCAAACTAGCCTTCGTGATGATCCTCTGGTTGGAATCGTAGAAAATGCAGTGGCTCTTGCCTTGCAGGCGATGACCCCAGAGAGAGCAATCTTGCTCAAAATTTTCCCCTTCTGTGAGCTAAGCTATTTTTCTCGTGAAAATAGCTGACACTCTGTACCCTGACGCAGTACTGAGGTTACCTGACTGGTGCTAGGGGTCTTCAATCAAACGCGATGCTCTCAAACCTCGGCCAATTGCATGAGAGAAATGACCGACGTGCTGTTTCAATATGTACAGGAGCATATGGTGGGCATCTTTCGTTTTGAAAGATATTAGTTCATCCTAGCTATTAATCACATGGTCGTCAAGGCTGAAAACTCGGCCCTTGGTCAGTTTTCGATGGTAGCAGAAAATCTCCAATGAATCGAGAAGCAAGATCAGACATCCAGACCATTGTTTGAGGGTACCTTAAAGAAAGCAGCTACTACTGCTATTCTGAGTTCATCATCTTTTTACAGGGGATGGTATACCTCTCATTGATACATATCTATTCAGGTTCATACGAGACGGTTAGCCGATATCCGACCCAGCTTGTCAGCTGCTGAAGTTTCTTACAGACTATTTCAGTCCTGATGGTTTTTGCTCTCGCCATGGTGTCTTACCCAAATGTTCAAAAACGCGCACAAGTGGAGATCGACTCAGTAGTTGGGCAGGATCGCTTACCTACCTTCGAAGACAGAGTGTCACTACCATACGTTGAATCAATTCTACGGGAGACTTTGCGATGGCAGCCTACTGGACCCATTGGTAACCTTCCTTGGTGAGAGATCGAGCCTGCACTGAAGATGATATTATAGCGCCACCTGCCACCTCGAGTGATGATATATATGACGGTTACTTCATTCCAAAAGGTCTGCCATTTTTATCTAGTGAGCAGATCACATCTAACCCCGATTGCAGCACTGTAAGAAACGGTCAAAGTTTGTGCTCAAGAAAACGGAACTTACCGTGTACCGGCTCCACCAGCCGCTGAAGATACCAGGAGGTCAAAATGACCATGGACGTAGGACCTCTGCAATTTTGATCCAGGCTGGAAATGGGCATAACTTGAAAAAAAAAATCACTGTCAATGCGCAACATGGGCAATATCGTCGATACCGGCATCTGAAATGGACATGCAGGAGATACCAAAGCTACCATCACCGTCAGGGAATAAAACAAAGACCGTGGTTGTAATGACGACCCAGGGGAATGCGTACTGCACTGAGGGGCATGAATAGCCACATATAGCCTGCATGGCCTGGCACTGGTAAGCGCTGGAGCTCAATGTCTCGCAGGGAGCTGCGGGACAAAATAGTACACACCGATGAAATCCTGCGAGTAACTAGTTCTATATGGCTACTGGTCAGGCACCACTACAATCAGTCGGAACGGTCGAAGTTTCTGCAAGGGCATCGTCAGTGTAGATGGTGGAATGAGCAACCGATTCACTGATACCGGAGGACTCTAGTGCTTGCGTGGATAACGATACAAGGACTCTTAAGTCGAGACGGTGTGCATGGCATAGGGAAGGAGGCAGCCGCGGCCGAATATGCCTCTGTTGGTAGAAGAACTGCGGGTGAAATGGTGATAGGCCACCCGAGTGACCCAAACGGGAGCGGAGATGGACATACGAGAGTTCCAGGAGTTTACAGTGAGTGTATAGATACCGCAAGGTGTACGGTACTGGAGATGATGCATGAGATCTGAGATCTGAGATGTCAACGCTGACAAAAGTGTGAGAGTAGGCGTGAAGGCGGCATCCGACAGACCCCGGGCCAATGTCGAGCTGAATTAAATTACTTGCATTCTACCAGCCTGCAGCGCGATGCATTGATGGATAGTCCTAGCTAGTAGTGCTAGGCCATTAACCTATTACCATAACATCAAAATCGTATCTACTACTACCACAGCTGCATCGAGCAGATGTCTCGAGTGCTTGCGCCATCAAAATTATCAAAAAAGCCAACCATCAGACGAAAAAAAAACGAGCGAAAGAGCGACTACAAAAAAGCCAAACACAGCAGATAAATTAAAGCGAACGGTCACTGATACCCCAACGTCAGTTAAAAGTATCTTCCTACCGGGGGCGGTAATGGGGGCGGGAACACATCTCCGTCCTCATCCAGACCCTGGCCATTTTCGACCAGGTACATCGTACGCCTACCAGCCGTCTTCTCATCCGAGGGATAGATCGATGCCTCATCCTCGTCCTCGTCGTCAGCTTGTGCACCCTTGGGATCTTTCCCCCCCTCTTCGTCATATGTGCTCGAACGCTCATCGTAGACGCTGGCACTGATGTCGCTCCGGGTATCGAGTATGGACGAATGTGAGTGTGAGTAAGCGATGCTGTCCGTGATTTGCTTCCCGTAGCCAGACTCTGACCGCGAGGAAGATCTTGTATCTGAACGCATGTCTACGACGCCTTCTGAGTGATGACTCGAGCTGCCGTGACTGTCAGAAGTAGATACTGACGGGGCGTTGGAGGAGCGAACAGACGGGCCAGATGAGGAGCCAGACCCACTCGTACTGCGCAGAGCAGGCGAAGTATGACTTACTGACGACACGGACGAAAAATGTTCATGAAATTTCGAGGGGAACGCTGGAGGATGCATAGGGCGCGCATTCGGAACTTGTGGGAGAGGTGAATCTGGGGGTGGATGCCGCGGGGATCCCTGCATGCCATGGATGCGCCGTTGAAGAAATGGAGGTGGTGATATCTCTGAATGCTGTCTCCGTACCGTACCGCCATGCCCGGGGGGGTGGGTCTTAGAGCTGTCATCACTGGGAATAACGCTGTGGCTCTGGTACCTCCTCGGTGATGCCTCACCATTGTCATGCTTGTATTGCGGGACAACCGAGTCAGATGCGCTATGTGACGGCTGTGGGCGAGGCGAAAATAGAACGCGGGGCTGAGTTTGTGGATGCCGACGAGGAACTAATGGAGCTGTAGAGCCAGGTACCACTGCAACCGGTCGGAAAGGTGGCAGTCTCCGCGAGGGCGTCGTCAGCGTAGATGGTGGCACGGGAAGTGGACGCACTGGAACCGGAGGCAGTGCTTGCATAGGTGGTGGTCCAGGAGCCCTTTGTGACGGCGTGGATGGCATGGGAATTGGAGGCGGCTGTGGCAATGGCTGCGTAGGTGGAGGAGCCGCGGGTCGAATAGTGATATGTCGGGGAGAGGTGATCGGGGATGAACGAATGGGGGTTGCAGGAGCCTGGGAGATAGTAGGTGATACCACAATAAGGGGCGTACTGGGAGATGGTACGTGAGATATCGGCGTGGACGGAAGAGCAGGAGCAGGCGCAGACGGAGGCACAGGCGAAGGCGAAGGCGACGGCATCGAATTTACTGTCTGCTCGGATGGTCGAGGAGGAGTGGGAGTGGGGGATGGTGTTACTACTCGAGCAAGTGGGGGACTGGCGCGGTCTTTTCTTGAGTGTAAGACAGGACTTGACGCTCGAGTTGAGGTGTTAAAGTTCAGCTTCAGAGGAGTGAAGCCAGATCGTGAAGGGGATGAAGGTGTTGCGACAAGATGCTTCAAAGGTCTTGGACTCGAAGGAACGGCCATTGGAGGCATCGCAGGGACTGGTGGTATGTAGTTATCATCTTCTTCATCGCTGGCTCGCTGCTTCTTTGGCTTTCTCCGAAAGAATGCCATTGCGCGAGATTTACCCTTACTTGACTTCCCTTGCGACTTGCTTGATGATGCAGAGAGATAACCTCCATCCGAAGAATAGCCGGGCGCTTCATCGAAACCGGAACGCAAGTCCAAGGCTGGCGGCTTTCCTTTCTTGCCTTTTCCTTTCAGTTTGCCAGACTTTTTGAGACCAGCACTGTCAGAAAGATATTGACCATCGCTCACATAGCCCGCTTCAGACTTTGCGGAATTCGGTGTGGCACATTTGCGGTCGGTCTGACGTGTGATATCCTCACTCGATTGGTGTCGGACATCATTTGACGGCTTCCCAGACGAATTGGACATGCTTCCGAGCCTCTCCCTCTCATCGACCAGCGTACTCAGCGGAGGCAATGATAGCGTCAGCTGCGCGGAAGCAAAATCATTGAAGTGCACGTGGAGAGGTTCGAATACGCTCGGCTTGTGCATGTGTATCTGCCTTGCGGATGCAACGTTGTTTTGCGGGTAGGACGTCATTGACGACTCGTCGCTCGCAGTATGCGAGCCAAAAGTGAGGGCAGTCAAGATCTGCGCGAGTGAACGCAGCAATGATGAAGTGAACAAAAGAACTTGATTGAGCGTCCAGTCATATCTGAGATGGTGACGACGTACTTCTTCTATCTCCGTTTCAGGAGGGATATCCTCCAGTTCTTCTGCCTCCTCAGGCAAGGGGCTATTGAATATCCAATTCGCGACGGTGGAATTGTGAATCCCAAGCTCAAGGGCGGTCTCGAAAACTGACGCGCGAACGACGTTAGAATCTGGTCTTACTCCGGACGGCCTGAGCTTCGTGGGACGTCTGCGGACTTGGGGGATTGTGTGTGACATGTTAATGTAAAAGAGAGTTCGAAGTAAATGAATAGGACGGCGTGCGTCAAGGCGAAAAGGAGTAAAGATCACTGGGTTCCTGCAGTGAGTTCAAAATCTAGCCTTTGAACCAGACAAAGGCCATGCGTTGTTTGCCTGTCAACGCAACAAAAGATGAAACTTGAGTGGATGTGAGCAGAGTTTGAATGCGGTAAGCAGTAGGAGAAAAGCGGTACCTGGGATATGATGTGCTTGCAACAATCAAATTTACCAGCCAATATAATGAAGGTGAATGAACTGACTACAGTTGCAACGAGCTCAAGTCAACGACTTGTCGACAACCGAAATTCTCGATGAACGTCGAGCACGAAAGAAAAACACGAAGCTGAGCAACCGAAACCGCGATTTCTTGAAGGTCAATTGATTTCCTTTTAGGGACAATTGCATTTGAGACTTTCAAATTCCATTCATTGTGAAAGTATCAGGTCACATGACGTTGAATGATGTTCAACAGGACCCATGATGACCAGGGCTCTCCTCCCTAGCTTCGAATCTCTACCTTTCTCACTTACAAGTAATCGATAAACAAGTTTTATAGTAACACTAGGGAAGGTGGAGGTTGGGTGGATCTGCAGGGTAACGTGATTAACCCGCAGATGCCGGGAATATTATGAAAAACGCGACGCGAGCACCGACCCTGCAAAAACAATCACCGTTTCTAGGGACCAGCTGGCAGGTCATTAATATTTAATGCTGCACCATTGCTGCATTCAATTGGATCCAGCTTCAATTCCTTCCGAGTGACTACTAGTATATTTCGGAGGCGCTCGATTTTAAGGTTACATTAAACGCGTGAACGCGTTTGCTTGATGATACACTTTCGACAGCAGCGATCGCTGTTTCTGGTAGGTGGCCTTGGAAAGCCGATGGGTTGACAACACTTCGGAGTGCGGGAGGCACTTTGACCGTCCTACGGCCGTATTTGTCCAGGCATTCGCCTTTCTGATACCTCTAGAGAAGAAGCCAGAGAAACTGTGCGGCGTGGTCGTTCAAGTTATCTTAGTGCAACTATTTGTGCAACCAGATTGCGACCGCCGATGTGACAAATGCTATCAGGTTGGAATTCGAGCTGCAAAGAAATCATAGTGCGGACGACACCTTTCGTGTAAAAAGTTGATTTCGCCAGAATTTGAATGTCACTCTAATAGACCCTCAAATTTATACGTGGAAGCCGAGACAAATCATCAATTGCAAAGCTGTGAAAATCCTGAATATTATAACATATAAACTCGTGTGATCATCCATCAAAACATTTACCTTTCCCTGGACCGATTCAGGGCACGTCAACCACTCCTTCACCTTTCTCCTACCCCGCAGCCTCCCTCCGGCTGCTGCTCAGCATTTTGAGCGGAAATTTCGTGACGAAGTCACCCTCGGCTACGAGCTTGAGTGCGGTGACACGGAGCCACTGGGAACAAACCATGGTACGGCGACTCAAAGATACACC